ATAGGGTATGAGGGTGAACATCAGGGTTTCAAAATTTTATACAGGCTGTTTTCGATCATCAACATCAAAATCAAATACCATTAACTTTGTCTCTTCTGTTCCATTGCGGCTGCCTACAGCACATATTAGTTTAGTGTTGGTACAGCGGACACGCCATACCACCCCGCCACTGCCTCCACTCTCCAAAGTTACCAAGTTCCGAAGGAACTCACCAGTTTTCAAATCCCATATTTTCACAGTCCCATCATCAGATGAGGTTATCACAAATTTCTTACTGAACTGTAAACAAGTGACTGCACTCTGGTGTCGATTTGGACCCTGCAGTGTTTGAAGGCAACGGCCTGTTCGAATGTCCCAAACTTTGACTGTGGAATCAGCATTGCCAGAGACCAAAATGTTCTCTTTCAGTTCCATTCCACTGGTCAGTGACTGATGACCAATGAGTGTGTGAAGGCAAGTACCAGTTTCAACATCCCACACACGAATAGATGTATCCAGAGAGCCACTCACAATATGAGTGCCATCAAACTGTAATGAGTAAACTCTGTTAGTGTGTCCTTGCAAAGAGTGAAGACATGCCTCTGTCTCTGGGTCCCAAACTTTAACTGTGTAGTCATAGGCACCACTAACCACTCGGCGGCCATCATATTGGACACAACGAACAGCAGCCACATGTCCCATTAGTACATGTAAGCACTGGCCAGTATCAATGTCCCAAACACGAAGTGTGGCATCTCTGGAGCCACTCACCACTTTCTTTTCATGAAGATGCATACAGCGTACAGTAGATGTATGACCATACAAGGTATGGATACACTGTCCAGTTTCAGCATTCCACACTTTGAGAGTTCGATCTGTTGAGCCACTAATAATGATGTTATCAGCCATCTGAGATGCCCACACACCACCAGTGTGGCCAAATAAAGTCCTTAGGCATTTACCTGTCACTGCAGACCAAACTTTAAGAGTGTTATCATCAGACCCACTGACAATTTTGCTTCCGCAGAATTCAAGGCAGGTTATCACATGATCCTCATGGCCTTTGAGAAGTTTCGGGGGTCGTATTTTACCACATCTCCAATACTGCTCGATCTGATGCTGCCTCATGTAAAGGGTTTTACAGGGACTACGTAGCATTCCTTGTGAACGTCTTCTAACACTATATCCAAATACAAGAGATTCATCGATACCTTCTTCATTACATTTTTTACGCCAAAGTAAGTTATCCTCAGTGAGAACCCGCCAGTAACGACAGGTTTGGGCAGCGCGAAGAAGATCCTTAGGACCTAAAAAGGACAGCACATGTAGTGCAAGTTCCTTGGGTAGTAAAGAGATGAAATCACGTTGAAATTGGGGTTCAATGACTTGCATGATGTGTCTGACTTGAGTTGGTTCACATAATTCAATCATCTCATCCAATGCCAGGCAGCGTTCAGGATTGCTCCATGACTGGAACGTATGGAGCCACTGAGCCAATTCGGGAGGTGGGTTACTTTTGGAAGGGATCTTTTTCCGTGGATAATTCATATTTAACATGGGTAAGTTCTGAGTACGCAGAGAGTCTGGGTTCAAAATTTCTGTAGAGGACCGGCAGACTTTTTTCCCTGGAGTAGTCTCTTCATCTTCTTCCCAACCTGCATTAGGTTTTCTCTTCATAATTAACTTTTCCTTGTGTTTAGGAATGGGGATAGGAATGCGAGATCTCAAAGAATGCGCAAACCCCAATCTCTGGTGGAAATAGGTAGTTCCTGATACAGCACTGACCCCACCGTCATTACTACTCACCCTACTTCCTTCTGTACTCATAAAAACTTCATCGTTACCTCCTCCATTTTCGACTAATCCCAACTTATTAAGGGGTTTCCAAATTTCTGGAGAGTCTGTAGAATTGTTTGTGTTGTCTCTTGATTCTGCTTGGGCCCGGGGGCTTGTTACCTTTTGGAATTCTTGAATTGTAACCTTCTCTTCGGTAACATGCAGGGGTGGATTTTCTTTAGCATTAATAAGCAATTCTCGTTCGCCCCGGTCGAAGGTGGAACTAGTAGAACTTGAACTACTGTCCACGCTGCTGGCTCCTTCTGATGTATATTCCGCGTGGCTACTAGACGGGTCGGTCGTGCGATGTAAGCGAAGGCTACTCAAAGTGGAGGAAGACCTACCCTTGCTTGTAGAAGGCTCGCATTTAGATTTCAAAGTATGAAATACGGTCGGAGTTGAAGATACAGAAGAGGTAGATGTAGATGAAGGTGTAAATAATGACGAAGATGAAGTATTAGAAGTAGTAGTTGCAGTTGAAGGAGAAAAAGTGGTACACATAGAGGCGAAGATCTCCACACTTTTATCTTCTTTTGAATCAGTTGCTTCAGTACTGCTAGAAGAGGCAGCCACCTGCCTCACTCTTCGTAAAGACCTGGCGTTGGAGGATAAACAACCTAGGATCGGTTTGTTGGATTCTAACCATTCAGAACTAATCCCATTTACTTTGCAAAGATCATCCACACAACTGAACCCTCCTAGACGTTTACGTGCTTCAACTATGCTTTCTGCTCTCCGGAGGCCGATTCTGTCCAGTGATGTTAGCTCCTCCACACTAGCGTGATTGATGTCTATTTTCTTCTCTGCTACGGTGGAGGTATTCTTTTTTCTTCCTGCCATGATTTTTTTTATGGTAGACACGCTGCTAGGCTAGTTTTTGACGGTTACGGAGAGTTGGCCAGCACCCGACTCTCTATACGACCGCCATTAGCCATCACAGCAAAAAGATGCGTCGAACCCACTAAAATGCCAAGTTTCCTCGTAACTTTACTCAACCGTCGACGCGTCCAGGACGCATAAATGGCACGTGTAAGATACTGATAATTATAATGAAGAATTTAAACAATTATAACAATAGGAAAAATGACTGGGATTTTCCCAATTGTAATTTGCTTTCGACTATTCTAAGCTTTTAGTTTCGTATTCGGAAGAGCCTAGCTCCGTAAAAAGCACAAAACAACGATAAGAGCGGAAGTAAAGGAGGAGGGGACCCGGTTCGAAAACATTGATCTCACGTTTCGCTCTTTTGTTTGGATTAAATATTATTGCTGTTAACATTACTGATATTAACCTGAAAAATTAAAGAAGAAAAAATATCATTTTGGTGGTTACAGTTGCTTGTTTCAAAATAGCAAAAATATCTTCAGTGTACTGTAGGTAGAGGTAGATCAAAATTTAAGTACGTACACACACGTATGTAATTAATAATAAAAATTATAAATAAATTTTAAAAAGTAACATGAATTTTGCATGAAATACAGCGAAGCGGTGTATTTTAAGATGTATTATTAAAATAAGTAATGGAAAATAAGAAGTGATGACTTTGTTTGGTCAATGAATTTGTCATTTAATTGTTATGGTGTAACAAAAAACGGTAACGTAAAAAAAAAATATATTTACTAACTAAATAAATACAGACCTGTTGAATAGAAGTTAGAACTAATTTTAGTTTTTAACTCCAGGAGAAAGATTAGAGAGAAACTAGTATTGTGTTTTTTGTTTTTTTTAAACTAGTTTGATATCGAAATAATTTTGCTTTTAAGCCAAATGACTACAAAAAAATTGTAATGTATTTTGATTTCAATATTTATTTTATTTTTATAGTCACTACTTCAGTACTATGAAAAACTTATTTATTTTTATTTTCATTCACCGTGAGTATTTTGTTCTTAGAACAATGTCATTTACTTTTTAACAATGGAGCATAAAAATACTGCTCAAAAAAAAAAAAAAATAGTTTTGTTAAAAATTAAAAATATCTTTTAAAACTCGAATTAAAAAAAGGTTCTGTAGCACTAAAAAGCTATTGTTAGTTGCGTATGTGAAGTTAGTGTAGAGATGAAAAAAAATAATTTCACAAGTGAACTTTCAAATAAATTCAGCAGAATTAAAAAAAATAAAGAAAATGAATTCATTGAATTTAAAAAAAAACTCTCACGAGTTATTTTATGAGCAATTTATGTTGCTAAAAAATAAAGAGAAACAAAAACATTTTTTTTCTTTGCCAAAGTAATTTCTAATCTAATTCATTAGTTTCGACATTGACTCAAGAACGAGAATAAAAACTTATTTTCTAAATTGTAATTGTGACTTTGTTTCTTTTTTTTTTTTTTTTTTAAAGTTTTTGACAATATTAAAAAAAGTAATCAATATTTTTAAAGATGTTTAAATGCAATGTAATCCCTTTTCTTTGGGAATTTTCTTTCATGATTTACTTTTTATTCACGTTTTAAAGAAATATATACGACTCAAAAATCTAAATGAAAAGATACTATCTCTGTTCCATGTGTGTTAGCATGCATATTTCATACACGATGAAATATTAGTGACTAACGATTGATGCATAAATCCCTAATATACGTGGCCTTGTGCCGAACTAACCTTAACAACTACTATGAAGTAAATAATAATAAAAAGTAATGTAAAAGTTGTTTCTACACAATACTACTTTAATTCTTGGAGAGTTCTTCCCATTACATCTAAAAACACTTTTTCCTTAAATGATGTCCTTTTTCAGGAGGCCATTCCTTTCTTTAATATTCGAATTTTTTTTTTTTTTTTTTTTGAAGAAAAGATAGTTGTCTTCCTCCAGATTGACTACTTCAAGGGCTAGACAACTTTGTCTATACTTCTTAACTTGGATTTACCTTCCCCAAAGCTATTAGTTCTGAGTTAGTCTGTCACCCTTACAGGCTTAGTTTTTTGGCTTAAGGCCAGGTAGGTAAATCAGTGAGGATCGAACTCACAACTTAGTAGCAATGATCAACAAGACCATTTTGTTAACCATTACTCAAAGCTGCACGAACATTTTCTTCTGTTAATAATTATCATTTAAACATCTCACTTAGCAAAATCTTAGAGATTTTACAAGCTTAAATAAAAATTATTCAGTTAGTAAACCAAGGGAGGTAACTGAAGGAAATCTTTTTATATATTTTTTAAGGCGGAGGTAGGAGTCGGAGAAAATGGCTACCCCTGCTGTTAGTGGTGTGGAAGTGAAGATTGTTAATTCCAATAAAGTAAGCATTTTATTTCTTTCATGACAATGTTGATCAACTTTTATATTTTTTTTTTGCATGTGTACCAATTTTTTTTACTTGTTTTGTTATACTTTTTCTTCAAATATCTGATTAATTTTCTTACTCGTTTTATGGTTCCAGTGAAGACGTGCAAGGGGTCAAGTGTACCTTTGATGACCGTCCGTTAATTAAACTTAACTTTTAATTTAAAGAAACTATTGGATTCTATAGAGCATTATTACTTCAGAATTAAATAAAAGTAGAAAATCTAATGTTTTTTTTATAGGATTACAAAGACAAATTGTGCCTATTGAATTTTTTTTCTAAAAACACATCATAACGGGATTGATTGACTTATTTCAATTTCTAAATTAATAATTAATTACACTATCATGAAAAACAATTTCGCTTAGTTTTGTTAGATAAATTTAATTTTCTTTTTTAATTATTTTCTGTCCTGTTAAAAATTATGACAATACCCACATTTTTGTACTTTTTAAAATAATTTAAAGCTTTTATTTTAAGCTTAAAAAATGTCATGAAAATATTTTTTATTTATTTTTATTGAATTTTTTTTTTTTTTTTTCGAATCAATTTTAAGAACAAAGAAAAGCACATGTCCATTAATCGAGATGATACGCCAATACATTCTTTCTTAAATATGGATATTTTTCAATGCCTTCCCTTGTGTGTACACAGTGTACTACTGCCAGAAAAAAAAATGTAATTTATGAATTTATTGTCGATTTTCCAAACTGATTAATCATTAATTAAAGTAAAATTACTAAAATAGGTTTTAAAAAAGAAGTTACGTGAATAATAGCAATAGTTAATGAATGCGTTTTTTTGTTTTTGTGAACCACATGGCAACTTACCCAACTTATTTTCATTGGCTCACTATGTTAATAAAAATTTTTTTAACTAATTTTCCACAATATTTTGAATATTTTTAATTTTAAACATTCAGACTCTTTCGGAAAAAAAGTCTATTTGCCTTTTAAATAATTTTTTAAAATTAATTTTTTAGTCATTGAAATTTGTATTTTATTGTCGTGTAAAAAAACTACTTTTCTGAAATATGCAGCATTATTCAACAAATAAAGTTTTTAAAAAATCATAGCAATCATTTATGATGCCATCGGATGTAATTTCTTTTTCTTTTCATTATTCACTTAGTTTGGACTGAAATAATTCTCATTTTAGAGAATATTAAAGACAATGTATGTAAACAAAAGGAAATTGCGTTAAAGTTCCTCAAAAGAAGAAATGTGCCTGTAAAGATAAGTTTTCCTTTTGTTTTTAGTCACATTGTCCTTTTTATTTTACAGATATATTATTCTCTACCTGAAATTTTTACACGTGCGAAAACATGAAAAATATGATCTGTCTATAAATATACATAGGGAATTTGCTGAGGATTGGGTGTGTAACCCCCCCCCCAACACCCAAAAAAAACATCTATATTTTAAGTTAAGAAAAACATTTTATTCTGTTATTAATAATTATATATGATATAAATCGATAACACCCATCAAAATAAGTAAAATTACTTTTGAGCAAAATTTTGAACTAGACTGACAACAGTCAATAAATTAATATTTCATTTTGACTAACTTCAAAATTTCAGACACAATAATCAGGTTGAGAGGGTCAGATAAATTATTTATCTCACCCTGATGAGCAATGAGTCTATGAAACTTTGAAATTGCTCAAAAGACAAGTTTATTAATCTATTAATTTATTCACACACAAGGGTGAACTGAAAAGTTCATAGGCTGACTATGATAGAGTGATGCTAGATCTGTGAAATCTTGCATGTATTAATTTCAACTCTTATTAATAACTGCTTTCTTTCCTGGTAATCTGGCAAGGGTAAATGTTGAAAAATAAACCTCATTCCATAAGATTATCTTGGTCAGCCTATGAACTTTTCAGCTGGCTCTTGTATGTATATATATATATATATATATATATATATATATATATATATATATATATATATACAATTATTCTATCCAATTTTCTTTTAAACATAGTTTATTATTAGTACGAAAGTTTATTTTAAAAAATCCAAGAAAGATTTACAGCTAAGCATATTACACTCTATTTACAAATAAAAACTATATTTTGAAATATTGAGGAGGAAGCTAAACTTTTTGGGGTGAGTGGGGAATTGACATAACTAAGAGATACCTAAAATTGTATAATTGCTAACACAAAAATGTATTGAATTAATGGGAAAAAGACCTCATTTCATGCCTATTTTGTACTATATATGTGTTTTTATAGAGAAATATGAATTTACATTATTTAAACTATTGTCCTCATCTTTACTGTCACATTCACAATGTTTTGGCTGTTGTACACTCTGGCCTTCTTCAGGTTGGAATTTCGGACTGAACATTTTATTTAGTCCACTGGGGTAGAGTGTTTTAATCTCACGTGCCATGCCTTTGGATATCTCATCTTCAGTGTAAACAGTTACAATTCCTCATCTCAGAAATATAGACAGATGTAGACATTGAAGCGAAGAATTTTTAAAAAAATTTTTCATTTAATTGATTAAATAAAAAAGCAATTATTTGTTCACTTTTTCTTTTTTTTATTAAATACACAACTAATTTTTTAAGCATTTTAATGTTTTTACTCTAATGACATACCTACAACATAAATTGCATATGAATGATTTTCTACTTTTGATTGTTGAAATATAGGGTGCGATGGGTAAATTGTCGCCATTTTATGTTTTTAATTTCATGCATCCACATTGTTTTTGATTTTGTCAATTGCACAGTATAGTAGGGCCAGTTTGGCACCATCTGTGAGAAAAAAAGCACCATGTCATAATTCTTTGCCAGAAATTTTGAAACAGCATTTTGTACTGCTTGGCATTTGTGCTGGAAGCTCCAATATTAACATTTCAGAGTGTTTGGGTGTCAATCTGAGGCTAGTGCAGAGGATTCAGAAAGAGTTGGATGAGTCTAATGGTGATTAAAAATGTACAGCAACTTGAAAAACTTGCTCTGATAGTTCTGATAAGAAAAAAAATCCCAAATTTGTTGGTGATGACCTTAGACACAATACAAAGGACTACATCATATGCTGCCCTGGGTCAAGAGGGTGGCTGCTGGAAGACCCTATGTCCAGCAACAAGACTCAGCACCATTCCACAAAAGCAGGAGAACCCAGTCATGGCTGTCACACAATTTCTGCAACCACATCACCCCTTATATCTGGTAACCTAACTCCCCAATCCCCTTGATTATTAAGTGTGGGGCACAGTTGAGTGAGAGACCAACAAAACTCCTTGTAGCACGAAAGATTAACTGAAGGCAAAGATTATGGCAACATTCACCAACTTAAGAAGATCATGGCAATTTTATTGAATAACTTTACTCTTTAATATTTCAAGATATTTTTGTGTAATTTTGATAAATATATCTGTTAAAATGAGATGTCAATGTTATTTTCATTTTTCGTAATTTAGACAACAATATATTCATCATACCCTGTATATAGCACCTTTTTTCCCAGATCTTCCTTTGTAAGGGAGAAAAGATTGAAAATAAAGAGATTATTAAAGATACAACAAAGCATTAAATTATAATGTATGTACAGAACAATTTTATCCTTTTGTTGCCTACAGTTTACATACACAAATTACATAATAGTTTGTAAGTAAATAATGTAAATAAAATTCTGTTTTTATTTTTCATGTCGCTGTCAATTTATTTTTTCCCCTTCTTTTAGGGCAAAGGTTTGTTTGCTTGTCAAGAATTCAAGAAAGGAGATGTTATCTTTGAAGAAGTTCCATTGGTCAGTTCCCAGTTCTTGTGGAATGAATTCTACAAATACCATGCATGTGAATTCTGTTTAAAATCATTGGAAACAGCAGAGAAAATGGCCCAACGTCTTGCATCCATTCCCACTCTAACACTACCTCAGTCCCAGAATTGTCTAGTAAGACCTGAATTTCAAGTCCACTGTCCTCATTGTCAGGTGAATATTTCTTCATAATTAAGACCTGAATAAGAAAACACTACTATTAATTTCTACTTTGTATTTTTACATTAAATTCTTCATTGAACAGGTTACCTACTGTAGTAAGGAGTGTCAGGAGATGGCTTGGAACCAGTATCACCGGACTTTGTGTATGGGACCATCACGTGGTGATGAATCTCATCCTTTGGGCATATTACAAGCAGCATGGAGGTAAGTTTCAATTTATAGAATAAATCTTTCTGCAATTCTCTTAGGCTTACAGCCATATCACATTGAAACACCAGTTCTCATATGATCTTGAAGTTAATGTTGATCCTGGTCAGCTACTGTAAGATAGCTAAGTTATAGTTAAGACAGAAGAAGACCGTCCTTTCCCCAATCCCCTTTTCAGCCATGTGCCACATTTCTGTATTAAACAGAATAAATATCACCTTCCTCTATTGTACCTAGACTTATGAATATAAGTGCAGAAATAGATTGGTAAGTTCTCATCATTTTACAGTTGAAATGGCTAGATGTAACCCTGAGTTCTATGCTAATAGTTTCTTCTATTGCACTTTTCGCATGTGGAACTTTCTTCCGGCTTCTTACTTCCTTGCCAACTTTGAGCTTCAAAAATTTAAATGCAATGTCAATCGTTATCTACTGTCTTAGTTCTTGTTCTTTTATTGTTATCTCTCCTTAATAGTTTTTTTTTTCCTCCTATTCTCTAACATTCAGTAACCGCTTGCATCTTAGTGGCTTTATTGCCTTGCTTGGAGTGAAATGATTAAAAAAAAGAAAGCTTCCATGTGAAAAAAATTTTGTCAAACTGTTGAATTGGATTTGTATTATGGAACTCTTACTCTCTGTTTTGCAATGATTGAAAAAGGCAGTAATGGTGTATAGTCAGTTGGAATATGGCAGGTGGAGTAAAAGAGTCAAATGGAGTTCCAAAATTTTGTCCTGCCTTATATTTGATGTATATCTCCTTGCATCATCATAGAAGAGAATTTTTTTTTCCTTTAATCCACTGTCACACAATGACAATGCATTGAAAGAATTAAGCAATGTTAGTGTACTTCAAATTTATTCTTATCTGCTGCATATGATTAGGATGATTCAATGGTATCAACCTTAACTGCCACATATGACATATTTGCCTTATCTTTAATATGATGCATTTATTTCATACTTAACTGCTTCATATGATGTGTTAGTTTCATATTTAACTGCTACATGCGACGCATTCAACTGATCCCTAACTGCTGAATGTTTTTAGGATGTTGCATTCATCATTACAATTGGTTTCCCCAAAAAACGGAAATTACATGGAATTCAATCCAATACTGTCATCTTTTAACTTTTTTTTTTTTAAGAAGAATAGACAATGGAGCAGCTAATCAGGAAAAATAATTTTTTTTTTTTTTTTTTTACCAGAAATATTCATTTTCCACCTGAATCATGCAGCATCATGTTGCTGACCAAGATGATTGCAATGGTAAAACAGGTAAGTTGATATACATGTATATGTAAACAACTAGCATCATTTTTAAATTACTTGACTCTGTCTTCAGTATTTTTTTTTTATGAAAGGATAATTGACATTTCAAAATGAAAATGAAAAAAATTCTGATTCCAATAGATAAAAAATGCTTCTAGTTTTCTAATGTGTATAATTTGTAAAGATTCAACTAATGGTTTGCTATTAATTGTAAAATAAAAAAAAAAGTCTATTTTTTGCCCACCTTATTTTTAACAAGCAAAGGTCCTCTCTAAATATGCAATCTCCTTAAAATTTTATATGTGGCATTTTTCAATGAATGAACAAATTCAATTTCAGCATACACTTCAAGAATAAGAAACACACACACACACACACACACATATATATATATATATATATATATATATATATATATATATATATATATATATATAATATTGCAACAATAATACTCTCAGCAGAAAGACTTCATCCTATGTATTGCGGTTTAACTCGTGCATATATTTTGGAAAAGTACCTGGCATACTAATCCTGCAGGACAGTGAATAAAAAATAAATGCAAATTTTAAATTTGCTTACAGACGTAAGAATTATATATGAATTATTACAGCAACTTGATAAATAAATTATAAAGGGTCTTCAATCTTATCTAAAAAAAATTTAATCACTAAGTTTTATCATCAAGGTCAATTTTATGGGAAGAAATCAAATGTGACATTGGCGGGAATTCCATACATTCATTTATTTTTCCTTTTTTATAAATAAAAACAAATAAAAATTATCTGAAAAGAGAGCCTGGCCGAACAACAATATGAATTAATTTTGTGTTTATATTACGTAAATTTGATTAATTATTAAATTAATAATTTATAATATTAAATGGGTAAATTAACAATATTTAAAAAGAAATTAAAAATAAAACTTTTATTTTGAACTGAAACAGACTTTAAACTAGTAAACTTTATGGAAAGTTCAAGAACTGAGTAGAAACTTGCACATTTCATTTTATTTTTTAACATAAGTAAAATAAATTTACATCATACTTAGGTATTATTATGATCTATAGATTTTAGTTTAATTGATAGTTTAAAATCAATAAATATTTATATCTTTTATCATTAATACCAAAAATGGAAAATTAAGTTTTAAACAAAATAAAATCCAAAAGAATTGTTTTTGGAATTGGAAATTAGGTTAAAAATTTTATGATGCCGAATCCAATACCCCCAAAATTTCTGATATTTCCAATTCCGATTAATCGTCCCATCACTATATATATCTCATAAGTAATTCATTAAGTCTAGAAGAAACTTCAACAGAATGCAGAAAGCACAGGATGGCTGTTTCGTCCTATATTTGGGACTCATCAGCAGTGAGCATCCACTACTGAGAATTGAACCCGGACTGTTACAATACGATGCAAGCTTCATACCAACTGTACCATAGGCCTTGTTGACGAAAAGGTAATGAATTAGACTCTATATAGTGCCTCTCTTCACAAATTCCGTGGTGTAACTCATCCAAGTTTTCCTTACTCATAGGACTGTGCCCCTACTAGCCATGACAGAGCATTAGAAGCTGGTTTGATGAATTACTTAATTATGATTATCTCCAATCCTCCTAATAATTTCTATCACTTGTATATCCTTGCTTGAACCTTGTTTAAATAAAAATAGAAAAAAATACCAATTTATAATTGGTAGGGATTATTTCAAAGGATACTTTAATCCAATGATTGCTCAATCTGTTACAGAGCAATTTATAATGATAAATTAAGAAAACATCTTAAAAATCCATATTGGTTATAATTTATTTCATGAATATTGTTATATTCATCTCTTCAGACCAAATATTTTAAGATATATATATGTATGTCATTCGCAGACAGTACTGTTTAGCTGTATCACATGTCCTCAGTGCAACTAGACATCTGAATGCCTCAAGCTAGGATTGGTGTCAGTCAGAGTTTCTACCACTGATCTATCTTCATTCGACAGAATGAGCTAGCTAAATCTAGTGTATTGTTTTTACGAATGTAAACAAATGCCAATCAGCCATAGGGCTCTATTCATTTTACTGAAGAGCTTTGCATTAGTGCAGGTGGCTATTTATAGAATTAGCTTGTTATTCAACAGTGCTCAATTGAAATATATTTTCAAGAAATATATATATATATATATATATATGGTATTTATCAATCCACCCACAGGGATCGAATGTGGCACAAGGCCTTTTTAATGTGGGTATGTCTGAGCCCGTAGGCCCAGCCAAAAATAAACCCATCTAAACCCGTCCAAGCGGGCTAGTTCCGTTCAACCCTCCCCCAATCTAAACCCCACCCTTCAAGCGAGTTTCGTCTGGTTCCTCTCTGCAAGCAGAGAGTTCGACAGACACCTGACCCGCAGCTCAAAAAAGCGCAGATACTACACTTTGATCCTAGCCACCGGGCCGAGCGGGTATTCTTTTTATAGGTACATATATATATATCTACATAGAGAGAGTGTGTTATAGTACTGTAATATATGTAAGCCATATATTATCATGATTACAAGTGCTTTTTAACTATTGATATGTTTAATCACAAGAGGATTATTGATGAATTGACCATAATGGTTGTAAAGCCTAAAAGCCTTTCTCAAAGCAGCTTGTTTTCTATTAATCTTTGTTTCTGATAATATGCTGGTACTTTATTTTCTTTTCAGCTTTGAAATCCTTTTATTAACAATTTTTTTTTTCTTTAGGCAAATGATCCAGCTGCTGTACTGAAAACTTTCTCTCAGTTTACAAACTCTACTGTAAATGAAGAGCAGCAAATCATGCATAAATTACTTGGATCAAAATTTCGTGTAAGAAGAAAACATTTTTAAATATTCATGATAAAATGACATTAATAAATTTTTTAATAGTTTTATGATCATTTAAAGATATTTTCATATGGGAAAATACATAAAGGATATTTGGTAGCAAACAAATTAGAATAGATATCAAGTTACCAACATTATGCATTGAAATGTACAAAATCATTTAATGACAGTTAATTTATTGAAATAACATTTGGGTAGGGACATTTTTCTTTTTTCTTGGCAGCATATAGGCCTTGGTTGATAAAGTACCAGTTTTCTTGGTTAATATAACTTGTATTCTTGCATCATCAATTTAAACTGACACCTTTTTTTTATATATATATTGTGACCATTTTCTTCATTTTTAGAAGAAAACTTGAAAATTTTACAACATATTTCAGTAACAATTTCACTTTCCAAAATTATAGTTTATATTTATAGTTTAGATATATGGAGAGAAAAAAAGGGGGACATTTTAAACAGACACCAGTCAGATAGTTGAACTGACACCTATGTTTTCCATATAGCATAACCATTTTGCTTAAAAGTTCTTCATTACAGATGAAAACTTTAAAATCTAACATATTTCAGTGAAATTTTCAGCTTTCAAAATTTTATTTTATTAGTTTAGATGTATGGGAAAAAAATCTTGTATTTAAATTTATGAAAGGTGGATATGGATTGTTTTGATTTATTTGCTATGAAAGATGAATAGATTTAATTTAGGGATTATCACTGGTATCCTTGATTCTTTATTTAGCCTGCTTTGATTTTACTCACCAATCTTTTCAACTATGATGAAATCAATAAATTCCATTAATCTATATAATAAATGTGAATGTCAGTGTGTCACTGTGTCATGCTTTTTCAACTTTACTCCTAGGGGCCATAGCCCAACATATCATACCATTTTGGAATCAGGCCGACTCAGTGAGCAAATTAAAAAAGTATTCAAGCCAGATCTGGACCCGCAATCATGAAATTTTGGATTCCCAAGTTTTCATTATGATTGTTTTTTAATTTGGAAATTTGGGAATAATCAAAATTAATTGCAAAACCCAGCAAAAGTCACCCATGTAATAAAAATAATTGTTTGTTCAGAAAGTAAGTAAGTACCTCTGTACACCAATTAAGTGGTGGCAGAAGAATTATCATTGAACTTTTAAGAGGTAAGCTTAAATATTACTGCAATACTTAAATGCGGCAGTTTATTGTTGCTAGTCACATCTACTTCTTAATTATTATGATGAAAGCCCAATCAAGAGCCCTCCGCAGATGCTAGTAAAGAATATAGCATTAAACACAGTTATTCATCATTACCTTTAGCCAAAGAGGAAATGATGCTTAGTTCTGTCTCCTATCAAAATATACATGCATACATTACTTAACCCATTGTAGTGTTGTTAAGGGATCCCCATCTGCTGTAGATGCTGCAGCAGTGGGTGTTAGTAATGTCAAGGGTAAAATAACTTAACAAATCTCATCTTTCTTCAGGTTAATTTTGAATTCAAAGTAGTCTTCTTATGGTTAAAGAGCCAGTCTTTTTTTTTTTTTTTTACTATTATTCACCAAATACAAGACCCAAGGGCCACTCAAGGATTATTAAATGAAATTGTTGTGAGGACATACAGGTAGAGAACAAGGGGTGCAGATGTAGGATAGATAACAATTGACCCTTGACTTGAAGAGGTTAATATTGTGGTGATCAGCGGAAGCATCCTCTCGGGAGTTCATTTCATAATGCAACAGCTCTGAGGAAGAAACTAAGTGGGACTTCCTCTTCATGAAGAGGATGAGTTTGATCCATGTATGTAGCCTGGTGGCACCAAAGATTGTTATTCATCTAGACATCTGCCATGAAAATAGCAATAGAGTAGTGAAAGGCTAACAATGTTTTATTGCCAAATGGCTTGGCAATAAATGAATGCAGAGAGCCTTGGTTGGAAGTTGAGCACAGATCATTGATTCTGTTTTGTGACCATTACACTAACTGTACTTATTCCATTAGAATCCATTACATTCATTTACGTGCTAATACCCTTTGGGAAAAGGTATGAATTCTCTTTCCCCCCAAAGCTATGGGTAAATATAGCAGGAGAGACTGGGTTCTATAGCTTTGGATGGCAAATAGTCTACTGCAGAAAGAAATGGCAACCTATTGCGGGGAAAAAATCTGCCTCAGCAGTCATGTATTGAAAGATACATGATCGTCTAAGCGTGTATCACATATAGTACATAACTGACTGACTGAATTAGAATATCAAGATATTAGATTAATTAGAATATGTGAAAGTTTTCATATTGGAATTTTTTATGCTATAACCAAAATTTCAAAAGGCTAACAATGTTTTGTCTGTGGGAATAGGCCTTTGGAGTGGGAGGGGGAAACAATTCATCATCCATAAGGCAATGAAACTCTTTTGAAATCTGTCATGGCTGGAATTTGAGGATTAGGCAGTTCCATTTTTGGTCTGATTTAGTTCTTGTAAAGATATAGCATGACATGAGCAGTCAGGTACGTTCTGAATTGATACAAGAAACTGACCATTTTTTTTTTCCAGTGTCTTAAACAGTGGATCATCTATACGAGTTCCACTTGAGGCCTAATAATTTATCTAGACAAGGAGTCCCATCGAGAATAGAACCATTCATTGGGACTGAAGAAAACTCAGTGTATGCTCTATGGTGGTGATGAAACATTATAACTTAGTTTACCTTAATATTTCATACTTAGCTATGGAATAGAAGAAATGCATTCATGCCATCCCCAAATAGATTGGCAATGAATTTATGCAAAGTGTTGAAGTTGAACATGGATCACTGATTCTGTTTTGTGACCATTACACCAATTGTACCACCTAATTAGAATATTAAGATATTAGATTAATTAATTAGAATATACAAAAGTTTTTATATTGGACTTTTTTATGCTATAACCAAAACTTCAAAATTAATGTTGAATTAATTTTTGGTTGCAATACTAAAAATTTGGTGTTGGTTTTGATCTTTGTGGGGAATGAATGCAAAACACTTCCCCTCCCCAATTTAAAGACAGAAGCACACAAATGCAAGCTGGGATTTCTTCCTAGCCTATAAAACAGGCCAGTTCTTAGTTTCATATGACTTGGTCCCAATCTGTTTTGTCTCAAAGTCAGAACGCTACGTTTGCTTATCCGAACTTGCTTTTGTGTGTCAACCTCAATTCTTAGTTTGTGAACTTTTTGCCATATTACTATTGTTTTACCTTATTACTGTTAATTTACCTTGTATATATTGTTTGCTTGCTTTATATTATTTTTTGCCCTGTTCTTTTCTTTTTCTTGTTATTGTTTATTGCAAACTTTGTCAATTCTGTTTGTTGGACAGTTCTGTTATTTATTTTACATTTAACCATGGTCACTTGTTCTACATTTGGGAATTTAGTCACTACAAGACTCAACCTCATTAGCAACTGAATATTCTATTTTTAGAAATTATAAGTTTATTATATAACAAAATAATTACTTATATATGTTTATCTACTGCTATTTATATTGTTAGAATATTTTTTCCTTTTTATTTATCAGGCCCAGTTGGAAACATTAAGATCATTGGTAATGCAAACATTGTATGATGAACAAATTCCACAGGTGAATATATTTTTGATATACATTGAAATGTTTATTGCATCTACTTTTAACTGCTAGATACAAATTTTGCTTCTTTTTTTTTCTTCTTTTGTGTGTGTGTATGTTATCAAGTATAAAGTTCAGAGGTTAATTTTTATGATAATGGAGTGGGGAAGTGCTGTCACTAACTATCTGAAAATGTTGTTGAAAAATCTAATTCTATACAAAAGGGAGAAAAAGCAATCTGATACTCATAAAAAGATATGATAATTGTGTTGAGTCACCACTTTAAATATTGTGAAGTAGCCTATTAGAAATAGTGGTTATTCATGAAATTCTATACTTGTATTACACTCTTTTCAGCCTACAACAGTTCAAATGTCAAATCAAAATTCTGACCTTTTATCTTCAAATTCACTCATAAACATATATAGCTAGTTCCCAATAATCTGTTACATTATTTTTATTTTTTTTTTTTTTGTGAAACAAAGATTGGAAGAAAAAGGTGTCAAAAATTGTTGTGGATAAACCTATTTATTTATCTTGTTACTAAGAAAATTTTAAAAAGACTAATTCCAAAATATATAATTATAGAGTGAAGCAACAATGTTTTTTCAAAATACCCTTGCTGAACTCTGTTATACATTATAAATCTTTGAAAAAACAAATTAAATATTTCCTCTAATATGGTGAATTAAAAATGTCTCAAAGCACTTTTTATTGTGTTTTGTAAAAGAATCAATAGATTAAAAATAGATATTTTATATTTTACATGATGTAGATAAATTACAAATGTCATCTAACACTTGAATGCAGAAACTCATGAAATTCATTAACTTAAAAAAAATAGATAAAATAGCATAACTTCCTGAACAGAGTAAATACAAAAAGAACATTATTTACATGTGGACTATTGTCCTCATATTTGTTGTTATCACAACATTTCAGCCATTGTTCCTTCCAGCTTTCATCAGGTGTATATTGATCTGTGTAACCTACAGTGAATTCCAAATGTGATAAAAACAACAAAGATAAGAATAATAGTCTGCATCTAAATAGTGTTAATAATGATAACTCCTCATTCCAGAAATTCAGACAAAAATAAAAGCACATTATTACCAGGAGCTTTTTTTTTTTTTTTATTTACAAATACATTGTTAATGCAAAAATTACATATTTAAACCAAATATTTCTTTACTTTCAGTGGTTTACTTCTGAAGGCTTCCAGTCATTATTTGCCTTGATTGGTCGAAATGGCCAAGGAATTGGTACAAGGTATGGCATAATATGACATTTAGAACTTTTGGATTAATTCAGACATTATCATCTCCTAGGATTGATTCAGACATGACCATCTCGTAGGATTGGTTCGGGCTTGGCCATCTTGTAGGACCAGTTTGGGCTTGGCCATCTTGTAGGACCAGTTTGGGCTTGGCCATCTTGTAGGACCAGTTTGGGCTTGGCCATCTTGTAGGACCAGTTTGGGCTTGGCCATCTTGTAGGACCAGTTTGGGCTTGGCCATCTTGTAGGACCAGTTTGGGCTTGGCCATCTTGTAGGACCAGTTTGGGCTTGGCCATCTTGTAGGACCAGTTCGGGCTTGGCCATCTTGTAGGACCAGTTCGGGCTTCGCCATCACGTAGGATTGATTCAGACTTGGTCATTGCGTAGGATTGATTCAGATTTTATATAAAATTACAGACTAATTAAAAAAAAACAGTGTTCAGTAGTCTTGATTTGTAATTAGTTTCTTTTTAGATGTTTTCTTGTTAATGAGTCCCTATAATCTAATTACTAAATCATCACTGTCCTTAACCACAGTACGTTAGTATTTATATGCTAAGGGCTAACAACACTGGTGTTTGTATACATTATGATAACAGATATTTTACATATATTTAGATTGAATGAAATTGCTGATAATTTCTTTTAGCATTAGATCTACAAGTAAATTTCCTTTTATTGGATTTTACTTTTTATATTATCTTTTTTGCTACTTACTTTTTTCATGTCTTTTTGATGTAAAGATTTGGGAATTGTCTCAAAAGAAACTTTATTAAATTTGATCGTTCCTGTAGATGTTTAAAATCTAATGCACATATTCAAGGGAATGTTGGTTCTATTCATTTTCAACCTAAGAAATCAAGTCGGAAAATATTATTCTTGTGCATGTTTTTAAACAATATTTTGCAAAAGTCAAATCACCTGCTTTGTGTCATTTCTCTATTTATTTTAATCTGCTGAGGATAAAATAATGAGAGATGTCAAAAACCTGCCTTGAAAACATTTTTATTAATAAATTTATTTATAAGTAAGGGTGTAAAAATGAAAAAATTTGAAATTGACAACCTTTTTCCATTTCACTGAAATGTATGTTAAGCACTTCTCATTGAAAGCAAGTAGCATCTTGGATATGTCAGTTCTGTGTTCTCATGTGGTCAAAAACAGAATAGTCCCTTATTTATTAGGTATTGGCAGGGCGTAAAGTTTGTATAAAACAAACTAAGGAACTAATGGAGAGAAGGACAAACAGAATTATAATAGAGATGATTGTTACCTGCAGTATGGTGAATTTATCCGGCTTTGGTGAAGATATCAGACTGCCTATAAAAGCATTGTTGTTAAAAGCTTGTTTTGTTTTTGCTGTTAGACATCATTAGAAGTATTTAGTTTTAACTAATTCTATTCAAAAAGATCAATTTTGATTATATTGTACCAGCAGGCATAGTAGAGTACATTCTTAAAATAATTTTGTCAAAATTGATGAATTTTTTTGCTTATTGATTCTAACATGGAAAATAAGAAACGTTTTTTGACATTTTCCATCTAAATTTCTGGGATGATGAGTTTTTTTATTTACATTGTTTACTGTTGGACTATTGCCCTCATCTTTATTGTTGTCACAAAGATTTACTTGTTGAATTTCAAACTGAACCCATTATTTAATCTCATCCCATTGTCCATATCTAGAGATACCTCATCATCTTATTTAGTACTGTTCAGTTATAACCCCCCCACCCCCGTTTCTATTGTCTAAGTCAGCACTACCTGGCCCAGGGATTGAAATCCCAATTACTTTCATCAACTTCCTAAACCAATGCTTTAATCAACTAAATTATTGTTTAGAGTCTTTAGAACTTGGAGTTTTAAACCTACACTGACTGCTGCTTATACTTGACTGCATTCATCATGGCTTCTCTTTCTTTGTTGCTGTTGTTTTTAATATTTTTTTCTTTTTATAAGAAAGGTTAAAAAAGCAATTCAGAAACAATTCAGCTGTGGGTAAATAGCAGGATGGACTGGGTTCTATAGCCTTAGATGGCAACTGGTCTACTGCAAAAGAAATGGCAAACTACTGTGGGAAAAAATCTGCCTCACCAGTCATGTATCAAAAGGTACATGATTGCCTAAGCGTGTATTACGCATGGTATATAACTGACTGACATCAGTGGATCTTAAGCAACTAAAAGAAAAAAAAAAAATTTAAGTAACAAGACTGTATTCTACTAATTTTATTAATTTAATATTTAATTTCTGTGATTAGTAATATTCTTGTATTTTTTTTTTTTTTTTTTGCTATTGCTCTCATCTTGGTTGATCTTGATGTTATCATTGACAATGCTTTGACCAATGACTCTCTGGTTATCAACAGGTGTCCATTGATTGACTGATATCTGTTGATTATTGTGATATTTTGTCCCTGTGATAGCAGTTATTGTTTATTCCTGCTGAATTGATGCTTCACTACCTGATCCAAGAATTGAACTCATGACCACTAGATGATAGTAAATGTCATCTGAAATCAACTTTCATTTCAATCCAGTATATCTAAGTTATGAAAACTGGTACAGACCTGCCATCATAACCAAATGTCAAAAACCATCTGACATTGAATATAAAACTCTTTAAAAACACTCCATTAATGTCTTATGGGATGGTAGCTGTGGTTTAGTGGATATAGGAGTTGGTTGAAACGAAAGAATTTGATTTCAGGAGATGACATCTACTGTCATCTAGAGGTCATGAGGCCAATCCTTGGATCAATTAGAGAAGCACTAATTCAGCATGAACGAACAATAACTGATGTCAGAGGGATCACAATAATTAACAGATGACCCATAACAGCCAATCATTTGACACTTTGATGATCAGAGAATACTTGGTCAAAATGTGTTTATATTATAACAACATCTATTTCAACCAAGATGAGAACAATAGTTTGAAATAATACAATAGCATTTATTAATTTAGTTACATTGAACTATTTTCTTTTCTATTTATTAGACCCAAGATTGAAAAGTTTAAGCAACTTGAATACTCGTCAAAATCATAAGTTGTTTATAAAAAAAAATAGTGTAGTTATGACAATAGGTGAAATGTTTCCTGATATTAAATCTTTTTTTATTTCTTTTATTTTTTTTGTGATTAGGCAAAAATGCCTATAGCTTGGCTGAGAAGTTTTCACTAATATGCCATATTCATTGCATTTTGCATCTTCAGCTTACCATTTCTCATGGTCTACAGAATTCTTTTAAGGAAAAAATAATTCCATGGACAGTTTTTGTTGGGAAAGATAAGTTCTAAAAGGGTAGAATTATAAAGTTGCAGAAAGATAGCAGAAGATAGTGGCGCACAACAGTCAATTTATTGAATAAAGTTAATGTTGAAAATAATTTTTTTAAAACTAAATTAAACTAATTTTACATTGTACAGTATTTAAGTGAACACAATTTTTCAATTCCTTTTTTTCTTTTTATTCTGTATCAGTTCAATCAGTGTTTGGTGCCAGAATTGTGATGCTATGGACTTACCTGATGATGAACGTGCTTCACTAGATGATTTTATTGATCAATTATACATTGATCTAGAGAAGGGTAAGCTTGATTTATTGTAAAAAATTTTTGTGATTTTCTGTGATTTTTTTTTTTTTTTTTTTTTTTTGAAATTTCCCATTTTCACCAGTGTATTCACTGGTGAAAATGGGAAATTTCCCAAAAATTTAAAATTCATGGTTTTCATCTTGTTATGAGTAAACTTGCATTCAGATGATTGCCAATGTTTGTACACTCTGAGATGTAACGTCAAATAATGTCTACTATTTGTTAGTGTTGAGTTGCTAAAAATGTTTGAACTTTCAAATTGAGATACACGGACAGAAAATGAAATTGCCTGAAGCAGCCTGAAGGATGATGCTGATTTTGACCAGTGCATATTAGGAACTTGCATAAGTAGACGGACCAGTCTATTTGTGCAAGTTCTAACGTAAAAGAAAATGTAAACTCGTAAAGAAACTAATATTTTGTTTTAATAGTTATTTTGTATATTTGCATTCATTACACCTTCCTCAAGTTGCAATATTTGTCAGAAAAAATATTGACTTTTTTTTTATTATTATTTTAGAGATGGGGGTCCTGTTTGCAATATTGTTGCAGTATAAATTCGATCCCTGGTTTTTTTAAAAGTCTTATCAAGCCTACCCTATCTCAATTTTGAAACTATGCTTACATCATTGATATCAGTGTATGAAAACACTTCTTTTTTTTTTTTTTTTTTTTTTTACAAAAAGATTTCTTTTAAATAAAGAGCAAACAGATATATACATTTTATATGCTTTATTTTAATAAAATATTTTAAACAAGCACCAGCAATAGTTTGTCTGGCAAAATATTTCTTTTTCCTTGCAAAATGTTTGATAACTTTCCTGTTTGGCATGATTACTTGATCCATTGAATATGCCTGGGGAATCATGAGATGATGCTGTATTGTGACAGCACATTTAAAACATATTGAATTATGTGTCAGAGGATGATATTATCTCTGTGATGGTATTCATTTAAGATTACAGCCTTGTGTTAATGCCCAACAAGGATTACAGCCTTGTGTTAATGCCCAACAAGGATTACAGCCTTGTGTTAATGCCCAACAAGGATTACAGCCTTGTGTTAATGCCCAACAAGGATTACAGCCTTGTGTTAATGCCCAACAAGGATTACAGCCTTGTGTTAATGCCCAACAAGGATTACAGCCTTGTGTTAATGCCCAACAAGGATTACAGCCTTGTGTTAATGCCCAACAAGGATTACAGCCTTGTGTTAATGCCCAACAAGGATTACAGCCTTGTGTTAATGCCCAACAAGGATTACAGCCTTGTGTTAATGCTAACAAGGATTACAGCCTTGTGTTAATGCCCAACAAAGATTACAGCCTTGTGTTAATGCCCAACAAGGATTACAGCCTTAAGCCTTGTTGTGCAAACAAGGATTACAGCCTTGTGTTAATGCCCAACAAGGATTACAGCCTTGTGTTAATGCCCAACAAGGATTACAGCCTTGTGTTAATGCCCAACAAGGATTACAGCCTTGTGTTAATGCCCAACAAGGATTACAGCCTTGTGTTAATGCCCAACAAGGATTACAGCCTTGTTTAATGCCCAACAAGGATTACAGCCTTGTGTTAATAACAAGGATTACAGCCCAAATGCCCAACAAGGATTACAGCCTTGTGTTAATGCCCAACAAGGATTACAGCCTTGTGTTAATGCCCAACAAAGGATTACAGCCTTGTGTTAATGCCCAACAAGGATTACAGCCTTGTGTTAATGCCCAACAAGGATTACAGCCTTGTGTTAATGCCCAACAAGGATTACAGCCTTGTGTTAATGCCCAACAAGGATTACAGCCTTGTGTTAATGCCCAACAAGGATTACAGCCTTGTGTTAATGCCCAACAAGGATTACAGCCTTGTGTTAATGCCCAACAAGGATTACAGCCTTGTGTTAATGCCCAACAAGGATTACAGCCTTGTGTTAATTTAACAAGGATTACAGCCTTGTGTTAATGCCCAACAAGGATTACAGCCTTGTGTTAATGCCCAACAAGGATTACAGCCTTGTGTTAATGCCCAACAAGGATTACAGCCTTGTGTTAATGCCCAACAAGGATTACAGCCTTGTGTTAATGCCCAACAAGGATTACAGCCTTGTGTTAATGCCCAACAAGGATTACAGCCTTGTGTTAATGCCCAACAAGGATTACAGCCTTGTGTTAATGCCCAACAAGGATTACAGCCTTGTGTTAATGCCCAACAAGGATTACAGCCTTGTGTTAATGCCAACAACAAGGATTACAGCCTTGTGTTAATGCCCAACAAGGATTACAGCCTTGTGTTAATGCCCAACAAGGATTACAGCCTTGTGTTAATGCCCAACAAGGATTACAGCCTTGTGTTAATGCCCAACAAGGATTACAGCCTTGTTAATGCCAACAAGGATTACATGCCATTTAATGCAACAAGGATTACAGCCTTGTGTTAATGCCCAACAAGGATTACAGCCTTGTGTTAATGCCCAACAAGGATTACAGCCTTGTGTTAATGCCCAACAAGGATTACAGCCTTGTGTTAATGCCCAACAAGGATTACAGCCTTGTGTTAATGCCCAACAAGGATTACAGCCTTGTGTTAATGCCAAGGATTACAGCAACCCAACAAGGATTAAGCAAACAAGGAATGCCCAACAAGCCTTGTGTTAATGCCCAACAAGCCCAACAAGATTACAGCCTTGTGTTAATTACAGCCCCCAACAAGGATTACAGCCTTGTGTTAATGCCCAACAAGGATTACAGCCTTGTGTTAATGCCCAACAAGGATTACAGCCTTGTGTTAATGCCCAACAAGGATTACAGCCTTGTGTTAATGCCCCCAACAAGGATTACAGCCTTGTTAATGCCCAACAAGGATTACAGCCTGCCCAACAAGGATTACAGCCTTGTGTTAATGCCCAACAAGGATTACAGCCTTGTGTTAATGCCCAACAAGGATTACAGCCTTGTGTTAGCCTTTGTGTTAATGCCCAACAAGGATTACAGCCTTGTGTTAATGCCCAACAAGGATTACAGCCTTGTGTTAATGCCCAACAAGGATTACAGCCTTGTGTTAATGCCCAACAAGGATTACAGCCTTGTGTTAATACATTTTTGTACCAAATACAAGTGCTGACTGGAAACTTATGTTGGTGCAAATTTTTCAATTTATAAAATAAGTGTCCTGACTCAAATAAACATTCTCACAGGAATTTTTAATTTTTGCAATGAAATAATCATACTATAGAGGAAATTATTTGAAAAGCAATAACTGTGCTGTACCAAATAAACACCATGTCATTGGTGGGGAATTGTAAAATATGAATCTTGTCAGCGCTAGTATTTGGTTCACAAGAATACTGTTGATACCCTCCATATTTTGATTCAAAATAAACTGAAACACATTTGGATCATTGACATTTTATTGTTCATTAGTGTATAAATGCAATAAGCTGAAAATAAATTTTTAGGGATATAAATCTTACATTTATTGTAGTTATTTTTAGTGGATATCTCAAATTTGAGTAGACATTTTGTTTGTTTATTAAACAATATATTTATTTATTTTTGTCTACCAGCCTAAATGTTTGAGAAAACTTATTAAATAAGAATTTGTGCTAGGACAGTAGATGAAAATAAATAAATATACTGTTTAATAAACAAATGAAACTATAGCGAAGAAAATGGCGACTTACCTCGTCAAACCAAGCGACAGCGTGTCGCGTGTATTCTACGACGGAAAATGTGGCGAAAAAGAAAATTACTTACCAAACAAAAGGGGACGTATTCCGCATGGCATGCTGAAAATGGAATATTTGAATTAAAAAACAAGTTCATCGCAGGAGTCGCTATAAAAGTATTTTGATATGCAAATTACTTAACATCCTCACGCAGCTGTCAACGAATGAAGAAAAAAAAAATCTGCTGAGAAAAGCAGTTGGTGTTCTCGAATCGACAGCAGAAAATTTGGGCATTTTGGCTACTGCGTTTGTTAGAGAGTGAGTTATTTTTCTGACTGGTTACACGCATTGTGATTTGAGATAGTATCGGCGAATCGAGTTTTCAGCATTTCTTTCTGCCACCGATATTCAAGTCTTGTGATACAGTGATTTTTCTTTGTGTTGTGGAAGTAATCTGCAACAAATACTTCCTTTGCTTTCAGAACGCTTACAGAAACATCTACTCAAATATAAGTATCCACTAAAAATAACGTTTAAAGTGATAAAAATCAGTTGCATTAATAAAGAAATCCATTCTAAAGAAATTCATTATTGTGTGTAATTATGGTTTGTGTAAAAACATTTTCTTTATTGAAATGTAAATTCCAATGGTATATATCAAGTGAAAAATTTCCTGTATGTTCATCAGACTATTTCTAACATATTATTTTGTGTATAATAATCTTATTTTTGCAAGGATGTAACTTGGTCTTTTTCAGGCACTGAATACTCCAACATTTTTTATTAACCATTTGACATTATTTTTCACTCAGAATCTGGAACATTTCTTAACTGTGAGGGCTCAGGACTTTATTCCATGCAAAGTTGCTGTAAGTTTGTTTATTTAATCAGTTAATCTACAATTTAAAAAATGTATAACAAAGCCTCAAATTTTTTTTTATATCCCATATTGTTTTATTCCTTTAAATAATTCCATTCCTGCTATCCCCCACCCCCTCCTGAGCTTAATTGGAATTTAATCTCTAGCGCTTGCACACACACAATGAGCCCTCTGGCTGCTGGTGTTTTTATACATCCATATATAATGCATTAAAATTTCCCTTTCTCTGTCTTGCAAGAATAGCTTAGGGGTATGATATCTGACTGATGCCAAATTGGTTGGGTTTCAATCCTGGCTTGAAGCAATTGGATGTCTAGCCACACTGATGAGCTGTGATGCAGTGAAACAGGCTTGTATGTGGATAACTATATTACACTCATTATTCGACTAAGCACTATAGAGAAAAAGTTAATTTAAAAAAAAAAACTGTAGCTGCTGCCGCTATTAATGCATTGCTCTTCATTAATGAATTGAGTCCTCTGGCTGCTGGTGTTTGTATACATCCATATATAAAATGTTAAAATTTCCCTTTCTCTGCTGATAGCTTAGGAGTAGGATCTCTGACTAATCTCAAATCTGTCAAGTTTCAATCCCAGCTTGAAGCAATTGGATGTCTATCCACACTGATGAGCTGTGATACAGTGAAATAGGCTTGTATGTGGATGACATATACACACACACATACACACACACAGTGGAACCTCGACCTACAAACTTAATCCATTCCAGGAGAGGATCTGTAACTGGAAATTTCTTATGTCAAAACAATTTTACCCATCATTTTTGGACGATGCGTGGTAGTTATGTGAATTCCCTTGTCTACATCAAGCTTTTTCTTTTTTATTTCTAACTTGTTCTTTAGGATAATAGAAATTGTTGATGCTGAATGTTCGTATAGATTGGCAAGGTCAGAAACACGGGTACCTTCTTTGTGCTTCTGCATGATTTCCTTATTCATTCGCAAGGATATTTTTCCTTCTTCTTAGTAGCAACCAGCTTCTTGGATGACATTGTGGTCATATATATATCAAAAATACTTTTACAAACTTTGGGGGCGGGTTCCTCACACCAAAACAAGGACAAAAGTCCATATAAACATATGTCTGCAAATCCTTCATGGTCTATCAAAATCCATCAAGTGGCCCAGCATGTCGTACATGCAATGGAATGTACTCAGGAGCAGCTCCTGTATGCATATCATTTGTAACTTGTGCTCGGTCTTTTGCCCTCTGATCACTCGCCATGGGAAAACTTTTGCCAATGGTTTATTGCACTAATTGCTGATCCATTGTTTGTCTCTTCAGTCTTGTTTACAGATGAGGCAAAATTTACACAACCAACATTTCAAATGTTCCCATATGGTGTTGAATGATTTTACAGGCCTCCATGACACATTGATGAAGTGTCTCTGCATTATTAATGTCTACTGCATAAACCAGTTGTTTAGAGGGCCTCACAGATAAAAAAAATCCAAAGGATTGAGTTCAGGGGAATGTGCAGATCATGGAACCATCCCTCCCCTACATATCCATCTTTGATGGTAGATATCAGCCAGTGCATGGCAAACAATGTGACTAAAATGTGCTAGAACCCCATCATGCAGAAACCACATGTGTCTTTGTATTAGCAGGGGTACGTCCTGTAGTAGGTCTGGAAGTGTGTTTAAAAAAAAAATGTCCCTGTAGACAGCTCCTTTAAGATGTGCTGAGAGAACATATGGAGCTACCAGACAGTTATCTACAATTCCAGCCCACACATTTAATAATTAAAAGACGCTTTATCAATGTGTCATGAAGGCCTGTGAAACCACTCAACACTGTGTGTAAGTATTTGAAAAGGTCCACCAGTCAATGATCCGATTGGTGCATGTGTGTATAGAAGCAAACAGAGGACCTTTTAAACATTTATGAGTCGCTGTGTTGAGGTACAACGATGGCCTTTTGGACATATGTTTATATGAACATTTTACCTTGTTTTGGTGTCAGGAATTTTGTAAAAATATTTTTGATACAACCTATATAAAATACCTATTCAATTTTCTGACACTAATATTCTAGTTTTACTGGATTATTTTTTCATGGTGATTTATTTCCTGGATGCAAGATGGTTTTAACAGACAGATTAACAATTTGATCAATATTTTTGGCTGTTGATAAAACAAAGGAATAAAACAGCTATCCCTTGTTGAATTACTAAATTAACATTCAAAAATCATCCTTATTACTGGCAGAGTACTACCTAAACAGCATTTTATTTTGTGCAGAAAGGACATAAGTTTTGTATTGCAAACCTGAGATGGCAGATTATTCTCAATTTTTGAACAGTTGTAAATATATGAGTAATACATTGTTTTTTTTGTTTGTTTTATATGTTTTGATTATTTATGACGTATTCTTAGATTTGTATGCTGTTTAAATCTCTTTCTTGAAAATGCTTTTATTACAGTATTTATATTTTCATCTCATTTTTCTTACAGGTAATCACAGCTGTGTGCCTAATGCTGAAGTGCAGTTTCCTCATAATTGTCACAAACTGCAAGTAGTAGCCCTGGAAAATATAGCACCTGGAGAGGTAATTAAATTTGTTATTATTTATGATTAAATTTTAAAATATTACATCATTTGAATTGAATTTAATTTTCATTATGATCTAATTTAAATGATATAACTATATGTCAAATACTTAATTTTAATTATTTATTTAGAGGCATGAATTGTGAAAATAATTGCAAATTCATGATACTTTTGTTCTGATTAATATTTCAATGTATTTTCAAATCACCCATGAATTAACTTGCAAGCTATGATCTAAATGTACTACTGTCAGAGCATAAAAGAATTTTATTTGAATAACCATGAAACTTAATTATAAAAGTCATCAACAAAATAATCACTTTAAGATCACAAAAAAGACCAGATTGAAAATGAATGATAAAACAGTCATTTCTTAATTTTTTTTTAATATGCAATTTAGTCATATCTATTAATCAAGAACTGCTATGGTGGGCAAAATGTAAGATACATAATGGTAAATATAATATTTACATAATGTTAGGGTTTTATATAATGTGTGTGTATGTTAAAATATTCTTTATAATTTTATTTTATATATTTTTTTTTTGAATGGGGCTAAATTCCAAATCCTGCAGGCATTAATGAATTCATTGCGAGATATATGCACAACCAACAGCAACAACAACATTTTAATTTTCAGCATCTTTCAGCCATGTGTAGATTGAGTTCTTGTAAACATGACGGACACAAGTCGTCATTTTGTGCAAACCGGTGACACAGGATATTGCAGTGTAGTCTTCTCATTTGATTCAGCCAAGGGATCATGCACACACACGTTTGTGTGTATGTATATACTCATAAATACTTGTCAAGTGGTTAGAGTTGTTAAATAATAGACTATTATTTTTATGGATAATTGTATATTGGTTGCAACTTCTGGAGTTTGACCTTCAAAGTCAGATGCAAGCTAAAATAAGGAAGTCAATTTTGATTGGCTGAGACAGTGTGGGAATGACAGATATAGAAAGGTTTTTCAGAGAGTTGTTTCTTAACTGTCAAGCAATGAAGACATATTCTCTTTTGTGTCTAAAACAGTTTCCCACTGGATAGTTAGTACATGTCAACATTGAATTTTTTTTATTACAGCTTCTCAACCATTAGCAGGTTATTTAAAGCCAGAAAATATTTTTAGATTGTGAGAATAATGATTTACCATAGCTGGTGGGAGAAGATGTGTAGTCATACTTTTCCCAAGGGTATTTACACATATAAACAAACCTGACTGGATTTGGAACTCAACTCTCCAATTTCCAATTTCATGCCATTATGCATTACACCACCCACACATCCAAGCTTACAGCACCTGCTGTTCCTAAGCAGTCACTCATCTGGCTACTGATCAATCTTGACATTGCTTAACTTTGGTGATCATATGATTGCCAGTGTTTCAACATGACATGGCCATAAGCCTAGCAGGGCTTGAAGAATTCAGTGTGTTGAAATACAATCTTAATGTAGGATGGTATTACTGCTCCATAAAATACCTAATTTATATTACAAAAATAGTATAACATTTTATATATATTTTTTTTTAATATAACACTTTTACTGCCGCCTACATCCGGTGATGTAACCATGTTTTAGTGGTCCAGTCCTCAGGGTCTTAGAATGACATTTTAACCACAGGGCTAACGCTGCACTGATCAATGCTGACACTGGTCCAAGCTTTTTCCTTAATTCCAACCAGCTTCACTTCACTTCACATCTTGCACTACTACTATACACAAGTAGGGCTAAATTCTGCCTTTTCCTCCTTCCTTCTCAGTATTCTAACTCTGCCCACTTCTCAAGGCTGGCATAACTGCCTTTTGTGACAAATCTAATTTTTAAATTGCGTAGGTGTGACACTATTAAGAAGGCACTAGTAAATTGGAAAAAAGGCTTTAGAAAATAAACTGGAAAACAAGAAAAGAAATGCTGTTTTTCTATAGAGTGAAATTATCTTGATAACAAGACAAGGAAAATGAAAGGATATTTGTTTTCTTTTCTCTCCCCACCCCAGGGTTGAGATGCCAATGATAGCTAGCTTAGAAGCCATCTGTTTTTGGAACAAAAATTAATATTAAGTGATGGTATTTTTTTAAGTGTCCAATTGACCCCATGCAGAAGAATAGATTTTATTTTAATGATCTCAAGTGCTGGTAAGGGAATGAGATAAAACATCAGTGGGGCCACTTATTGAACAAAGTGGGTAATGAGTAGTCTAGCCATGAAGGTTAACAACAAGTCTCTAGCCAAAATTCAATCAATTGATAAGACTTGAATTTTAAAACACGACATGTTTCCAATGGAAAACAAGAATGGAATTTTAGTTAGATTTCTTTTTCGTCTGCCTAAGATGAGATAAAATTTATTAAAACAAAGGAATTTTTTTTCTTTTTGTTACTTGTTGACCAAAGAGCTGGTGAGGGGATACAAAAGGTGACAAATCCTCTTTATTCAATAATTTTTTTCTTTTTGTTACTTGTTGGACCAAAGAGCTGGTGAGGGGATACAAAAGGTGACAAATACTAGATGCAACTGATCACACAATAAGAATTCCCCGCTGATGGAAATTTTGGATGATAGCAATTTTGGCTAGACCACGCCTAGCCTCTGAACAGTTTTGATTAGGAGAAAAAGAGAGAGGTAAAGGCCCAGGTAGAATTTCAAACAAGGCAGAGGAATTGCCTGCACCTTTCAGTTGGTGATGGTGAGAGGCAACCACATGAGATGGAAGGAGTTGGGCAGATCGATATTCTGCCAGCACCATTCTTTGGAAGAGGGATCTCCTCAAATTTGGTCTGGCAATCAATTTCCCAATCATCTCATGCCCTGTGCTGGATTTGCATGAGGGTCCATAAATAGATGAGTGAGACGAGAGATGAGAAGAAAGAACCAGACAGCTCAAGGTGCTGTTTGAGAGAGAGAGAGAGATATGTGTTGCCGGTTGGTTCAAACCCCGCTTTGCCAAACCCCGAGCAGCTTCTGCAGAAAGAACTTAGACTCTGGCCTTGTTCCAGACTACCAAATACAATTGAATTGTTGGTTTGAAGAAAATCACAAAGTGGAAGAAATCAGACTTGTACCAGTTTACTGAGTGTGGCTAGACCTAGTGTCAGTGGGGTATTAAGGGAGGAAGGTGCTGAAAATCTGCATGCTGTTAATTTAGTGAGTAAAACGTTCATTGTATGAACCTTTGATGATATAAAGTTGTTGTGTTACACAGCTGTCTCTTACTTTGTTCCTTGTGACATCATTTCGCCAAAGCTACCGGATCAGTGATGTTGAGTATACAACTTGACCTTCACCAACATTGTGATCTAAAAACAAACACAATGTGGGCAGAGTGGGATTGAAGATTCAGGGCAACAAACTCCAAGACTGGCTGTAAGGATCAATCACAGACTTGCCCGGTGACTGAGGGCATGATTGTGATGTCATATAGGAGAAAGGGAGTGGTTTATTCTTCTGATTAATTTCAGTTCTCCAACTCCCTTTCTAGCAAAAACACAAACCAGATCACCTTCTCATTTTAACCTTTCAAGCGATAGATAAAAATTATTTCCCAATTTGTTTTTTGTCAATGAAAATATATTTGTTTACCTAAATTCCCAACAAAGAGACACGCTGTTTTCTATCCTTGGGCTGGTCACTGTTTTAGTGAAAATATATGCCAGATCACTTGCCTGTTATGACTGATTGATTTTCATAATCCTAACCTGTGTAGCAGGTTCATTCAGGTTTTCGCTGATGAAAATATAATTCTTGTCTGCTTCTCTTTTTACCAATGACATGTGTTTTTCTAATTTTCCAAGAAAGAGATAAGGACATTTCCCAATTTGCTTTATCTGCATGCCAAATTTTCGATAGGTAAAAAAAAAAAAAAAAAACTCTTGGTGCATCATTCCAAATTGTAGGGGTGAGGCAACCCAGATGGCCCTTTCTTCACTTCAACATTACCAGGGAAAAATGTCTTCCATTCTCTCTTTATATCTTCCAGTTTATATTTCATTTTAGGCTTAACCCTTTTTCTGCTTAGAAGTAATGTTTAACCACTTCACACCCTCAGTGTCACATAGAGATGCCATTTTCTTTTCAGGAAATCTGTGTGAGTTATTTGGATGGCTGCATGTTAGAGCGAAGTCGACACAGTAGGCAAAAGCATTTGAGGTGAGTTTTATTTTGTCTTTCTTTAATTTTTGTTTTACACATTAAATAATTATGCTTTCTCAGAGCTAGAATCTGCACAAAAAATGATTGCCCAAGAATTCATGATTGTATTCTATCAAGCTTGTTTTGCAGACTACTTTTCTTGTTTTGTGTATTTTTTTTTATATATAAAAGTAATACTGTATTCTCTTTGGCTTTGATGTTATTTATTACTGCCTCACTGACACTTTAAAAATTCAGATACGTATTTGCTTTTTACATAAGATCATCATCTCTAAGCATGACCTTGTAAATAACTAAACTGAGGTCATGTAAATAAAATTACAGAGCAGTTAACTCATGTACAACAATTAGTAAATCCATTTTGCATTTGAGCCTATTAAAGATAACAATTAAATGTGTTCACTTTTTTAAGGAAAGTTGTTGACATATTTAGTTAACATTATTTGTTCACTTTTTTGGTATACTTGAAAGTCTTAATTAAAATTATTTTTTATTGCAATATAATTTGGTTGTTACATTTCAGTGTTTTGTTGAACAGACAGTTATGTAAAAAAAAAAACTATGTATAGTATGTACAAAGGGAGCAACTCTTTAATACGAATAATGTTCTACCAAAACTTTTTTCTGATTTAATAAGGAAAATATGAGAAACGTCCTGTTTTTAATAGTTTATTATATTTTCATAAGTGAATTTAATCGGTTTTATCTCTTTTTCTTGTCTTTTTAGAGATAATTATCTGTTCAATTGCATGTGCAGTAAATGCCAGGCACAAGCAGGAAATCCAGATGTCACATCAAGTGAAGAAGAGGATGAAGAGGATATGGAAGCAGAAGGAACATAACATTTAAGCAATAAGATTTTGTTTGGTATAAAAATTAAATATATGTAATAAGTTTCTGTTTTGTCTTATTTGTATAAAAAATGATTGTATAATGAAAGTTCTACTGCTAGGAAAGTTGGTTCACAGTGTCATGCCAGACAGTTCTTGTTAGAATCCATCTTGCATGTTTATTAATTTACCATTCGTCCATGCATTGAATACTGCTGTAATATTTGATCTGGTGCTCCTACTATAGATTTTAAGATTCTTGACAAAATTCAAAGGGTCTGTAATCTAATCAATCCTGACATCTTGACTTCAGTCACTTTCTCACCAATGTGATGTCTTTTCTCTAGATATTTTCATGGCAGTTGTTCTGAGATTTTCTCCTTAGTGCATTGACTGTATAAATTTAAGCATGCTACTAGATTGGAAACTAGGTATCACCATTTTACTGTTGAACTACCTGGATGCAACTCTATTCTAATAGTTTCTTTTCTTACCTGTGGAAATTCTTTCCAATATCTTGCTTCCCTGCCACCTTCAAAAATTTAAATACAATGTTGATCACCATCTTCTATTCTTTTATTGTCCTATTCCTCACTAAAAACTTATTCTCTTTCACTCCCTGTAACCTAATGGCATTATTGCCTTGCTTGGGATGAAATGATTAAAAACAAGAAAAAAAAGCATTATGTTCAGTTGATGTACCTTTTTACTTAAAAAATAGACTTATATCTGCATGATTTTTTTTTTCTTTTAGAAAGCTTCATCTGTGACATTCTTATTCCAATGACTTTTTTTATTCAGGAAATTTTCTTTTCAAATTCTTAATTTAGGTTGCAAGATAAAGCATCTCATTTGAATATTTAATAAAAGGTTGGAATAAGGATGTGATCACAGGTAAATTTTTTAAAAACATCATCCTGACCCATCGACTTTAAGCTCAAATATATACCAGCAAAAGAATAGATCAATTTTTGTGTATAATCTTTTAATATATTTCATTGTATTTCATTTTTTAGAAATATAATTTGAGGAAGAGAACTCTAAGATTTGTGATATATTTGGCTACATGTGATAAAATGTGAACTGGAAGATATGTCTTTTAGTTTTACAAAGAGTATTCAATTGCCACATTGCAGTTTTAAATTTTATTCTTTTTTGTTTAACTTTCTTACATTAGTTTTAGTAGTTAAAAAAAAAAAAAGAGACATTGAGATTGTTAATAAATGATTTATTATTAATGTAAAATGTTATTCCAAATTCTTAGATTAGTGGAAGAATAGTTGACAATGACAGTTTATCTTGTCAGGTTACAAAGAAAAAAAATGTTAGTTTTAATCTTCAGATAAGTTTTTAGCAATTTTTCAAGAGTGATCAAAAATTTATCTAAATGTAACCATTTTAAAATTCTTTATTGAATGAATAACAGTTAAAGCACTAAAATTGGAAAATATATTTTATTTATCTTTGAGCAAAAGGAAATCACAAAGGCACACTGTGCAGCATCTATTAAAAGTTAAACTGCCTCTTCTTACTTTGGCCCTAACATTTTTTCTGGTCTCACAATCTCATTGAATTGTTTTTCCGTCAATAAATTAAGTTTGAGTGCTGCTTCCTTCAATGTAGTGCCTTCCTTGTGAGCCAGTTTGGCAATTTTAGCAGCATTATCATAGCCAATATGGGGGTTAAGGGCTGTGACCAACATCAAAGATTCATTCATGATAGTGGCAAGACGTTTCCGGTTAGGTTGGATGCCAGCTACACAGTTGTCTGCAAAGGAAACACAGGCATCTCCAATCAATCGCGTTGACTGCAAAACATTACGGACGATGAGAGGTTTGAAAACATTTAGTTCAAAATGACCATTGCTTCCTCCAACGCTGACAGCAACTTGGTTGCCCATGACTTGAGCTGCCACCATTGTGATTGCTTCACACTGAGTTGGGTTGACTTTACCTGAAAAAGTCATTTAGATTATCAAGTTTTTCTTCTAGTTACTTTAATTAAAGCTAAAACAACTCTTTGCCTTTAAAGCAATTTTTCAAAGAACAGTGCTTAAGACAAAATAGAGAACTATTGATATGTCATATTTATCAATCATACAGCCTGATCTTCCCATTTTAGTAATGATACCCTGCTATTATGTTAACAGGTGGTGTTACTTAATGCAAACATAACAATAGAATATCTCATTAGGGAGTAGTGAGAACAGGTTGCTAATATATTGTTTTTATTTCATGTTAGCTTTGAGTGTTTCTTACTTTTAATAATTTAAAAAGCAATACTTTATTCCATGAAAAAATAGTTCATTGTATAATTTAAAATTCTACATTACTCCTGTAGAAAGTATAACAAATACAATTGCAAGATTACTTAAATAAAATAAATATTTCCGTTTTTTTTTTTTTTTTTTTTTTTATCTATATTTTTCTTACAAAATTCCTATAAAAAGTCTTCACCTGGCATAATACTGCTGCCTGGCTCATTCTCAGGTAATGAAAGTTCTCCAAGTCCACAGCGAGGACCAGAACCAAGAAAACGGAGATCATTGGCTATTTTCATCAAGCTACAAGCAATAACATTCAGGGCACCATGGACTTCAACCAGAGCATCATGTGCTGCCAGGGCTTCAAATTTATTGGGAGCTGGAGTGAATGGCAAACCTTAATGGAAAAAGAAAGAAAAATTAAAAAAAAAAAATTGTAATGTAGATTCAGTGGATTCATATTTTTCCAAAGGTATTTATACGAATTTGTCTCTAATTTCTCATTCTGAGCCACTATCCATTACACCATGCACACATCTGCTAACATAAATTTGTAAAAAAACATTGTAGATAAAATTAGAAAAAATAAAATTACTGATATATAAAGACATTTCTTTTAATTGTACCAATATATATATTTTGTTTATTTTTAGGATAACTAAATTCTGGGTTTAGTGAAAAGAGATAGACCCACTAGATTTAAAGATAAACTAAATAAGCATTTATGTAAGTTTTTTTTTTTTTTTTTTTTTTTTAAATGTAAAAACTTCAAATTTAACTAGATTACATAAAAAAATTGACCCACTGAGCCAAAATTAAAAGAGAATGTGGAACTAACCAGTTATTTCAGCAACATTTTCAGCCACTTTCTCAGCAAATCCAATTCTTGTATTGATTCCAGTACCAACAGCTGTTCCACCTGAAAAATTATTAGAAAATAATTACATCATGCTATTTAAGTCTATAAGGACAAATAAAATGGATTTCTTCAACTTCATATACCACATATACAAGGTCATTCTGAAAGCAATGTGCGCGATTAACTAATATTTAATTAACACTCCTTGGTTTTTTGAACAGGAGTAGAGGTTTAGCCCTTGTTTCCTGCTTAGGAATGAGTTTCTGATTTTTTTTTAAAGTTTTTTTTTCTTCTCTCTCACTACTAGTAGCCCCTTGCATCTTAGTGGTGTTATTGTCTTGCTTGAGGTGAATTGATTTTTTTTTTTTTTAAAAAAAAAAGAAGAAAAAAAGTTAGGTTATTTTATATTCACAATATTCTGAATGATTGTTTATGTGTGCAAAAGTTCCAAGCAGTCTTTTCTGAAAACTTCTACTCATATCTATGAGTGTAAAGGAGAAAAGATAATTCCATGGAACAAAAAAAGTCAGTGAGATCATGCCTCAAATTGTAAAATGTACAAGTATGTATAAAAGTCCCTACAAGAAATGTGATGAGTAACCTGTCAGTAATATAAATTTTTAGAGGACTGGAGGATTTATTATGGGATAACAAGGGAGAGAAAAATGGTTTAGTAATATGAATGGACTAGTTTTCCACAGTAGTATGTATGTAATTTCATTATTTGTAATTTCAAATTCTATTTTCTTTCAGTATTTTAGTAAGTATTTATTTGAATAATAAAGAAGGGAGACTGACCAATGGCTAATTCATAAAGCCTAGGTAATGTTGCCTTAACTCGTTCAATACCATTGGTCATCTGTTGGACATAAGCACTAAACTCTTGGCCAAGGGTAAGTGGAACAGCATCCTGCAAAGCAAATAGATAATACTTTCAGATATCAACTCATTTTTAGGTAATGAACTTATAAAAATTTAACCAAAAGATATAGATACAATTATTTGTGTATGATCCCTGCTGATGACAGCTTCAGTTGAAAGAGATAAAGGAATAAAGAGACAAAAATGAAAAATTTCTAAACTAAAACATTCTAATTTTTAACATTTTCATAGGTTTACATTATTCTGATTTTTGATATTTTGTTTAAGCACATTGCAATTACTAAATGCTTAAATTGCCAATAGTAGTCTAGCTATCAATTAACAGTTTCTTTAGAATGTTCCTTTTGTATATTTCTTGTAGCATTTGAATGAAAAACAATTGTCTATTTTTCATGTAATATCTACAAGTGATAATGAGAGATAGAATATAAGGGGAAATAACACAGGCTCCAGTGTAAGAAAAACTTTATTTACCATTTCTACTGAATAAAGAATTTGTTTCAAATCTTGTCACATTCTACATAATGGTTGAATTAATTTTTAATTTACTTATTTTTATTATATTTCACTTTTTTTTTTTTTTTTCATCTGTGATAAAATTGTCCAGTATTCATTACCATAAAGAAGATTTTTGTTTTCAATGTGATTTCACTTTCTTGGTGTTATCTAAATCTGTATCTAAGTCTTTTTTTTGTCTATGACAAAATTCTGCAGCATTCATTGTCATATAGAAGACTAGGCATTACATAGCAGTCCAGCAGGCTTTTCTTTATTTTTAATGTTATTTTTAATTCCCTTAATACATTACTCACTTTCTGGCTGTTATCTAAGCCTATATCTCAACATTCATTGCTTAGTCTTGTCTTGATCTCTATATATAGGAGATTAGACATTACATAGCAGTCCAGCATTCTTTTCTTTGTTTCTAATGTTATTTTTTAATCCATTTTTTGGCTGTTATGTTATTCTTTATCACAATATATCATTCAAAGTCTCTTCTTCATCTGTGATAAAACTACAGGAGGATAGACATTACATAGAAGTCCAATTTTCTTTCTTTCTTTTTTTTCATTTTTAATGTTTTTCAATTCCTTAATACATTATTCTGTTACTGAAAAGTATATTTCAATATTTCTATGCACCTAGATTTCTGTGTCACACTTTCTGTTGTCTCTTAGTACACTGCCCACAGTTGAATTTCTGCTTTTATTTAATTTTGACATTTGACAATATGTATCTCATATTCTGGATTGTCTCTTTTGCTCACTACCAGGTATTCTGTCTTCTGACAATTAATGGTCAGTCTTTTCTTTCATTACTAATAATACTAATACAAAAACAAACACGGCACTGAGAGAGATTGTGGAATGGAGTGAAGAGTTAAGGTTAGATTTGATTTTCTGCAATCCACTGAGCAGTTTGCACATTCAACCAGGCTTCAAAAAACTTACTGAGAACCTTTTATTTGTCATAGATTGATGAACTAAATAAAGACTCATCAAAATTAATAAGGGATGATGCAATATTATTTCAAATGATAGTAAAGGATATACCATTGCTAGACACTGCATATCATCAGCAGTCTTTAACTATGAAAATATGACATTACTTTTTGGGGATATCAGCTAGGGGTTTATGTTAAAGCTAATGTTGTATTTACTGTTGTTAATTGAAGACAAATATCAAGTATAAATCGGTAAAAGATGTGAAAATTTTAGTCATAAACTTAAAACAGTAAAGAACAGACTAACACACTATCACTCAAATATGCTACCAAACTATGACAGTCATAACAAATAAGAAAAATATTTCAATTATTTTGCACTTTTATCCATTATTGATACATCCAGAATCAAATGTTAGTTGGCATAATATAGTATCAGATCATTGCAAAAGTTTGTGCCCAATTTTCATTGTTAATATAAAATGACTGCAACTTAACCCTGTTTTTGTGCTGATTTCTAGTGTGTTCTAGATTGAATCCTTTCATCGTGCAGTTCAGTTTGGTGATTTTTAACCTAAATGATCACCCACACTCTGTGCAACTTGATATCGATAAAGATGCTCTGCTTGACATTGTTGAGAATAAACCAAAGATTTTTTTTTAGGAAGAGATTGCTAAGAGTTTGAAAACTGATATCTCAACTGCCTTTTTACTATATGGTTCAAAAAAAAAAAAATTGGGCAAATTGAAAAGGTGGCATGACAACAGAAGATTGCATGTTGCAGAAGCCTAAAAGAGTTGAAATGGAGAAACCCTCACCGTATTCTCTTGATTTGGCTCCTTCAAATTTTCATTTGTTTCAGTCTCTAGAAAACAATTTAAATGACAAAAAAATTCTTCCAACAAAAAAAAAAAAACAAAGTTTCTATAAGAATGGCATCAACAAGTGTGTAGAACAATGGGAGACAGTTAAAATAGCCGGGTACTATGTACTTGACTAATAAATGCTTTTTGGGGGAGTATGTAAAATTTTGTTTTTAATTTTCTAATCGGGCACAAACTTTTCCAACGATCTAATAATAATAAGCTTTGTATACTGTTGTAGTCCTGAAACTCTTTCTCAGGTTTTTACTAACCAGACAAATCACCCCACGTTGTGTTTTTATTCTAGTCTCCATTGGTATGCACCAAAATAAAAGGGAAAATCCTGTTTCTAATATATTTGGTTATTTATTCAGGGATTCATTTGTTTTATTGGATAAAAGTGGGGAAACATTGGTCCAATAATGCCAATTGTCTGTAGTTACTGACACTAAGTCTGATCAACTCAAGCTTTTCTGCTACTGTTAAATTCATCCTTTTCCACTCTTCCTCCAGATGGCATGGTTATAGAAAATGATTAATATAAAATCACTTAAACACATTGGAATATAAAAAAAGAGGAAAACTCATGGACCAATAAGCTACATGTGTGGTTACACAGATGTAAACAAAGTGACAGCCTTCCAACTAGCAGTCGGCTTGTGAAGCAGCAGCTTGTATCCAGTATGGCTACAATTCCATCCATAGCATACATGACTTACAAACTGAGCCAGCTGCTCCAGGTTTTGTCTGTTGCTTCTGATATTTGTTAGAGAGAAGTTCGTAATACTGAAGTAGGAGTGCTTTGCTAACAGGCATGCATCAGAACTACTCTCAACTATGAGCCTGTAGAGGGAATATTCTAACTTCTGGCAAAGTGACACTTATTCTTGAAAGTTTTCATTTATTTATTTTATTTTATTTTCACCAGTGGATGGCCACTTAGAAGACCTTACTTCATAGACTTTACTATTGGTCATAAAAACACTAGACACTTTGGACTCAGATAAAATCATTAAATGTTCACTTCTATGTAGGTGACCTGATCCAATCATGTAGGGAACTCATAGTGTCATACTGTGTTTTACCAATATAGTAAGAGACTGGAACCTCAGCCAACAGAGCCAGTAATTTTATACTCTACCAATAAACAATTTATATAGTGGATAGATTACCTACTATAGATGATTAACTTTGAATGCATTAGTATTATCTTCAGAGTTGTAGATAAAACAAAAATAGATGTAAACCAAACTTTTTAAAATGTTAGATATTTGATATAAAGAATTCCTCATAATTTTTTTGCTAGTTGTACAAGATTTACAAAAAAAAGGAACTGAGAATTTTTATAATCATTTTCTGTCCTCACAAAAGGTTAGCTAATAAAAACAAATCATGAAAGTAACTTACTTGAGTGTGAGTCCGTCCAATTTTGATGATGTCTTTGAATTCTGTGGCCTTGGTTTGCAGAGCAGCCTGTAGTTTCTGCATTCCAGGTAGTAAGCAATTGTTGATTTCAAGAGCAACAGAAATATGCATTGCTGTGGGAAATGTGTCATTGGAACTCTATAAAACAATTTTTTTAATGTAAAGAACATTTCAGAGTGACAACACAGTGAAGACAAAAAATAATGTGAGAAAGAGATTTTCAGTTTGTCCAACTGATCAAAACGAGCAATATTAACAATATGAATGGATATATCCTGAGTATATGAAATGAACCTAACCGTTTAATGCTTAGCCATGAGAGATTCTAAATGTTTACACTTTATATATCATGGACAATCATCAAGCCAAAAACAAACTTATAAACTTTTGATATTTTTAAAGTATTTAAATATTTGCATTTTCTCAAATAGAACTCAATTATATAATTATGAAATTTTAATCCAAAAATTACACCACGTTAGCACATCAACTGGATGCTTGTACAGAAAAACTATATTTTATTTATCTTGGTTTTAACAAATAATAGCAATTTCTTTAAATCATAGTTTAGTTATGAGTTTCTTAATCTTACACACGTTAATGAGTTTTCTGGCTTAGAAATGGATAGTTCTAAAAATAGTTACCAAATGTGAAGGAATAGAAATTTTGGATATAGTAAGTAGTAGTAATGTAATGGTTGGTCACTTGTATCTGAGGATGCCTATCTGCTAAGGTGGCTAGCCAATTCCTATTGCAGTTACATGCTCAGGCACTTTTTTTTTTATTCAACACACGCAGAGCCTGTGTGTGGTTTGTATTGCAACTATGTTGAGCGGACCTTATTTACAGTTTCTGGGAAAGTGAATTATCTGGTGTGATCAACAGTCTAAACAAAGCCAGTATACTCAAACCTTTGGTCACGATGACTTGTGACTTTGGGCTAGCTTAACCATTGATGGATCTGAAATAGTTCTGTCTACCCAATTTCACCCACAAAGCTTGGGTCAACCTGTGGTATGGCTTTTAGGCATTTTCCAAATCTGCTGCACACTGGGATTACCTCTATAGGCCAATAGCATCAAGAAGTTACCTTCCTGAAAATTCAACCATAGTGTGATTTGAACCCGAGTCTCATGGTTGGAAAGCAAACATTCTAACCACTTGGCCTTGTGCCCATATTTTGGATATAAGAATAAAAGAAAAGGAGGTGTATGTGTGTGTGGGGGTATTTATGTAAATGAACAAATTTTTTAAAGGTGATGTTTTACTTTCAATGAACTTTTAATTCATCACATTTATATTTGACTGGTATTATTAAAGAAGAGTTTATGAATCTGGAAATTTACAATATGAAGGTTAGTTTGGTTTGTTTTGTTTTATGGCATATCAACCTCAATGGGTCATTTAATGCCAACAACTTTTTTTTTCTGGTAATATTTTTGCTTTGTCAAAAATCCATTTCTGTCAATATTTTTTCCTCAAAAACATATAGGAGGTAATATTATTTTTCCTCAAAAACATATAGCTGGTAATATTATTTTTCCAAAAACGTATAGCTGGCAACATTAATTTTTCAAAAACATTATCAGAGGCCTTGCTGTTGGACGTAGTTTATCGTCATACCCAGGATGCATGAAGGTTAGGATTAGGTTCCTATTTTTTGACAAGTGAAACTTATTGGCAGAAATAGCAATGACTTCTATCAGAAAGGATTTTTATGAAAATATTTTTCCTTTTGATTAGGATATTAAAAAAAAGAAAAACTGAATTTAAAAAAAAAAGATTCTTTAGTCTTATCACATATTTCAGTAAACTGCTGTAACTGGGAACTAAGATAACAGAAGCACTGTTTCAGATATTGTTCAGACACAAAAGTACTGAGTTGGTCATATTGTATATGTATGAATAAAAAGCAGGAGTATTACTCCTGTAGACAGAAGTCACCAGACTAACCTGTCATTGTTGTGATATTTGGCGACAAGGATGAGATCCGAACTCACACAGGGAGACCTCCAATACAGATGGATCAAGTCAACTACTGGCGGAGGACTATTTTACACCATTAACTTGTCGAGAGGAAGTGGAATAATTCTTGCCCCTGATAACTTGTCTCTTTCTCAGAGTTCTTTTAAAATGCCCAGACATTCCCACCTAAGTAACAGTTTGCGACAATAATACTGTTTAATTAAATTTTGAGTAATTAGGGAGGTATGTTGTAACTAGAGACTGGGGAAATGGAAGCACTGTTCAGACATGGAAGTATTATGTTGGCCATATCATGTATGTATGAATAAAAAGCAGGAGTATTGCTTCTACAGACAGAAGTCACCAGACCAAACTGCAATATCATCATTATTATCAACATTTTAATCCACTAGGCTATTTTCTCATGGGACAATTCTGAGTGAAGAACTTTGAGTCTTAAACCTAACTTGCCTGCAAATGAATGCAGCTGGTAGATAACTGTAAACAGAGCATTTCAAATGTTTATCAAACACTGACTATTCCAAGAGATGATCATGGTTCTTCAGATCCTGTTGAAGAATCATTCTCATCTCTTGGGATATGTTTAAGTGGATTTTAGCTAAGTAACGGAATGCAGAGGTCCAGACCCACCATCTCAACATTCTGCCCAAAACCAAGTGGCAGAGTAGGGTCCAAGATGGTTACTTGAGAATCAGTTTCAATGAATATATATCGAAACCAAGATTAGATGCCTTTCCCACACCTCACAATATGTGCTTGCCCATGATATTTTGGTAAGTAATCTGAGTTGTCTTCCTTCTAAACTGGTTACTGTATCAAGGCTAGAGAGCACAGTCTTCTCTATAATTTTACCCATAACCGCAAGAGAAAAAAATAGATTCATGCCATTCTTAAGAGCATTACAGTGAAGTGAATGTAACAATCTTTGCTAGAATTTGAACTCAGATTATCAATTCCATTTTATATCCTGATAACAATTATGCCACTTTCACATCCACATCAGATTTTTATATGCTAATATTTGAAAACACTTTTTATGTATACTACTAGTTTACCAACAATGTAAAAAAAAAAAATGATGTTCATATATAAATAGATAACAGTCCTGTGTTGTCATAATGAAAAGACTGCAAAGTGTTGCCAGTGTAAGGGAATTAGCTAGTACAAGGGAGATAACTCCAGCACAATAAAAATATGATAGACATAGCACAAATATACACATCACATTATAGTAAAATATCACTGGAAAAAATCAATGTGCCATCAATTTGAAAAGACACTCAGACATGATACTGACTTACCTGACTCATATTGACATGATCATTTGGATGTACAGGAGTCTTACTACCAAGCTGTCCCCCCAACTTTTCAATGGCTCGATTGCTGATCACTTCATTTGCATTCATATTCGTTTGTGTACCAGAACCTGTTTGCCATACGACCAGAGGGAAATGATCTGTCAAACTGCCACTGCTCACCTAATTGCAAAAACAAACAGTAATTGGATGGTTGCTTCAGTAGAATATAAAAAAGAATCTTGTTATAAAAGAAAATTTATGAAAAGAAAAAATAATTTAAAATAGAATCAAATAGGTAAAGTTTAACATACTCGCAAAAAAAAGGTATGTCAAAAGGTTTCTCTCTTGACACTGCTATTATTGTCTACTCCATCAGCATTTTGTATTGCTTAAAAAAAAAAAGAAGCTATTTTTAGAATTTTGATAAAACCTAATAAAAAGAATGTTTGATTTGGGAGATATGCTCTCAACCTATTTTAGTGAATTTATGTAACAAATGAAAGAAATGTCTTGAAAATGCATTTTTTTAAAATTTATAATTAGTTACTCATTATGTGTTTATTTAAATTTTTTTGGTCTATGAATAAGAAAATTATTTTTTACAGTTATTTCTTTGTAAAATGGTAAATAATAAATATTGCATTGTAGTTGGTTTACTATTTACATTCTTTACATACAGCCTATTGTCCCTATCTTTGTTGTTTTTATCACAGTATTTTGGCCATTGTTATCTCCAAGGAATTTCAAACTGAACCCTTTATTCAATCTGTAGCAGACTATTCTTGTACCACTGACTAGTTCTTATTTTAGTACTGCTCATTCCATTTCCACTGAGTCAAAGTAAACTCTGCCTGGCCAAGGTTTGTTAAACTTTGCCACCAAGAATTTTTCAACGACCTGATTATGGGTTGTAGAGAAACTTATTCATACAAACAAAAAACGTACAACCACTCAAAGATGGCAGTTACAATAACCAAAATAACTTTGTTTATGAAAGAATGTGGATTATTTTTCTTAGATTTGTTAGAATATAGTGCCTTGAGATTCATAAACAAGAGAGTTATAGTTGAGATATAGTATATAAAACTTAGTAAGAGTATTTTATTAAGAAAAAACTATAGAACAAATGAAAAATCTTTGTTTTTGCTTTTGATAAACTTTCAAAGAGAAAATATAACAGAAGAGATACAAACTTCCATTGCAGCATCTTTAATGGCAGCAGCAATTTTAGGATCAAGACCAAATTCCTGATTTGCAGAAGCAGCAGCAGCTTTCAAAATACCAAATGCTTTAATTAAGGCAACCTAAAAAAATATAAGATGTGATGAAACAATTTTAACATGTGGAAAGATTTGTAAGATAAACAGGCATTAAGATTTTCATTTTGTCTTAAAAGTGGCAAGAATCTGATAAGTTTTCAATCAATCTTTTTCTTCTAGGTTTAAATTTAGGATTACCAAAGTGGGCTTTGGGTGGCATTTGAAGAAAGTAATAATTTTTTTCTTTTACAAAATTTAAAATCAGTTACACTTAGGAGGTATGGGAGAGTAATGGATTGAAGAATCAGAGAGCTTTGTTTGAATAAATGAATATTAACCTTTTTTCATATAATTGTATTCAACATTCTTTGTTTAATTCAAAATTTATGGTTTTATTTCATAACATTTAAATGTATACCCTTTAAAAATTTCCCTAAGTGTGCCGTGATATTTTCATGTGCTGTTGCTTAAAAAGGTTAAGAAACACTACACTAATGGTTTGAATGATTTCAGCCTCTTAGCTTAGTAGGATTTAATTAAACTAAAGAAGGTATGAAACTTAATAATTATTAAATCCAGAGGGTGGCTCCAAACTTTTGACCTATAGTGTACATGTTCACTTTCTTGATTATGTTAAACAGAATATTTATCCTACTAAAATAAAGATAAAACTTACAGGCATTCGTTCATTTTCTCCACCGATATTGAAATTAGACAAACTACGAGCAGTGACAGCACCATATAGTTTATCTGCAGGAACTGAGATAGGACCAAAGCTGTCTGTTTCAACACGCACATTTTCACCCTGCAGCACAAGAAGAAATAAAATTTTACAACTGGAAAGAATATTTACAAGGGTTGGCTGAAAAGTTCATAGGCTGACCAAGATACTCTCATGGAATGTAAACAAATAAGATCTTTTTTTCGACTTGCAGCCCACAAGCTTCTTCCTTCGGTGTTGCAGTGATTTAATCCCATTGGTGTAGCAGCTTTCATCCTGTTAGTCAAAAAATCTATCAACAGCAGATATGACGTCATCACTGCAATACTGGTTCTCAGCTGCATTTTTCATGTCGGGGAACAGATGATAGTCAGACGGGGCTAAATCAGGAGAATAGGGAGGTTAATCAACCATTTCAAAGCCACAGTCACATACAGCAGCCACTGAAACCAAGGACTTGTGTGCTGGAGCATTGTCCCTACAGAACAAGACTGCTTTCATCAGGTTTCCTGGACATTTGGTCTTGATAGACCTTCGTAACTATCTCAGCAAGTTGGTACAGTGCTCACCATTGATGGTGTGGCTGTTTTGAAGATAGTCAGTAAACACAATGCCTTTTGCATCCCCCAAAAAATGAAGCTATCATGTTCCCTGCAGATGAAATGACCTTGACCTTAACAAGTGAAGGGGATATTTCCACTGCATGGATTGTTTCAGGCTCAAAGTGTTGAACCCAACACTGATCCTGGGTTGGGAAATGTTTGAGAAAACCAGCTGGATCTGCCTCAAACAATGTCAGATTTTCCTGTGATGGTCTGCTGGCATCTCCCAAGCAGAAAACTTCAAGTTCATTGTGCAGAACATTCTCAACTCTCACATGTGATATGCTAAGAGAATTGATTTATAGTCAATAGCCTGTCATCCATAGCCATGTGGTGAACATGATCAATGGTTTCCTCAGTGGTGGCAGCTTCAGGATGTCCAGAATTTAGATCCTCTTCATGACCCTTACTTCCCCTCCTAAATTCAGCTGCCCACTTTTGCACCGTTGATAAAGCTGGAGTGTCATACCCTAATGTAGCAACCATGTCAGCATGAATGTCCTTGAAGGCTAAACCTTTTTTCTGCGGATACTGGATAACATCACAATGCCAAATTCTGTCCATTTTCAAGAGAAGTTGCTACTAGTTACATATGAAGTCTTTGAACAGTCAGATGTCAGTTTACCTGGAAGGAAACAATGCAGTTATTAATAAAAAGAATCGAAATTAATGCATGTAAGATTTCACAGATCTAGCATCATTCCTTCATACTTAGCATATGAACTTTTCAGCTCTTCCCCATAAAACCTGAAGAAAAATGCTAGCAATTAAAATATAATTGTTCTAAATCAAATGTCAACATTTAAGATTTATTTATTTAAAACAAACAATCAATTTATTTCTGGATTATGTCATTAGTTCAGAATAATTGGCTTATTATTATTATTATTATTGGGGATAATTATTATTATTGTTTTTTTTTTTTTGTTTGTTTGTTTTTTTTTACATTTTGGTCATGTTTCCATTGGTCTTCCTTAAATGTTTTTTGATTCTGAACTCAACAAACCAGACATTTGAGGAAGACCAGAGAGTACATGAGTGAAACATAAAACAAAATTCAAGAAATTAGTCTAAATCAGACACATACAATGAGATTATATATTGTGGACTCTCCCGTTGTTGCTTGATGAGGGCTGTTGATCTGAGCCTACTGGGAACCTTTTTATGACGTATGAGGGTCAGCCAAATCAGTTCTTAGAAATTGACAGCCAGACAACCTTTGATTTGATTATAGTAGTGAAGGTTTTGTGCAGAACCAACCACACTTTTTGAAGAGCCGAATATAGAGACTGGGTGCACTTCATGCCACAATGTTCCTAAATGACCCTCTGCAGGTTTTGAATTCAGAGTTGTCCTTCTCCTAGATCATTTGCCATCCAAGGCTATAGAACCCAGTCTGTCTTGCTATTTACCCATAGCTGGAGGGAGAAGAAGAGGTTTAATACCTTCCCCAAGGGTATTAGCACGTAAGTGAATGTAATGGATTCGACTGGAATTCAAACTCGGCTCTCCGATTCCTTAATCCAAGCTGATATCCATTACTACACCATGTCCTCGATATATATATGTGTGTGTGTGTGTTTTTGTTAAAGACAACTGACAAGGTATTGCGATTAAGATTTTTATTTAATTTTTCTTGTGTTTGTACAAGTGTTTTCTTTTCTGGACACATCTTCCCCTAAAATAATGCTGTTAGTATGGAAAATCTGCTCAGTCTGCACTTGTCCTATTAATACATGTTCCATGTAGAAAATATGGTATTTAAACTAGTTCCTATATGCAAAATATATGTTGGCTACATAGACGATATTTTAATTTTTATTGAGAAACAAACAAGAAATAGATAATCTCAAAACCACATTTGAAAAAAAACTGTCCTTCACTTAACTGAGTCAAAAAAATAAACTCCCATTCTTAGACATTCTAGTAGAATACAGTAATAACACTTTCACAACCTCCTTATATAAAAAACCCACTAGCAGAAACTCTTGCTACCTTAATTTTAACAGTGAATGTCCACTTAGATATAATATAGCAGTTATAAAAAAGAAAAATTAATAAAAAGCTGAACCGCAGTACCTTGTCATTCATCTTCAGCAAAACATGCATAAAAGAGAAACTGCTGCCTGAACACACAACATATATATATATATATATATGCATATATATATATATATATATATATACACAATATATATATATATATATATATATATATATATATATATATATATATATATTGTGCATGTAAATGTTATATATATATATATATATATATGTGGATCACCTATATTATGCAAAAGTGAAAATAACACTGATATCTCATTTTAAAAGATATATTTACCAAAATTACAAAAATATCTTGAAATGCTAAAGAGTAAATTTATTCAATAAAATTGCCATTGGCTTCAATGATGGCCTCCAGACGATTTCAGAATCTCTCGCAACTCTTCTAGAAAATTTCCTTATTCAAGTTGGTGAATGCTGCCATAATCCTTGCCTTCAGTTCATCTTTGCTGTTACAAGGAGTTTTGTTTGTCTCTCACTCAGCTGCACCCCATACATAATAATCAAATAGGTTGCAGTCTGGGGAGTTAGGTGGCCAGATGTAGGGGTTATGTAGCTGCAGAAATTGTCTGATAGCCATGACTGGGTTTTCCTGCTTGTGTGGCCTGGTCCAGTGTCCTGCTATCAGACTTAGGGTCTTCCAGCAGCCACACTCTTGACCCAGGTAAGCACCACCTCCTCAAGACACTTGATGGAGGCCTCTGTGTTGAGTCTGAGACCCTCACCGTCAAATTCGGAAATTCTTTTCCTATCAGAACGATTGAGTTGAGTTTTCCGAGCTACTGTACCTTTCGTAATCACTATTAGACTTATCCAACTCTTTCCAAATCCTCCGCACTGTCCTAAGATTGACACCCAAACACTCTAAAATGTTTGCATTAGAGCTTCTGGCACAAATGCCAAGCAGTACAGCATGCCACTTCTGAATTTCTGCATAATGGTGCTTCTTTTCTCAAAGACTGTACCCAACTGACCCTACTATCTGTGCAGTCGACAAAATCAAAAATAATAAACGTGCATGCATGACATTAAAAATATAAAATGGCGACAATTTACCTATCACACCCTCTGTGTGTGTGTGTACACACACACACACACACACACAGAGAAAGGTGTTGTTACTGCATTGTTGTTATGGAGTGGTTTCACAGTGGAGGCTTGTATTTGTACTAAGTTGGTCCTAAAAAAGGTTTGACGTACTAAACGTTAGGAACTTCATATAATAGGTATGATGCAGAGAAAATCTAGTTGTGGTCGCTGATACTTTAGTGTCCAACTAACGGTCGTCTGGCATCGACTGACTGACCCCTTCACTGAGCGACTTAGCGACTGACTTGTTACTCTTACTACTCCTACTTATTATAGATGGGAGAGTCTATTAACTATAGAATAGGTGTGTTCCACTATAACAATTGTTAAATCTAATCACTATAGTTTTAAAGGTGTCAAAGTTAACTGACATGGATAAGTGGAAGCCACTTGAGCATTGGAAAAGGTTAAACTGAATCATGAGGATTTGTGCTGGGAATCATGACAGCAGCTCAGTGCTCTTTGAACACCATGAAAATAATAAGTCATGAAATGGAGAGCTGCAACAGATACTACAACAGAGACTGTGGCTTGTAGGAAAGAACACAGCAGACGTACACCAGAATTGCCTCCGTACACCAGAATTCATCCAACAACTGCAGGAAGAAGTGATGGAAGACCCAGGCTAGCTTTAATGTGGAAAATGGATGTTACAATTTCCACCATGAAGTTTGATTAAGAAATTCTTGCAAAAATCAGATAATTTTCAGATTTTAATTAAATTTTCAGGACTTATATTCACAAATGAAAAAAAATAAAAAAATAATTTTTTAAATGTTTTTTTCTTTTTTAACAAAATCTTGGTAAAAATATTTTTTTTATACATCTGTTACTTTCCTACACACAAACATACTAATTTAAATTTTATGAAATTTTTTGTAGTGGTTAATGTTTAGTTTCTGTTTACTAGTCATAAGCACAAGTTCTTGGAGAATTTAAATCATCAATTTTACTTTGTCATTTTTAACAAAATACAATTGACCCCCATTACAGAAAATCTCCTCTGAATCATAAAATAAAAAATGCGATAAAACAATAACATTATTTAATTAGAAAAACTTTTAAATGTTTTCACGAATAAGATATATGGACACTAGTACTATTCTGGCAGCCTTCACCACATTTATTTAACTTAGATTAGGAAATCAAACTGACGTGAAGAAAAAGAGGATAAGCCAAAGACATTAGACATAAAATTTGTATTTAACAAGATGTACAAACAAGGATGTGAAAGAAAAGCATGCATTGAGTAAAACAAGAGTTGTCTCTCTTTAACTATCAATTGTTCCAAAGTTCACTGAAAGCAATAAGGTTGTAATAGTTTCTGGTAATAAAGGTTTTTTTTACAGTTTTGCTGTGTAAGAAAAAAGATTATGTGAGTATAGGGAATATTCAGCATGTGAGTGGTGGTGTGAGTGAGAAGATTGGCGCATGGTTTCAACTGTCGTGGATTTCTGTGGCAGCTGAGATCTCATTGGTTTACTAAGAATTTTCTTTGCTTATATAGGTGATCATCGGCTCCGAAAGCGCTGCGCGGGAAGAATCACTCTTCATGTGCAGACAATCTGATTGGTTGGCATTGACCAATCAGTGAGCAAGCTTTGGGGAGACTCACGAAAAGCTTCTGGGATCCAATTCTCCCAAAAGTGCACGAAATCGACTACATGAAAATATAGTGATTATAAAATTGTTGCATTACACAGTAGTGTTGATTTATTATCCAATTGATATATCCCGGAAAGGGATATATTTGAACGAAGTAGCTAAGTGGTTTTGGCTACTATAACCAAATAGAATATGGTAGTAGTAATCGACTGGTATGCGTCATAGTTGCAGGTAAGAAGTGTAGATCAATGGCTTAGTCCAATGGATGTCGTTATAGACTTAGCTCTCAGACTAAGGCTCTGACTTCTCTTCACACTGTCGTACCTACACGTCCATTGGTATTTATGACATGCTAGCCAATCATATTCCAGTGAGAGGGAACACAGATGTATGCATATTCCATTATATCACCAATGAATGCTTGTGGTTGTATAATTTGAATAAGTATGTATGTATGTATCTAAGAAAATTTTTCAATGAATAATGAATTTTTACAAGAATTGTCTTCATTTTTAAAAAATTTTAATTATGATAATTTAAAGTTTTAAAATTCTGTATTAACTTGTAGCAGATAGGTGATATTGCTATTATTAAGTAAGAACTATATTTATTTAGTCATAAATGGAAAATCTTACTACAGTTCAGCAACCTCAGTACTTTGAATTTTTTTGTGCATGTGTTGATTTTGTAAATTATGGACGTCTATATACACAAGAAGTATGTCTTCAAATAAGAAGACAGTAAAGCCAAAGTACTTAAAATACAATAAAATATTAGATTACTTAGAATATTTTCCTAAATTTTTAAGATTACTGGGTAGTTAAAAAATTATATGAAAAAGGTGTTCATATATGTCAAGAAATTCTCTAGTAGTAAGTTTTTATGATCAGTAAATCACTAATGTTTTTTGGTTTAAATCCCCTAACCACTACAAATTAATAGAGAATTGTAAAAGAGTTAAAAAAAAGTTTAAGGGTTATCGTTTTTTACTTTATTATGTTTCAATTTAATTTTTTAAATACTAATTTACGCAAATGAATAAAAACATTAAAGATTTTTAAGGAAATAAAAATAAAGGTCACATATTTTAGTAAAATATCAAACAAAACATTGCTAAACAAATTCACAGCTATAATTTCATATGAAAGATAGAAAGTAAGGTTCCTGTTCAATTACATTGTTACGAATTCATTAAAAAGAATATTCTAAAATATTTCTCAAGGTTGACAAACTTTCCGGAAGATACGAAGGTCTTCTTATTATTGACTGAAACCTGAAGAAAGCACATATTTCGAAAAAAAACTTGCTTCTCACAAAAACGACAATGTTTTTTTTTTATTCAATATTGACTAGACCCATAATTAATTTTTTATGTACGCTAAAAATTTAAACAAAACAGTTAGTAGTGTCATTAACTAAAAGTTACATCGTAGTTTAGTGTCCCAACCAAGGTGGTTGCTGTGAGTGCCCGCAACATGAAGCTACAGATTTTTTTTTTTAATCTGTAAATTAAACAAACAAAAAATTAAAATGAAGATACATTTTTTGGTATTTTTAAAGTTATAAAGGAATTGTTAATAATACACATTTAACAGTAACACTTACTTCTTGAATCATGGTTCATACGTGTTTAATTTTTGACACTAACTAAAAAAACAAACTGCGATCACCTTTCTTTAATTAATTCAACATTTGATTGTAAGCAAAACTGAACTGGATATATTTTTTTTATTATTCATAACAAAACTGTAATATGATTTTTAATTTATTACTTGGTCAACTAAACTGGTTATAGCTCACTCAATGTGGTACAAAATAATAATAATAAAATTTTACAGTGGAACTCAACAAACTTTCACAAAAAAAATCAAAACATGACCTTCCCTTGACAAACTATGAAAAGGTCCTACGCTCAAACTACTTGATTCTTCTTATACCATTGTTAACATTTATTTTAGACTAAAACTGACTAAACTTATATTGGCACTAAGCCTCCGTGTGGTGCATTTGGCACTGTTAAACACAAAAATGACGTATGACATGATTACATTTACAAATCAAAACCAGCCATTGACATATGGCTACGTACTACCGTACTTATGCACATTTTAATTCAGCAACTTTTCCTAATATAGCCGATGAATACCGATATCATTAAAAAATACTCTAAAGCACAATGTAAATAAATTGAAGCAATTTACCATATTTGCATTTGTTGTTAATGGTGAAACACGTATTTTGTTATATATTCTTTGCGTGAAACCACGTGTGATCAATGGATTTGTGACCGCTCCCGAAGAGCGGATTAAAGAAGAGAGGCTCATTGTTGAACAAGACTTTTCGCTTGTATTCGGTAAGAGTCGGAAATTGTCTTAGTTCTCTGCCCTTGTCATAATCTAAACGAACACCAGGTGTCGCTACCAACTACCGTTGCCGTCAGCGGGAAATTTCGATATGGCGTCGGTGCCAAATAGTTCAACGTCTAGGATTTCTAAGAAGTCTTTGTATAAGCCGGCACCTAAAAACGCCAAAACCAAACGTACTAACAGGTAATTAAAATCGTTCATTTCGATTTACTTTTGTTTATTCTTACAAGTCTTAGTAAATTATAATGTTTCTTGGTGACTTGATTAAAAAAAAAACGATTTGGTAAACATGTCAAACAAGTAAGTTACTTCTAGATTTTGAAATAAGATTACTTTCAAGTGACAGTATCAGCAAAAATGTGTGATAAAATTGTGTATTTCGTTAAAATTGCCTAAATTTATGAAAACATTTAAAAATTAATACACGAGTTGCGACATGAAAATGTTTTGTAATTTAGTCTTGATTTTATGTTTGTCATTTCTTTTTAATTACTGTAATGTTACGCCAACTGAAAATGAACACCGGGGAAAATGCACATTGTCCAAGAGATGAAGGAGGCAAATGAATTAACACATCGGAATAGAATTTACTACTTTTTTTTTCTCTAATCATTTTTTGATGTATATGTTACAACGTTGTTGACTCAATCACAATAAATATCCGATTGTTGAGATGTTATCATTAAATGAGAAATTGTTATTCTTTTGTTGAAATTTAATTAATTTGTTATTGTTATTGCAATAAGCTATGATGACGAAATAACGGTTCATTTCAAAGTATTGTGTTGTTCTATCCAAAAGATTCAAAATAGACCTGTAAAGTTCCTTCCATAGTAACAAAGTTTACCAAATTCCTTAGGCCTAATTAATTTTTATTTCTTTCTAGAGTAAATAATTACTTGTTTTTGTTTTCACTTTTCAAAATGTATATCACTTTCACTTGTACTTTTTTTCTTTTAAGCATTCAACTTCAGCAATGTTTATTTAACCCCCCACCACACACACACACACACACACTCTTAGAAAAAAGTTAATTCTATATTCATTTTTAAGTACAAAAATCCTTCCTAGTCTCTTGGTATTGACTTTATTGAGCATTACGTTCGGTGGTTACTATTTTGTCGTTTTGTTCCACTATTTTTTTGCTGCAGTTTACTTTTTTATGCAACTAACTAACTTCATAATTCCTAGAAGTTTTGTTTTTTTTTAGGTTTTTTTTTTTATTATTATAGAGTATGATACCGAAATCCTAAAATAAAATACGGAGTGAAACTAACTACATTTAATTAATTTTTTTTTGTTTTGTTTTTCTGATCACTAAACTTTTTAAGAGTAAGACTAAGACGTACCAAACAAGTACCCAGTAAGGATCGAACTCGCTAATGATTATCCAGATCACGTAGTGTCTTGAGCACCAAAGAAATATGAAGTTTATAATCTTGCTTGATGGACACTAATTTCAGGTGGATGTTTCGGTTAATAATTTAATTGGGAGCAGTATTTTACTTGAAGCCTTTCGCCGGTTAGTTCCCCGGAAAGAGCTTAGGATTCCTTTCCAATCCAACCATAACATCGCCTTTAGTTAGAAGAAAACAGGCGTTTTAAAATGATAATTTTTCCTTGCCCCATGGTCCTTTCACTCTTGTGTTCTTCCTTTTATTTTAGTTTGAAGTGTCTACTTTTCATTGCCCATCACAATTTCAAAATGTAATTGTAAGTTTTGGCTATGTTTGCATACAGAAATATGCGCTTGTACTATTTATTTATTTTTATTGCTTATAAAAACTATGCACAAAAAGCAAGTAACGAACTGGTTTGGTAATGTATGTTCAGCTTTTGATTAAGAATATTGAGTGTGAGTACGATGTACAATCTCCGGTAAATTTACTTTTTAACACCCGCGCTAAATATTATCTCTTAAAATTTTCTCAAATCATCATAATTCCGTGTGCTGAACTCGAATTAATTAAATTCTGAAGAAACCTACAGTTTTTGGAGTTATCAACAAGAAAAAAATCGGACTTCTTGTTGGTCATTCGTCCCCCGTTACTGCCATCATGATCACTGATTCACTGCGTAGTACTTCCGCAAAATTTTGGCTTATTTACTTCTTTTACAGACTTTCCTTGCAGAAAATCACTACGCACTACCGTAAAGAAATGTAATTTTTTGGGGGGGGTAAGTGTAGTTTTATTTATAACAAAAAACAAATTAAATAATACAAACCTTCTTTTTTTTTTTTTTTTAAATTAAAAGCGGACAAATTTGAAAAAAAAAAACAATATTAATTTTTAAATAATACAGTTGCGTAAACGAAACCTTTATTTCGTTTCTAGTGTTTTTTGTAATTTTATTTTTTACATAATCATGCTCTTTACAAAGTGTTATGTTTAAAGTTTATGGGTTAAATTTAGGTGTTAGGGTTAGGAGGGGTTGGTTGGGTTTCTTTCTGTGTAGCAAAGGGGACAAATTAAAAAAATACAATAAACCGGGTTAACTTTAGGGTTAGGGGTTGTGTTTGGCTTCTTCCTATGTAGAAAAGGGAACAAATTAAAAAAAAAAAAAAAAATTAAATAATACAATAAACCAGGTTAACTTTAGGGTTACGTGTTAAGGTTAGGGGTGGGGTTTTCTTTCTAGGTATTTTTTTTTTTTTTTTTGTCAGTGAAATTACTAAAGAAAAACTCTATCACCCTTTTTTTTTTTTAAATTTTGTAAACTAAGTTAAATTCTTTGTTTAAAAATCGACAAAAAATCAATCAGTTTTTCAAAATTTATTTTATGAAAATTAGAAAATTTAAAGTTTATTTAAATATATTTTGAAAGAAACTTTTACATACTTTCTTTCTTTGCAGAAAAATGTTGTTTAAAATAAGAGGTAGCCGATTTTAACCCTAGAACACTAACCATCAATTAGTTACACCACTACTAACCATAGGTATATCATACCCAATTTTGAAAATATCAAAAAAATATTAAATATAAATCTTTATTTGAAATATTTTACATGATGGCACTTCAAAACTTCAAAAATAGGAAAATTTGCACTGGGTACTATATACCCATGGTTAGTGTTCTAGGGTTAAGTGCTGAGTGATGACATTCATCGCATATTGACAGCTAACGTGAGATTCAAGTTATCATTTGGAAGGACAGAATTGATTGATGTAATCTTTTAAGTGGACCAGCTTATGTAGTACCTCATAATTATTAAATTAAAAAAAAAACTTTCAGCATTCCAATTTTTTTATTTTGTCTTAGTACTGTAGCTTTCACCATAAGTTTGTTGATACTATCTGGAGAAATTATAAATACTATAAAAAAAATTAAAATACAAGTGTTGCACAGCTGTTTGAGGGCTCCTACAGCAACCCCCACCAAACTTAAATAAAGTCAATTCAGATCTGCTATAATAAAGAATTCCTATCCCAAGTAAAAACCATCACAAACATATCAAAAGTTATTTTGTCACAGTCCATTTTCTCGGGGGGGGGGGAATGGATTTTCATACTTTTATAGGGTAAAATATTAAAAAATGACTTTTGTCATCATCTGAAAAAAATATAAAGGAAACTTTTGACCTGAACCCCATGAAATTAAGTATTTTCTGAAAGCAAACAATGTTCTTTCATTTAAAAGTAAAATTGGCTGGTGTAAATGACTCAAATTTTTTTTATTAATAAATAAGGAAAATAGGGTTCAAATTAAGCCAAAATTGACTTTGACATGGCTGGGTCAAAAGCCAGCATGCCGGCAATAACAAGCTGAGGACTTGATACATTTTTTTTCCAAACCTATGTTTGACCGATGACTTGGTGTTTTTTGTTTTTTAACACCTTGTGACTCTGGTGATGACAACAACACTTAAGGAATGATTATGAGCTGCAGGCAGAATGGACCAAGGACTGAGAGGGAATACTGGAAATTTGTAATATGTTCAAAAATAATGTGAGAAACTTCACATGAAGTTTGTGTAGCACATAGTTTGAATTCACAATGATCACTGAGATAGTTGGTTTAGGATGTTGTTCAATTTTTTTTAATTAATAAAAATGCTAATTCGAAATGTGTTTCGCATGAAGAGTTTGTAATAATGAAATGGACGTTCAGTGGAGACCGCTTAAATACTACACTCAATCCACGTAATGTTTTATTGCTTCTGATCTTCTGTACTTTTTAATTACATCTGTGTTATGAACACATTACATTTCTTAATTAGTGCGGGTCTTCTGATCGATCAAAGTGATACAATTTACAATGCTGTAAAAAATGATCTCTCTCATAACACCATTTATGAAACTGAATGTGGCTTTCACTAATTTTATATTTTAACAACTTAAATGTAAAAATCTAAAATAATTAAAGAAATAATAAATAATTGTATTAAAAATTCATTTTTCATCAAAAGTTTTTTGCTTTCAGAAAATATTGTCCATATTCATAAAAACAACTAAAAGCAAATAAAAGCATTTGAAATTAAATATCTTGTTTTATTGAGTTTTGTATGTTACAATACAGAGCTGATTTTCAGGTTGTGGGGGTGGGGTCCAATTAAAATAATGATTTGCTTTCCTCAAAGCTTTGTGGTTTTAACTAATATAATCGCTAAACTGAACAATGTTGAATTTCTAGAGTTTTCATAAAATTAGTTATTAGGGGGGTAATAATTATAAAAAAAATTTTGCCATGACATTTAAAAAAAAAAAAAGAACACATTTATAATTTCTATCATTTGTAAATAGTTTCTGAAAGTTTCATTAACATCTGACAATTTTTATTTTTGTAAGATTTTCCCAATTAATGTCTGTCATACAAGAAAAACATGCTAAAAATTGTATATTATTTAGTAGTTCCAGTGATACAAAAAGAAACAAGTTTTTTTTTTAATCAAGTTAGAATGTTCTAAAAAGAAGGAAAAATTTTTAAAAATGATTAAAAAGTATTTTGTTCTTTCCTCTTAATAATAACATAAGCATTTAGATGATAAAATTTTGTTTTCGTCAAGTTTGGCATCTTTTTCATCTTGCTATGCTCTTGGCACCTAAATTAAAATGCTACTCTCTTTATATTACTTAAAAACTAAGAAAAACAGGATTTCTTTGGAGAATTTTTATCAAACAGAAACACCATAGTGAAAAACTTCTGGATTGTAAAATAAAATGGCAAATGCAATAAAATCTATGACCTTATTTAATTAGCAAAGCTTTTATAAATAAGATATATTAAGGACACTATTGTCTTAAGAAAAAAAATTTGATGAATAATGAATTTTTACAAGAATTTTTTTTTTTTTAAAATATTAATTATAATTTCAAAGTTTTAAATCTTAAATTCCTGCATTACTTTGATCACATTCAGTGAAAACTATATTTAGTAATCAAAAATACCAAGACTTGAACTTTCTTTTTTATATGTATAAATATGCCCATTTTGAATGACATTAGCTATTAGTAGAAAATAAGAGCAATGACTATATCGTAAATTTAAAGTTAACATTCCTAAAATACGGAGAATATTTTCCAAAATTTTCAAGATTACTGAGCACTTAAAAAGGGTGCTCCTGAAATTTTCTTAAATTATTTTTTTACAGACTAGATCAACAACAACAACAAACCTGTCATCACATTGCCATCACTCGTCAAATATGTAAACATGACTACTGTCAGTTAAAAAACAGTTACTCTTCAGTTTAAAAATGCACTTGTACGTGATTCTAAATTTAAAGTAAATATCTGTTTCAAATCAGATTAATTATACTTTAAATCAGATAATATTCCTCAAAGTTTCAGAAAATTATATTTTTGGAAAAAATTTTTACTAAAGAGAATTACATTGCAATAAAAGATGACTAAAAAAAAAAAAGTGGTGCTAATCAGCTATTTTAGGGAAAAAAAATAGATACCTAAAAGTTTGAAATGAATTTTAAAAAATGACAACTCTTTCTTGATGCTTTTACTTTAGTTTCAAGCTAATGGATAAAATTTAATATTTCCAATAAGCAAGAAAAATATTTTCAGGAAATGAGTAACTTTGAAAAAAACAAATGATTTATATTCTCCAAGGTGTCCTGCTTTAACTAATAAAAAACATTTTGCAATCAAAATTTAATTTTTTCAATTTCATAAAATTAAATAAGTGAAGTGGGGTCACTGATGTTAAAAAAAAAAAAAATTACTATTTTGATATGATGTATTTAAAATTAAAATCTAGTGGAATCTTTATTGTAATGTCCTTGCTTTGTTTAATTAGAAATTTGGTAGATCTGAAAAACATTTTTAAGAGACCATAACATCTAAATTGTTTGGAACAAAAAAAAAATAAATAAAGCCCAAAATAGTTATTTGGGTAGGAAATTATAAGAGTACTAAGTTTCAGCTTCATATTTGCTCTCTTATCAAATTTATAAGGTGTCAAAATCAACAAAATCATGATTTCTGCATCACAAGTTCTAGAAAAATATTTTAAACCTAGACAGAAGTTTGTCTACAAAATGAAACTTGTTGCATAATCATCAGACATGTGAGAATATGGTAAAAATTTATTTTTCCTTTTTTTTTTTTTTTTTTTTTTTTAACTGGTCTACTAATCTCATGAAAATCTGCAATTTTAAGGTTGTTAAAGTATCAAGCAATTTTCAAACAGTGATACCGACATTCTTATAACAGGAACGAATATAGTTACTGCATAGAAATACTCTATTAGCTTCTAAATGACTGGGTAACTAATTTGGATGCTGTATCTTTGTAAATGAGACCCTCTTATAAAAATAGAAGTACATTAAAAAGAAAAACATTGTTTTTGTAATCTGCAATAAGTATTAACCATTGTTACCAAATTTCAAATCTGTATATGCAATATCCTTGGAACTATGTCAGAAGTTTGTTGAAAGCCTTATTTAGCAAAATGCAAAAATGTAGTGAAATTTCAAGATATTTGATTTTTAAAACTATTAAAAATACATATCTAATATTTGGGATTTATCAATAAATTTAATCAAAGAACACTTGAATTTTCCTGAGAGGATTTCCTGTGCCCATAAGTTAAGATGAGATATATATGATTTTTTTTTTTTTTTTTTTGCAAATTAGAATATGTTAAATAAGTCTTGTGACACTATGTAGAATTTTTTCAAGATCAGATGCTCTGTCTTGATTGACTAATATTTTGTCTGTCATCAAGTTGTCTGTCTCACCACACATTTGTCAGTATTAATTATAACTTTATAGTTAATATAAATCACCAAATTTAAAACCCTATTAATTTTTCAAAATCTCATTAGCCCATCCTTTGCAAGATTGATTACTGCAGATGTTAATAACCTTGATGTTAATTAGTTTTCTTTTGAAGTGAAAATTATTTAAAATAATTAAAATCTATATTTTTAATAAACTCCTATAATTTAGTTTATCCCATCTTTTTAAAGATGTGATATATCAGTTATAGATGTGATATATCAGTTATAAATAATTTTTACAGAATTTTTCCTTTTTAAAGTATTACTTTGTGCAATCAAGACAGTTTTAATGCTATAAACTTTATTACTACATTTTTTTGTATAAAAGCATTTGCGCATGATTGCAATAATTTCTACAGTTTTGTGCAACAATTTCAGATAACTCAAAAACAAATAAAAATCAACATTCCTCTTTCTTTTCTTTTTTTTTTTCTTCTAACCATTAAAATAGAAATTATAAAAGGGGTGCTGAAAAGTTGTCTGACCCTTTCCAAAATTTGGCCAAACATTGATTTTCTTCTTGCTTAGGCAGAGAATTTTTAGCACCTCTTGTACTTTATTTAATAAAAGATAATTGCCTTTTTAAAGCATTTTATTTTAGTCTTGGTATTGAAGTTATGGAACTTTTGTGTAAGTTTCCCATCTTTAAGAAAAAAAGAAAAATGATGCTGTGAATTTGCAAGGGGTAGTATTAAAAAAAAAAATTCCTAACTTAGAACAAATTTTGCAAAATAATAACAAATCTGATATAAAATATATACCTGTATAACAATTATGGGATAGAGTTGGTATAAATTAATCTGAAAGTGATTAAAATGTTAAATCTATTATTTTTCTTCTTCAGGAAGCCATTAGCACAAGGTCAACTTGTGGATCTAAATAATCCTAGATCAGCAAAAAACTATAAGAATGGAATGAAGTCATTACTTATTGGTAAGTTATTTGATCATTACTCATTTGAAAAACCTTTTTATTGTTTTCATATTTTCAGATGTTGCTCAAGGTTCATTTAATTCATTTTTAAACAATAGTTTTAGATTAGTTTTTCCATTTTCAGATTTATACATATGTAATTCTACTGCTTATTTTGCACTCTCTTGCAATACAATCCTTATATTAATTACAGTTGTAACAATATTGATTTCTGGATTTAAACTTTTTATATTGCTCATACTTTTCAATCTGGCATAAACCTCTGAATTGCTTATATGGATTGTTGGAATCTTATTGCTATAACCATCAAAACAAGTGTTTGTGTTATAAGGTATAAAACAGTAAAATAAAAATGTTTTAATATTTGAATACCTTAGACTTTACCTGCAGCTTCTGAACATTGCCTTTCTAAAAGTGATAATTGTTATGCAAAATTTTACTTTAGAACTAAAACAATTATGTAGTCAATAAGGACACTTTAAAACTGAAGAATTTAAAAAAAAAATTTACTTTCAAAATGTAATGTTTCACTAAAATAGTGAATACTGTCTGAATGGTTTGTGAGGAATGTTTATATTCATACCTCCTAATATATCCTCTCCAAACATAACTGCTGCTTGGATTAAGTTCCAAAGATTACTTCAAATTAAAAATGTTTAATGTTTATTTATTTTTACATATTATTACTGAAGAAATTTAGTTTTGGGTAATAAAGCAGTTTTTATTAATTAATTATCTCTGGGGCTTTTGTAAACTTGAGTTGGTCATTTAGTATTTGATTTTTTTTTGATTTTTTTTTCAGGTACTCTAGAACATAACCATTTATCTGCTGATATTCAAAGAAGAGAAACTATTAGTATCCCAGGACAAGCCTCTCCTTCCTGTAAAGTATTTGATAAAATTGACAGTGAGAGTCGTCGAGCCACATTGGTTCCTTCTTTAACACCAAGGTCCAAACAAAAATTGCCATTAGCAGATGGACTTTTTTCCCCTTTGAGGTAAAATGTTTTGAGTTACATTTACTATATTCACTTTTATTCTATAATTTACAATTTCTTAACTTTTATATTTTAGCTCCCCCCCCAAAAAAAACCCACAAAAAAATAAAACAAATGTCATAAACCCTTGTAAAGTCCACTGTAGTTTTCTTGATATATGCCAATGATAAAAGGAAGCAAAACAATCTGATTAAAATTTAAAAAAAAAAAAATAAATTATGAAGTATTTTTCAAAGGCAAAAGTTCATCACTTATTCAAATAACTTAAATTTTTAAATATTTTGAAGGAAGATTGAAGCTAAGTAGTAAAATAACTCTTGATATCATAAAGTTAACTTTGTAGACAAGGATTTAGAAATTGTCTGAAATATTATTAAACACCTTGTTTTATGAAGATGTTTTAATATTTAGTTGTTACTATGACTTTGAAATAAAACTGCATACAATTTAACTCTTGATATCAATATTTCTGTCATGATAAATAGAAGATTTTTTTTTTTTTTCAATATAAATTCTGCTTTGTTTCAAAACTTCTTTCTGTTTATATTCTTTTAAACAATGTCTGCCTTGATGAAATATTTCAGCCACTTAAAAAAAAAATAGACATCTGGCATTAAACTTTCTTTTATGACAGTTAATTTTACAACTTTAATCAGAAAGAAATTAATCATTATATTTTCTCTTTTAGGAAAATAACTGAAGATGATGATTTTCAGTCACCACATCGCACAATAAATCTTGATTTGTCTGATGCTGAATTTGATGACAAATTAAGTGAAACAGTAAGTGAAAATATTGTCAGCCTTTGTAATATTTAAGTATAATTATATATTTCTATACATCTTCTTGCAAGAACTTAACTAGATAAATACTGGTGATATATATTTTTTTTTTTTTTATATCCTATGCAATTTTATATGCATTGCTCTTTCTGTACATGTCTAATTTATTGTTCCTAACATAGTTGTCCATTCAATCCTTTTCATATCAGCTTTATGCCATTTATTCTTTTGCTTTGCTAACAAAACTGGGTACATTTTCTTCAAGTCTTTAGGTTTATATTTGTGTTGTTCTTTTAACAGATTAATGATACTGAGAAAGAGAATCGGAATAAAGTTGATGTGTTTATGGTTGATGTTTTGGATGATTCTAACCGGAATTTCCATAACAAGAGTTTTGAAAGTCTTGATCTTTCTGTCTGTAAAGAGGATTCAATTGCAAAAGTTATCTGCCACACACCACGTTCTGTAAAGAAGAAATTGCTTCAAAGGTTTGAATTCTTTATAAATTTCCATATCATACTATGGGATTTAGCAATTGCTCTTCAAAAATAAGATTTATAAATGGTAATTACTCTGCAATATGAGAGTAAAAGAAACTTAATGATTTTACTTATGTATTGGCTCACTATTAAATGTATTTACTGTAGTACAATTACTGGGTAATTTCTGTATTTTAAAGTAATGATGTCATCAAATATAATCAATGCATAAAACAGATGCTAATATGCACATTTACTGATTCAGTATTTAAGTGAAATAAATGCTTGACTATTTAAAAAAAAAATTTAACCTCTAAAAAAATCCTTACATTTTGATATTTTTATCCTTTTTTATTTCTCACTTTCTATTATTTATTTTCAGAAACATGAATATTACTAACAATTTTTTTCTTCTTCTTCCAGTCCAGTTAGTGATTGTAAGAAAAACCCCTGTAAAATTGTTCCTACTACAGAAAAAGAATCCAGTTTTTTCTTCAATAAAGGTTTGTCATTTGCTAACAAAGAAATATCTGCAAAAGATGAATGTAACTGATATGAAATGCTTGCAGAATGACTGCATATAAAATTGTTTTGAGAATATATCTTTTTTTAACTGATTTTTGTTTTTGGTATTATGATGTAGGTGATAACCTATTTATGCAAAGTAAGGACAGCCCCAGGGAGATTTATCAGCATTTTGATAATAAAACAAAAAAAAAAAGTTAAATGTAGAAAAGGCCTGATTTTGTTATAAAATCAGAAAAAAAAAATGTAAGAGAAGGCTTTGACAGTCTCCAATGATTATTGGAATTAAATATGAAAAATGGAAAAAAAAAATTAGTCTTAACAAATTAAATGGGTTGGGGGGGTAAGGAATGTAATCTGAATATTTTAACTTGGTGATAACTTGGTAATTTATTAGTATAACTGGGTATAGCCATGGACCAACCTACTACAGTGGCCAAGAGGTTGAAAATAATAAATTACCTTCACAACTGAAAATCAAAAATGTATTTCTAAAAACCCTCAAGTAAATTTACATAAATGTATATCCATATTGGTGTGGCTTAAGTAGAATAATTTCAAAAAAGGATTTTTGAAAAACTCTGCCAAAGCTGACCTATTGACTGTGTGGTTTGTTTGTATAAAAACTTCCTTGCTACTATGTTATAGGAAGAATAATTTTTAGGAAGTTGGTTATCAGAGCATCATAAAGTGGTTAATTGTACTTTCTGAAACAAAGGAGACCCTTAGATCACATAAACCAATGATAAAATTATACAAAGATTGGTAATGAGCTGATAGGCTGAATTCCATATATAAATTTGTATACCGAGAAGTTTTACCAAGATTGCCAGAGATAAAAAAAAAAAAAATGAAACTTAGGAGATGCAGGAAAGCCACAGAAAAGGCAATTTGTGTAAAGAAAAAAAACAACAAAAAACATTGAATTATCCCAATCTCCAAAAAGTAGAACAATTAAATGGACACACAGAAATATTATTCTTTCATTGTCATAGTTGTGAACAATTCAGACTACTGCTGTTAAGTATTAGAATTTGGGAAAGGAAGACCTCTGTTTGAAAATACATATGTAGCCAATAGCTAAACTATTTTTTGTTAAGGTATTCTAGTTTCCTTTGTTATTATTGCATGACTGATTAATCTTGAATGTGTCAGCTTCAGTTTTTGTGTTACATATGGCTGATTCAGACTTGTGACATTTCAACCTTTTAGCTTGGGATTTCTTTGAATCTTAACTAAACACAATATGGGTGAAGGTGTATCTTGTTCAAGGCATCACCAGATCAGTGACCAAAGCCTCGAGCCTCTCTCCCATGTACAGTGTCACAGCATTAAGGCGACTTACAGAACTATTCATAAATTTTTAAACAATTTCAGTATTGTACATATATCACCATTTAATGCACTGAAATATCTGAATGAATCATCACAACTTACGCAATGGTGTAGCAAAATATTAACATTTCCTTTTTTGTTAGGTTTCATTATTTTATATTGTTTTTATTGCTGAAGTAAAAAAAAAAAATCATTTCTTGCTGTTTTTAAAAATATCTTTTATATATATATATATATATATATATTTGGCAAAAGCACAAGAATTTTTTTCTTTTTTAAAATCCTTTTTTTTTTTTTTGTCATCAGGCTGATAATGTTTCTGCATGCTCTCTCTCGCCTATTATCTAAATGTAACATTGTTTAAGGTTTAAATTCCTTTTCTAACTTTATATAATTTGATGGTTAGGATATATTAAATTTAAATGGCATATTTCTATCATGTGCATTCAAATACCTGTCATTTCTAATTAACATATTGAAATTACAAATTTTTTTTTATATATAAAGCCTGTATTAAAATGACTTAAAGGATATCTAGTTCATTAGTATTCAAAGGTAATATTTACTTTGTTATTCTGAAATGGGCTCAAATTGATACATGTTTATAAATTAAAATTTATTTGGTTTTGAAATTAAATTTTATTTCCTTCTAAATTGTTTTCATGTCTACCTAACTGCTGGCTCTTTCTTAAAGAAAGTCTATTTTATGTTTTCTGTATATTTTTCAATTTTCTAAAATTGTGTTTTCAGCAGAAAAATTTATTTTGCACCTTGACAAAGCTTGTTCTATATCTGCAGATACAAATACAACCTTGCTAAATGATATGAATGCTACACAAGTCCCTAATGATTCAAGTGAAAGTGAGGAAGATTTAAATAGTAAAAAACTTTTGTAAGTTTTCTTTTTAAAATTTGATTTCTATTTCACGATTGTGTGAATAACTGAATTTTGTAAATTTTATTGCTGTTTACTTACAGAATTTTTTTCATTTTCAGGCTCTTAGAAAAATCAACTTCAAAAGTGAAAAAAGGTAATGTCAGCAATCTTGTCTCTCCAGATTCTTTTTCTTTCTTCTCTGAATTGCCATGTATTCTTGGGAAAGATAATGGAGTGGTTTCCCATTACTTTCTCCTGTCTTAAATTCAGTTTTCATTCTTTCATACTGATTGCCAGTCAAGGCTATAGAGGCCAGTTTATTTTATTTAACCCATAACTGGGAAGATAGATTCAAGTCTTTCCCAAGGGCATTATTGTAAAAGTGATTGCAACAGACTAACCCATAATTTGAACTTAACTTGCCAATATCCATTACATGACCTACATATTCTTATTTTTGTGACTCGCGTTAATTTCTGATTCCTTGCAGGCAGAATTGTTCCATCTCGTTACATGCAGTCTGCTAGAAATTTTGTTGCTGCTAAAACTCCTGTAAAAAAGGTAAGTATTGTTATTTTATATAATTTAAGGAAAACACTATATTAATCATTTTATTTGAATCTGAGGAAAAATAATTATTGAAATGACAATTGTAAATGGTCAATATACAGCTTTAAAATATAAAATGATTAGTTAAGCTATTTTTATCTCATTAGCAGATATCTATAGTGTGTGTGATATAATGTGAAAATAGTTTCTTTTCTTTTTTTTTTTTTCTGATTCTGTTATGTCTTGTGTATTAGTGCATTCTTTCACTCTTTTCAAGCATGTAGTTCATTTGGCTGGATTTTTCAATTTTTGAAATTTTAAATCTCGACAATGATTTGTACAGGAACAACCCAGTAGTTTCTTTGAAAAAAAAAATCTTATTGCTATTTCTCCCACCCACTCCATGTCTACACTCGATCTTTCAATAATATATAAAAACACTTTTTTTTTTCTCTCTTATCTAGAGTGTTAACAAAAGCCTCAATGTTACATTGAACAGAGGCAACTCCAAAAACCTCTCTGTTGTTTACAGTGGTTCTAAAAATTCATCAGATGAGCCCGACGACAGACTTGCCACTTGTCACCCAAAATCTAAATCTGATGATGGAACCAATAATGCTCAAACATCGACTCCAAATAAAGATGACCTGCCAATGCCTTATTCTGATGCTTCTACAATCATGCAAGATATTTCAACAAGTAAACCTTTATTTTCATTTTAATTTCAATAACATTTACATTATATAATATTTCATGTTACACGATTCATTTTTAGCAAAGCAACAATTCTGATATCGTGACCACTTGATTGTAACAGCTGCTTATGTTCTACTTGGAAAAAATATATGCATATATATATATTTGTGGATAGTGTGTGTGTGTGTGTGTGTGTATATATATATTTTAAAAATTGGATAGATGTGAGTTTGGTGGGGACCCTGGGTTTCATATGTGGGCAGTTTCGGCTATGACACATATGTATATCTGGGTGGTGTTATATCTACGCTTTATGTTGAAATGTTGAAATCTAAACATTGGAAGTGTATCGTCAGACAAACTGATTAATGTTTTAAAAAATTTGGGTTTATGTAGATTTATTTGCATTGGTGTTATTGTAATCCTTATTGGTGGTTTATATGGGGAATATTTGTGCTGGGTGAGAGGGTAGTTCAATTTAATCATTCATGATGTATAGTAATGTTTCTAACGAAATTAAATTGTGATATCCGATGTATGCAGACACATATACACGTCACTGGTCATCCGTCGGGACTCATACATATATAAACATGTGGGCAGTTTGGCTATAGACGCATATATGTATGCGGGTGGTGTTATATCTATACATACGCATTTGTATGTTGAAATGTTGAAATCTAATCATTGGAAAAATGTGACGGAAATGTCTACAACAAAAAAAATTGATGTGTACATGTCAAATAACAACACTATGTATTTTCCAGCTTCAAAATGAAAATATTTCCAACAACAGGAAATATTCGAACAGCACAACATTTATGTATATGCGTGTGGTTGGGTTTGTGTAAAATTATGATAGGTAAAGATTATTATTTATATTTATTTTTAAATTTTGAAAAAAAAAAAAAAAAAAAAATGGGGCTTTATTTGTTATATTTAAAGCTGGTTATTTGTTTGTTTTGGTGACTGTGTATATGTAACAGGTAGAAATTTGTAATCCTTATTGGTTAATTTATATGGTGATGTTTAGTTTAATATTCAATGTGCTGGGTGAGAGGGTAGTTCAATTTAATAACGGGTTTATATGGTATGATGTGATAGTAATGTTTCAAGGGATTGGAGACAGAAATTAAATTGTGATTGTTGGTGGTTTGTTTGTTTAAAACCTTCCTTTTGCATATAGAGGAACAGTTTCTTGGATTTAATAAAGTGTTGCAAGCACATTTAGACTACCATTTAAGAGTGCTTGAGTCACTCTATATTAAGTCCAGGCAACCTTTTTGCTAAGTATGATGTTTGCTGGGACTTAATCTGTTTGAGCCATGGTGCTGATTATCTGGCAATGTAGATGGAAGAAATTTTTTTTTTCTTTTTTTTCATACTTTTAACCTTTTGCTACATTTTAGTATAGGATTTGATTTTTTTTTTTTTTTTTTTTTTTTTTTTTTTTTTTCTTTCCATGTAATTTGTAGTATAGCAAAATATTTACTTTTACTCATTGTTGCATTAATTTGAATTTTGAAAATATAAATTAGTTTTGTGAAACTTTTCAAATTGTAATATATAAAGGATGAGATAGATAAATTGTCACCATTTTTAATTTTGTGCGTGTACATATTTTTTTTTTTTTTTTTTTTTTTTCAACTGCACATTATAGTAGGGTCAGTTGGGTACTGTCTGTGAGATAAAGAGCACCATGTTGCATTCACTGTTGAAATTTGGAAACAGCATGGTGTATTGCTTGGCATTCAGGCCAGAAGCTCGAATATAAACATTTCAGTGTTTGGGTATCAATCTGAGAACAGTGCAGAGGATTCAGAAAGAGTAGGATGAATCCAGGTGTGATTATGAAGGTATGGTAGCTTGGAAAATTCTCTCTAATTGTTCTGATAAGAACTCTTGAATTTGTTGGTAAGGGCCTCAGGCTTAACATGGAAGCCTACATCAAGTACCTTGAGGAGGTAGTGGTGGCTGCTGGAAGACCCTATGTCTGGCAATACAACTCTGCACCATGCCACACAAGCAGGAAAATCCAGTCATGGCTGACACAATTTCTGAGACTATATCACCACTTACATCTGGCTATCTAACTCCCCAAGCTGCGCCCCCACCCCTGATTATTATGTGTAGGGTGACCAAAGATGAACTGAAGGCAAAGATTATGGCAGCATTCACCAACTTAAATAAGGAGACTGTCTAGAAGAGTTGCAGGAGATTTCAAAGTTGTCTAGAGGCTGTGGATGAAGCCAATGGCAATTTTATTGAATACATTTACTCTTTAGTTTTTCAAGATATTTTTATGTTATTTTGGTAAATATATCTGTTAAAATGAGACGTCAGTATTATTTTCATTTTTGCATAATTTAGTTGACAATTTATCCATCGTATCCTGTATGTATTTATAAGAAAAGTTACTCTCTCTAATTCTAATGCATTAGAAACTAGGTCAGTATGTGGAAATGTCATTTGTTCAACTTTGACATTTCCATTTATGAATAAGATCTGAATTACTTGCTAAACTTTTCTTGTTTTTTCTATGAGTTTCAGATAATGATCAAATTGCTAAATTTAGCAGCAGCTTAATTTGCTCTGAAATGTTTCAGTTTCAGAAGCAGATAGAACTATTAGAAGAGACTTATTTCATCTTGATGCCAAAAACCAGGCTGCAATTCCACTCTTTCCAACAATGGAACAAGAAAAGAAGGTTTACTTATTTATATATTTTTTCTTTTTCAAGTTAAAGTGAAAAACAAAAAAAAAACTTTTAAACTTACTCTGATTAAATATTAAACAGTTAAGTGTAAATTTCTAACACTTTTGTAATATACAATTTACTGAATACTTTCTTTGGGTGGTTTATTTTTCTCAAGAGAATCTCAAAGTGTAAACTAAATTTGATAACTTTAGTAAATTGCTTAGAATATAATGATGTCAATTTATAATTCAGATAACTACAAGCAACTATTAGCAAAATGTATCCTGGTTAACTTGTATCCCCCAAAACCCCACATGCACTCTACATATGTACACTCACAAGTATTTCAAGTGTTGTATCTCTTTGTCTTTATTAATACTTTCATTGTTTAGCATGAAATGCAATGCCTAAGGTTTAAAATGCATTTTAAAAAATTTTCCTTGAAGCTTTTAGTTTAATTTCAAGCTAATAGATTAAATTTAATATTTCCAATAAGCAAAATACTTTGCTGTATTTCAAACTGAATTTAAATTGATTGGAATAATTTTTTTTATCGGTAATTCTCTTTTATTAAAAAATCTTCCAAAAATAAAGTATACTTTTCTGAAACTTTACATGAGGAAGATTAGCTGATATTAATTCATTGGATTTGAAACAAATTTTACATACTTTTAATTTAAAATATTACAGAAAAGCATTTAACATGTGTTTTTATGAGATGACACCTCTCTTGGACTTATATTTGGGAATTTTTTCTAAGTGGGACATAACTATAACAATTGATGAGTATAATGTGAACACCTTTTTATATATTTAACTTCCTAGTAATCTTAATTTTGGAAAATATTCTAATTTTAAATTTTAGGTGCTTTATTGTCTAACTTATAAATATGCTTGTTGGAGAAATGTTAGAAAGTTACTAATAAATTTTAATATTACATTAGTTACCATTATTTTCTGATAAAGTTACATTTGGTATTTATGAAAATCAACATGTTTATAAACACATAAGATATAATTCTTTCTAAGATATTGGAAATCACTGAATTGTAGTGAGCTTTTCCATTTATGATTAGTAAATATAGTCTTTATGTTTATTAATAACAATATCACTTGACCACTACAAATTAATAGAGAATTATTTTAAAGTTTACAATAGGATAATTTGCAAGAATTTCAAAATTGGTGTGCAAAAATCGCAAAATAGATGCTAAAATTTGCCATCCTAATTTATGATGCAATGTTGACACTGGAGAAACAAGAGTTTTAACCAAAATTTTGAAGGTTCTAAAAAGGATTACAAGAAATAAAATAGTTTTTACATAAAAAAAAAAAAGTTTTATCTTTCCTCTTAATAATAGCATAAACATTAATTTTAATATTAATGGAGAAATATATATATATATGTGAACAGCTTACAAAAATAGTCCCCCCCCTCCTTCTGTCATTTTCGGGTATTTGCAAACATCAAACTGGCATAAAAGCACTTTAATCCTTTACCTTGCTTTTTCACTTAAATTAAGTCCTTATCTTCAGGTAAAAGAGTTACATACTGAAATGTGCGACCTGTCGAATTTTAGGAGAACAAATAACTGGTGCTCGATTAGCAGGAGTATCTGTGACCAAAACATCTGAATTATTGAAGTCATGAGCACTAGTATCCATGGTTATAACAGCTTACACAAAACAAGGCAAAACATTATCAGCAAAGAGTAATAGTGGGCGGACACCAAAGTTGACTGAAAGATACCAATGAAATTTAAAATGAATTGTGGCAAAAAAATCAATTACTACAGCAAAGGTGACATCAGAACACCTTACTCACCTACCCAATACAGTATCTACACACACAGTACGTCGGGAGTTTCACATAGCTGGTATCCATGGAAGGGCTGTGATTCCTAAACCTCTGATCACATAGTCAAACACAAAGTTCTGAAAAAATGTGATGATCACAAAAATTGGACACTGGGAATGGAAAAACGTTATTTGGTCTGATGAGTCTTTCATTTTTATTTCCTACAAATGGGCATGTATGGAGAACACTGTGTGAAGCCTATGATCCAGATTGCATAGTCCTAACAGTTGAACATGGGAGTGACTCAGTAATGGTTTGGACAGCAATTTCCTGGTATTCTTCTGGTTCTATCATCACTTTCAGTGGTAGAATTACTGCAGATAAATATCTTTACATTCTCAATAACAATGTCCTTACAATGGCTACCATACTCTTGCCAGAAAGTGCCATATTCCAAGATGATAATGAACCCATACATGCTGCAAAAAAAGTGAAGTCATGGTTCATTGAACATCATAACGTAATTAAGCATCTTCTATGGCCAGCACAATCACCTGATCTCAACATAATTGAACCATTATAGAGGGTTCTAGAGCAGAGAGTGAGGAACAAATTTCCTCCCCCATCATTGCTGAAGCAACTTTCCATGATTTTGATTGAAGAATGGGATAAAATTCTACTGGAAACAATTCAAAACTTATTTGATTCTATTTCACATAAAATCAAAGCAGTTTTAGAAACTAATTCAGGTCCAATACTTTATTAGTCAATAAATAAATGTTTAAACCAGGTGTTCACATTATTTTGTCTAACCTCTGTATATCTGTTAATAGAACTGCATGTTTAACTTGAAATATTCCATTTTATAGGAAACTTGAATGTATATGTATGCCTAATACATTTGATAGTTTTGTACATGCTGCATATATCAGGTGCTCTTGCTTTTGTCTATAACATATTCATCCAGATAAATTTTAACTGTTTCCTTTTTTTTACTTTATTTTTAATTGAACACTAATTGTTTTTAAGATAACATAAAAGCATGCATTTATTTTTCATAAGCTTTATACTTATTCCTTTGTCTTCACAATAGTTACCATTAAGTTAGTCAATTATAACTACTTGGTTATGAAAAATGTTGCAAAATTTAGTGTTTAATGATGACTTGCATGTCTAAATTGATATGAAATTAGAATTTGTGTAATATCTTCTATATGTAACTCTATTTGCATGCCATTTGTGCAGAGTAAGCCTACAGTTGACCAAATGGATCTTGAAATTTTGTACAGTCAGTATATTCGCAGCCTTTACCTGAATACAATGTTTCAACATTCTTTTCAAAAGAGGGAAGAGGAAGCCATGGTTAGTAGAATTGTTTATTTTAAAAATAACTCCAATGACTTATCAATTTGGATATCAATTAAAATTGTTCATTATTTTAGCTTTTGATGTTCTCTAAGATTGTTATTCTTTGTTACTTGTTATCAATCATGGTATTCAGTATGCTTTCTTTCTTGCAAACAAATATATTGATTCTGTACTCATCTTTTAATCTAGACAGTTAAAAAAAGACATTTATGACAATGATTTCATTGTTTTATCTATTTTAAAGATGTTTGTTTTTTGTTTTATTTTAATCATTTCACCTCCAAGTAAGGTAATAAATCTACTAAGATGTAGGGAGTTACTGAGGGAAAGGATATAGAAAAAACATTAAGGAATGAGAACAAGAACTAAGAAGACAGAATTTTTTTTTTGTCAAGTCTAAACACTAGTTTATGTCAATGAAACATAAGGTTAAGCTGTTGAGAAAGGAACTGAATTGTTTCCATATATAAATTGACGTTTTGGCATTTACTAAACTTGCCCAGGTCTAGTACATGACCACAGATGTTAGGGATCATTCATAGTTTAGTAATGGTCTGCTTGAGCGACTTTCCTAACAATGAACTGCCCGGTTATATGTATAGTATTTATTTGTTGAATAGAAAATTATGTACATCATTATTACAATTATCACAAACATCTTGAAATAGATGCTAGAAAATTTTTGTTTCTGTGTATATTGCTGTAAAACTATTTTAGAAAGAAAAAAAAAATGGAAGTTCAAATCTTTTATCCATTCTTTTTACAAGTACTTTTAGTGGCACTAGCAAAAATGACTAATCAAAGTGAAATGTGTAAGGAAACGTTAAAATGACAATTATTTTTACAATATACAAATTGTACAAATTACAAATAGGCATTGCACAAAATTTTCCTTGTGCACCTCAAACAATCAAGACAAGTTTTTTCTAATACAAATCTGTTTTCTCTTAGAAAACCTCAGTACATGAAAAAAAATTGTTTTTCTTTAATGAAAAAAGGAATTTTAACAACTTTCTTTGATATGAATCAATTTCTTAGCAACAAAAGAAATTTACTTTGAAAAGTTCAAAATTTGAAATGTTGACGGTGGAATGTCAAAGGGGGTGAGAAAAAGACTATATTCTGGTGATGCTGATTTTCTGGATCCTTTATAGAAAATATTCATGGTTTCAGAACAGACGTTCTTAAGTACGAAATACTCTCACAGGTTTAAAAAATATATTTGAATGAGATAAATATTCTCAATTTTAGGAAAGGACTACATAAAGAGAATTCTTGTTGGTTTTTAAGGATTCTTCTTTCTTCTTAGTAGCAAAAGCAGTCTTTTATCATCCCAGGTTACAGCTTTTCTTGCTCAGGTGTGAACTAATCTCAAACTTTGCAGTCAAAATTTTCTTTGTATAGCAAACAAGTTATTCCAACTGGATCAAAACCCAAATCTTTTGGGTGGAGCATATTTTTTTTTATCCCCCTATTGGGTAAAAATTTGAGAATCACTATCCACTGAAACTGCATCTGTTTGCAATTTATATTTGGCTGGTTTGTCAACATCAAAGCTAAGCCTCATTTTGTAAATCTTTGCCATAAACTGTCTGGCTTTATTTTGGCAGTTTTTTATAACATCAATTTGGAGCCTCTTTTCAAATCCTTATACATCAAATTTTATTCATTTTTATTTTATATCTTCATTTTGGTAGTTTCTTTGAAAAAGAAAGTGTTAGTAAAATTCTAATTTTCTTAATTAGTTTGTCATACAATTTAATATTGTTTTATTAGAAATAATCTATATATATATTTTTTTTTTTTTTTTTTTTTTTTTTTATACATATTCCAACATTTTCTTAGTTTTTAATACAATTTAAATCTTTTTTTAAATTTTTTTTTTTTTTTTTTTTTTTTTTTATAATCTTTTCCCAGTCTCAATCTTATTCTTTCAATCTAATTTGTGAAGATTACATTCTAATTGCAACAAATTTGCATAAAATTAATTTTATCTACCTTGTTGTTTTCTTTTTTTTTTCTTTTCTTTTTTGCATAACAATATATCAGTAAAAATAAAAACATGTTTTTCTTTTAAAGATTCAGATGCATGGTTTATGGAGTGAAATGGAAAAGATAATGAAAAAGAAATCTAATCTGGAGTTGAAACTAGTTGAGGAAGAACACAACAAAGTTGTCAGTCAGAATGCACAACGTCAGGTGAAGGAATAACACATTGTTTAAAAAAAACCTTTTATTAGGGTCTATAGAAGTGTCCCCTCCCTCTTTGTCATTTCTCCCTTTCTCTCCCCGCTTCTCCTATCTTTCTCTTAGACTTTTTTTTACTTTAAAGTTTTTCTTGTTCATATCTAAAGATTCTCTGTCTCCCTTATATTATCAGTTGTATTTTTTTTTTTTTTTTTTTTAAGTCATTATTTTAAGCTGGGCCTCAAAGTTGCTGAAGCTACTCACAAAATTTGTGAAGTGGAAACAAATGTTATCTGACCATATGCCCAAAACAGGGTTAAGCATTTTAAGGATTTGTCACTTGAAATAAAGCTCAGAAATAGACTACCATCGGTTGTCAATTATTATGCTTTAAGATGCAAAGTAGAAAAAAAACTTCACCATCAGAACTTGTAAACATTTAGAACAAACTAGAATCAAAGGATAATGTATATAAAGCATTACATAATCTTCAAGAAATATACAGGAGCTTTGATAACAAAAAAAATACTTAAATTAATAATCCATAAATTAATGTTAATGCTACTAGATTATAATTTTTTTTTTCTCATAAAATCCTCATTGAGTGATGAAAAAATTTGTAAACTCAAAAGAAATGTAACATTTATTGGACAATTTTTTTTTTTTTCATCAATGAATAATTTATCTCCATTTCTTAGAGCAATGCCCTGAACTTGGTGGATTTTTCTTTGCCTGATCTGATTCCTAACCATCAACATCTAGCAGCAGCACTGGATACCACAAGGCACCAGATTGCTTCTCATGGTATTCATCTGCCAAAGGATGAAGAAGCTTTTACAGGTATGTATAAAATCCATCCTTGAAATATCATACTTAGAACTCTTGTCTGAATCTTTGTAAAAAAGCAACAAATAAAGCCAAGCTCTTCCTTTATTTAATATAGCATGATCCATGCGAGTATTAAAAGATTGAAAAAAGTTTTTTATTACTGTTTTAATTTCATAAAAATATCTGCCTTGTTATAACAAGTTGTAATGGTAAATTGACATTTTATTTTTACTGATTTTTCTTTGTGATAAATATTATTGTGGCTTGCTTTTTATAACCCCATTTTTTTGATAAATTGTTCCTGAATGTCTGACAATATAATATCTGATAAAAACTAAGAAATATAATTCATAAATTGTAATTCTTGATGCTTTAAAGGAATAGGAAATTAATTTGAATTCTTCAATTTTGCAATATTTTTAAGTTATTTTGTAAAATGTTTTTTAATCTTGTACTTCAGATGACTTGATAGAATCATTGCAGGAAACGGAACAACTTTTGAAAAAAATTAATGACTTGACTGGAGAGAATGTGAACTCCTTATCATCGTATAGTTCTGTTTTAAAGGAACTAACCGATACTGCTTGTCAAGAAAATAATGAAATTGAAAAGTAAGATTACTGTAATCTTGTTTTATTGTAAATATTTCTACTGTAACTACCAGTTCATCTCTTATAATATTGCTTGCATATCTAAAAAGCTGCTACTGAAAACTTATGTATAAAATTATAGTGCTTATATGGTTTTATTTTGACTAGATAAAAAAAGAATTACTCTCAAATTTTATGTATAAATATAATTATATTTACCCATGACCTTTACTCAGCCATTAACAATTTTTAAGTAAAGTAGATGATCTTTGTATGAGATATATATTACATGTTTCAGCTTATGACCACATTATGTTGCAACATCAGTTCCCACAGCCACCAAAGTTAAGCAATGTCAAACCTGGTTAGTACCTAGATGGGTGACTGCTTGGGAATACCAGGTGCTTTGAGTTTGAATGTGTGGGTGATATAATGGATAATGGCTCAATTGTTAATCAGAACCAAGTTCCAATTCCAGTTGGGTTTGTTATATTCACTTGTGCACAAATCCCCTTGAGAAAGATATGAATCTACCTCTTCTTCTCCCCCCCCCCATAGGTATGGGTTTATTTAGCTTTTAATAATCCAAATCTTACTGTCTCCAAAAAATAAATAAATAAAATCTAAAAAATATTTTCTGGTTTTAACATGCAAGAGTTGATAAGCCTTGGAAAATGGATTAATCAATCAAAATACAAATTTCTCTTTGTGATGTTTAAGTTAATTAAAGAAGTACATAAAAACTAGTTTCTTACGAGTAATTTTTAGTAATGACTGTAGAGCAACATTGAGTGAAACTGGTAGCTGGGTTAAAGGTTGGGTCCTTAGACAACTGGGGAGTAATTTATTCGACTAGTTTTGTAGTCAGTAAAATTACATGACCCTTCAAAATTAACGATAGTATCAAGGTAATTACTTGTACAAGTATCAAATGCTGAGAATTGTAAGTTTTTTGACAGAACATTTGAGTGCCACTGATTACAACCAAAAAGATTTAAAGTAAAGCATATATTCACATATATCTGTGCTACATTATATTCTTCAAAACTGACTTACCCACCTTGTCAAGAGTTATACAAAATTAATCGAATGGTCTTGAGCCTCTTCAAATATTAATCAAATAGAAAAATTGTGGTCCATCCTTAAGAGATGTATATGGGAAAGGAAAACAATATCCCAAAATGTCTGAGAAGTGTTAAAATTGTTTCAAATAATGTTAATCAAAACAGTTGGAAAGTGAACAAAATTGATAGAGATTGTTAAAGAGTCTATATTAACATGTAAAATTTATTTAGGCATAATTTGCTTAATAAAACAAAACACTCCAAAAACAAGTTATTTTCAATCCGTTTAATAAGGAGAGATATTATTTCTTGAATTCATATATAGAATATGTATTATATAAATATATCCAGAAAATCTGTATTATCAACAGTTGGCTATTTGCAGTTTTATTGTGAAAACTTTGATTTCTATAATAAAATTTGTGTGTGTGTGTCATCCGTCAGTCTTGAGAAGCCTTGGATCTGCACCTAAAGAGTTATGCCTCAGCTGCTGATGGTGGTGCCACATTTGTTATGTTTGTACAGGCCTGCAAGGGAGTGACACTTGATAGCAATGAATGCATGTGAAGACACTCTCCCCAGTAGTTGCCCTCATGCCAATGGCTAGTTCCCCCATACAGAAGGACCTTCAGAATTGTCCCACTGTTGGAGAAGGGCGTATCAGCTGGGTAACTGGGCACGGGTGGGAACTATGGCATTGATGACCAGGTCAGACAAATTGGTGCCCGGAATGTGTCTTAGACAGCAAACATGAAAGGTGCTGAGGTGTCTCCCCTGTCTGGGGTAAAGGCTCCCAGTTTTCAATGACAACACATGGTCAATAGACTGCAATTTTGGTATTTGTAGTAAGCTTTTTGTTCTCCCAGACTCTAGAGGTCAGCCTGGCAAATATTGTGGCAGCTCATCCAATCCATCTGTTGACCCTCAGTGCTTAGAGAGAGAGTTTGAAATGGTGAAGCCGAGGTATGTAAATTCATGGACCACCTCCAGGTCGCAGTTGTTGATTTTGATGTTAGGAAGCTGTTCAACACCTTGTTTCATTACATTAGTTTTCTTCAGACTGAACTTTTGGCAGGCTTTTGAAAAAATAAGTCCCTGCAGTTGCTCTTCAAAGTGTGCTGTTGGCCTTGCATCATCTGCAAACAGCTTGTTTCTCATGAGTACTTCCATGTACTTCGGATTTTGCTCTCAGCCAAAATAAACTGAACAGTCTTTCCATACAGGTAGACATTATCTCTGTGTGAGAGTGATAGAGAGAGACTTTCCCCTCCTCTATAAAAACTTGCATAAACACAGGTGCATCAATAAGTTACTGACAGGTGAATTTTGATCTGATTATTAGTTAATAAACTGGTGAGAAATTTAGAACTTTACTTTTTGGAACCATGACTTTATGAATTTAAGCACTGTATGAGATTGTCAGCAAAGTATCCTTTTTTTTACACTTGAAATGGCTAGATGTAACCATAACCTATGTTAAGTTTCTTCTGTTGCATTTGCTTGTGGAATTCTCTTCTAGCTTTTTGCTTTTCTGTCAACTTTGATCCTCAAAATGCAATGTCAATCATTTATCTTTAAAATTAATTTTAATTCCTGTTCTTTTATTTTGCTCTCTCTCTCCTTAATGTTTTCTTTTTCTCAGTCTCACACTCCGTAATCCCTTGTCTTAGTGGCTTGGGGGTGAAATAATTAAAAAAAAAAAAAAAATAGAAAACCTTCAAATATTAATTGGTCTTTTTACTAAATATCATCATCAGCATGCTTTCAATTTTCTAACTTTAGAATTTAGCCTACATGCATTAGAAGTCTTAACCTTTTCAAGCAACAGTACACCTAGGAGCAAATAAAAAAAATCATGGCACCCTTAGCAAAATTTTTAAAGAGTATACATTTAAATGTTATGAAATAAAACCATAGATTAAAAAAAAACTCGTGCACAAATATGAACTTACTTTATTTCAACACCATGACAACACTAGTGTGCGATTTCCTGACAGTTTTAGAATTACTGCATTAGAACATTCAAATTAGCATTTTTTTTCTCTTACATATAATTCAATTTCTTTGAAGTTGAATGTTAACAATTCTAAGTGTTACTTAATTTTTATAGATTCTTGGAAAATGAATAGTCAAACAACAAAGGGTTGATTACTATTATTTTTTAAATTGATAATTGGTAGTTATTTGTTAATTAAAACTAATTTTTATTTAATTTTCCTTTTACTTTTAGGTTGGATGAAATTTTGGCTGCTACAGAATCTTTAACTGTTCATCAGGCTTCTTTGAATATACAAGAAATTCAAGATTTGTGTACCATGAAGTTTCAGTTGAATATTTAACTGCTTGTAATTTTAATAAAAAAGTTTATTGTGATTTTGTGTGTCTGAAGGGAAAGTAAAAAATGATCCACACTTTAGACAAAATTGTGGATCATTTTTTACATTCTTTCTTATGTGTTTAAATGTATAAATAACCCTTGTAAAATTTAATGATTACAGATGAGCATTTGCTGATGTCTACTTTTAAACATTGATTTAAAAAAATACCTTATGCTAATTATATAGCATATTTTTTTCATTGCTTTGAAAAAAATCTATAGCTTTTATTGTTTAAAAATATTTTACAAATAATAAATTAGTGTATATTTCTGTTTGAAAGTAGTGTTGAAAGATGTATTTAATAACTTAGAATATTTTTCAAATGTGTAAAATAAGAATGCTAATCTTTCATAATGAGCAGTTGTAAAAAGGGATTTTTACTGTGATAATTGTTAAACTGCTTTACTCATCCATGAAAAAGGATGGCATATTTTAAGTTTTTATTGTTATAAAATTTTCATGTGACTTTATATATATATATATAAAATCTCTGATTATTGTTGTATTTTGTGGTTTCAGTCCTTTTCACCTAGCTTTCTGAACATCTAAAAATCATGCCAGACATTGCAACCTGGCATTGCCAGTACAAAGGAGGTAACTTGGACACAGCAAAAGTTAGACAATACCCTAAAATTTTTATAAATACCTTAAAATAAATATTTATATATATATATATGCTAGCTAGTAAATCACTGCTTTTTGTTTGTTAAAGTTCTCTCTGAAGTTGTTTTTTTACACAGTTGTTAAAAGATCTTTTTGATGCATTTTATCAATTAGCTATGTACATACTTGCTATAGACACAGCCAATGATTCCTTTGATATATATGCTTATAGAGGTTCTTTTTGTTCTCTCTCCACTGTTTAGTGGATGTATATATATATATACATACATACATACACACTAATAATTTGCATGGAATTTTTTCTTGTTCTGTTAAATCTAGTCATCTTGTGGCTTGCTCAACCTTACTTCTGGCCTAAAATATTGCCATTTATCTTTATATTGTAAATATACACTGTGACTTAATGTAAATATATAAGGAAAAAATTAAATTATAATCATCTATTCGAACTGTTTTATTTTTTTGCTTTATTGTTGACAAGGGAGGTCACCTTATTGAGAGTCACTGTGGCTTTACACTTAATTGCTGTATAAATAAGTTATTGTATTAAAACAAATTCAAGAAAAATATGACAATCAAAAGGTGTTTTTTGGTTAACCTCACATTCAACATTATAAGCAAGTTTGGTCTCTGGAAGACTTTAGTGGGCCTAGCATAGTAATGTTATGAGAGCCATTAATAAAAAAAGAAATGATGAGCTTTAACAACAGTAGAGAAGAGAAATCTCTGAAGACAGTCAAACATTACAAGTAATAGCAGCAGACAGACAGTTTAAGGCTTCAAGTTTTGTACTTGAGATTGTCAATAGCTTAGCAGATTAAAGCATTGGTTAATGAATTTTGTGACATATCAATCCATGAGCCCAGCAGTGGGAACAGTGAGCTATAACAAAATATAAATGGAAGGAGAACAATCTAAATCCCATACATTAAATAAAGGGTTCGGTTCAAAATTACCTGAAGATTACCTGTATTGATAAATACATGATGAAGGCTGAAATGTGACAACAAAGATGAGGACTTTGAACTGCTAATAAAAAAAGACAAATGACATCTTCAGCAGCAGCTGTAAGAAAAGAGAACAGCTTTAGTGAGGTGTAGGTCAGCATAAATGTGGGTTAGGTTTGAGGCTCCAGCTTCTCCACAGAGAAGCCTAGTAGATTAAAGCATTTATTTAAGAATTTAGATGATCAATAATTGTGAGTTCAGTCCCTGGCCTGAGTAGTGTGTACTGTGGAAACACGGCAAGCTATAATTAAGCAGTATTTTTATTTTTTATATGCATATAATTCTTATATATAAAGAGCTAGACAAGATGTTCCTAGACATAGGCAGTGGAATGAGATGTCTACTCCTGTGGATTAAATAAAGGGTTGAGTTCTGAATTCCCTGTAGGTTACCTGAATCGATATGCACCTGATGAATACCAGAAGGCACAACAGTTGAAATGTGATAAAGATGAGGACAATAGTCCATATGTAAGTAATAACTTCCTCTTAGAAATTCAAACAGGTTTCTGAAAAAGTTGCGTTGTCCACCAAAATATTTACACTCTTGGTTATCTAACTCCTTGAGACAACTTAGTCAAATCAGATATAGCGTTGAGTCCTCTAAACTTCAGTGTTAAAACTTGAGTTGCTTGTTGGTTTCAAGAGTTTTGAATATTTTTAGCATGAATTTGGAAAAGGCTACAGAGGAGATGAATGCTATAAACAATTTATACAAATGGCAATGTATTAATGGTTATTGCTGAAAGGGTCTACTCCGTTTTAAATGAAGCTTGAGTTGTTGCCTTGGATATCTTGAAGGCACTTGAAAGGGTTTGGCATACTGGTCTTATCAAGTTGAAAGGTTATGGTATTTCTGGATTAATTTTTGATTTGATTCATTCTTTATTTAATCACAATGAGAATCCTCTAGAACAGCCTGGCCCTGTCGGCGGGGCTTCAGAATACGCCGACTGCACCTCTGCAGGGGGTAAAAGTCCCCCAAGGGGGCCACCTGTTTGCCGTGGGTGGCGACCCGTGATGTTTGGGGACGGGATCCTGGTGGCTGAGCAGGTCATGACCCAGGTGATAAGTGGTCATTAACTGCAACACTCCACTTTGGCCCTTACCTGAGCTAGACGGGCGGTCGGAGAGGCCCACTCCGATCAATCGGCTGGTCATGACAAGCCCTAACACTCAACCCCCAAAAAAAAAAAAAAACTTGTGTATTAGTATAATTGCCAATTTATCCTCCCAAAAAAAAAAAAATGACATTTATTTAAAAAAAAAAAAAAATATATATATATATATATATATATATATATATATATATATATATATATATATATATATAAACTCCCACATGAGTGTTGGAAGGCGGTGGCTAAAGGGTCAATCGATTCTGAGGAAGAAGGCCACAACATGGCTGTATACACCCGAGAGGCATCACTGGACTTGGCCAGCGAAGCCAAGGGAATGCAGGTGCTTGTGGCTTCCACTGGATACGAGTATACCTTTCCTGTAGCCCTGATGTGCCAGGGGGCGAATGGGTTTCCCCTGGCATCTCCCATAAAATTGGACTCCGAGGTGGGTGGGGAGCAGGAATGGCGAAACAACACCTAAAAAACAAATGTTTCCAAAGAAATCCACCAAGAGACCACATTTTGAAAGCTCTGACAGTGAGCCAGAAATAATATATCAAAACATCCCTACATATATGGTAATCCAATCAACTGAAGATATACCTATAACTAAAATATCACCTTTCAAAATCGAACAAATACTTTCTAAAAAAATAAAACCAAAAACAACAAAAAAAATTAACAAACGGAACAATTCTAATCGAGTTCAAAAAACACAAGTGGAAGAAATCCTAAGATGGGAAACTTTCAACAACATCAAAATTAAAACCTCCTCCCTCCACCAAACCTTAAATTCATCCAAAGGCGTAGTGAAAAGCTCTGAATTATCACTATGCACATTAGACGAAATAAAACAAATTTAAAAAACCAAAATGTAATAGATATCAAAAGAATAAGTATAAAAAAAAAATGGAGAAACTATAAACACAAACACATACATATTAAATTTTAATATCCCAAAACCCCTAATGAAATTAATGTAGGGTACATAAAATAAAAAGTTGAGACATACATACCGAATCCACTTAGATGTTTCAACTGTCAGAAGTTTGGACACCACCAAGATAGGTGTACTAGACCCCAGTATGCAGAAGATGCGGTGAAAATAACATAAGACACACTGACTGTCAGAAGGAGGCAAAATGCACTAACTGCAAAAAAATCACCCATAAATTCCAGAGATTACGAAATCTGGAAAAAAAGAAAAGGATATTTCCAAAATAAAATATACTCAAAATATTACTTTCCCAGAAGCAAGGAAATTAATAAACACTGTGACATACACAGAAATATCAAAAAGACATATACCAAACCCAAACCAACAAGGACACCAAACATACGAAAATAATCAACCTATAACAAAACCTGAAAGTAGTTACTCAACTTATGAACGAGATGAGAACTCTAATCCAAGAAATGAAAACCATTATAAAAACAATCACAGAAAACAAACAACTCTCAAGGAAAACTCAAACACCAAAACATCAACAAACCAAGAGACACAAGCAAAGCCTAACAAGGAGAACCCAAAAGTACTCTTCTTCTGAAGTGGCCTCTACCACTAGGCCATCACAGACTTCACCCAATAGGAAACTATAAAGGAAAAAAACCCTGATGGGCAGGAGCATAAAATAGATCAAGATCAACCTCAAGAACAAGAACTGCCCCAAAAATAAATAAATTTGAGGCATTGGAAATAATGGAAACGGAAGATGAGACCCCACAACTAAGCAAAACCCAATCAAGGAAAAAATCTAACCTCAAAACAAATCCCGCCAAAAATTAAAACATGGCTCCACAAGTAATCAAACATCAAAATACCGGAACCATGACTAATAAAATCATCCAATGGAACATAAGAGGTATGAAACCAAACATAAATGAACTACTGCTTTTAATTGGGAACCTATGTCCAATGATAATATGTTTACAGGAGACTTTTCTGAATGACAATGTAAAAATTCGTAATTTTACCTCATATAACTATATAAATAATAATACAGATAGAGCCTCAGGCGGCACATCCATACTAATTAATAACAAGATCCCTCAACGCAGAATAGATCTTGACACAAATCTTCAAGCTGTAGCTGCATCAGCCACTTTACATTGTACCATAACAGTATGCTCTATATACATACCCCACATGATCAGGTTATCGACACCCAATTAGAGCAACTGTTGCAGCAACTCCTAGGCCATTCATTTTATTGGGTGACTTTAACAGTCACAACATCATATGGGGATGCAAAGAAATAAACAAAAAGGTAAAATCCTGGAAAGGATTGTTAACGAAACGATCTATGCATACTCAACACGGGCACTCAAACATATAAACCAATTTAGTGGGAATACCTCTGCCATTGATTTAACCATATGTGACCCATCTATCTATATGGACTACACTTGGCAAGTACATGATGATACTTGTGGTAGTGATCACTTCCCAATACTTCTAAATAACACAAAGCCTAATGGAAAAAAAAAATGCCCCGTTGGAAACTAGACAAAGCTAACTGGGAAAAATTTGAAGAAAAATGCAAAGAAAAACTAATACAAAAGAGTCAAACAATGACACAATAGAGTATTTCACTGAAACACTGAACTCCATAGCAGTAGACAGTGTTCCCAAGACTACAACTCCAAATAAACGAAACAGACCCTGGTTCAACAACAAATGCCAAGAAGCAATTAAACTGCGAAAAGAAGCACTAAAAAATTCCAAAAAGAACCAATAACATCCAATCTGATGGAATACAAATCAAACAGAGCAAAGGCACGAAAAGAGATAAAAAGCAGCAAAAAGAGAATGCTGGCAGAATTATGTCAGCAAATTGAATTGCTCAACTAAACCAAAGGCAATTTGGGAAATGATTAAGAAAATTATGGGCAAACAAGAAACAACACCAATAAAACACCTCTCAAAAGACAACTCCATAATAACAGATAAAAAAAAGCTATAACAGAATTGCTAGCTGAAACCTTTGCCAAAAACTCATCCAGTCTGAATGGTACAAAAGAATTCATAACCATCAAAGAAGATGCAGAAAAATGTAAACTAAATTTTAAATCAAAAAAATCTTGAAGATTATAATAGTTTATTGACACTAAGAGAATTGAAAGACTCTATAAAAAAATCCCATAATTCTGCTGTAGGCCCGGATGAAATCCACTATGAGTTTTTAAAAAAAAAATTACCAGAAGAATCACTAAAATTCCTTTTAAAATATTTAACAAAATATGGACAGAAGGAAGGTTCCCAGATATATGGAGAGAGACAACAATGATACCAATTCCCAAACCAAAAAGAGATGGCTTGGACCCACAAAACTATCGACCTATCTCTTTAACCAGTTGCTTGTAAAACAATGGAAAGGATAATAAACAACAGGTTGATTTGGCATTTGGAATCAAACAATCTTATTTCAACTTACAATGTGGGTTCCGTAGTAAAAGAGGCACAATAGACCACTTAATACGCCTTTGAAACAAATATTAGAGAAGCATTTATCAAAAGGAACACCTTACAGCTATATTTTCGATCTAGAAAAGGCTTATGATACGACGTGGAAATATGGAGTAATGAGGGACTTGAGTAACCTGGGTATTAAGGGTAGATTGCCACAGTTTATTGATGGATTCTTATCTGAAAGAAAATTCAGAGTTCGTGTCGACTCTACACTTTCAGATGTGAAAAATCAGGAAGAGGGTGTCCCACAAGGCAGTATATTGTCCGTAACACTATTTAACATAAAAATAAACACTATAATCAAGGAAATACCACCAGGAACCGATGGATCACTATATGGATGACCTTATGATATGTTATAAATCAAAATATATCCACACGATCGAATCGAAAACTGCAACAGGGTCTAAATAAAATCAGCAGATGGGCAACAACAAATGGATTCAAGTTCTCTAAAACAAAAACAAAATGTGTCCATTTTTGTCACAAAAGGAAACTCCATAATGACCCTAGGCTGAAACTTGACGGTTCAGAGATCCCAGTTGTAGATGAATACAAGTTTCTGGGGGTAATATTTGACAAAAAACTAACATTTATTCCCCACCTGAAATACTTAAAAACCAAATGTAACAAAACATTACAACTACTACTGCTGGTAGCCCCACACAAAATGGGGAGCAGATCAAAACACTCTGTTATTATTGTATAGATCCCTAATTAGATCAAAATTGGATTACAGTATTTTTTATATACCGCTCAGCCAGAAAATCCTATTTAAAAATGCTTGACCCGATCTACCATGGAGGTTTGAGGTTAGTACTGGAGCCTTTAGAACATCTCCAGTCGAGAGCCTATATGCTGAGGCTAACGAAGCACCTGCAAATAGTAGAAGCCATAAACTGGCCCCTCCAGTACTATGTCAAATTAGGGTCATGCCCAGCAAATCCTGCATAAATAGTACCTTCTATCCAAAATACAAAAGAATTATTCCAAAGGAATGAAAAAGCCATAAAACCCTTTGGACTTGGGATGGAAACAATTATAGAAGAAGCAGATGTAGATTTGACAAAAAATCCATAAAACAATCATACCAGATATCCCACCTTGGACCATAAGAACCCCAAACATAAACTTAACCCTCTGTAAATACTAAAAAATAAAACCCACCCACTAATTTTCCAAGAGGAATTAGAGAAAGTTAAGGAGAGATATCCTAGGCACTCACATGTCTTCACAGATGGATCTAAAGTAGGAAAAATAACAGGATGTGCATAATATATAATAGAAAAATATTTAAAAAACATCTCCCAAATGACACCTCTATATTCAGTGCAGAAGTTTGCGCAAATTAACATGGCTCTTAACCTCATCTCAGAATCAAGGAACAACAAGTTCATTATCTTTTCTGATTCACTATCAGTATTAGAATCACTAAAAAACAGGAAGTTTGATAATCCATTGATAGTGAAAATACTATGTAAATTAGAACACCTATCAAATGATAATGATATACAGATATGTTGGGTCCCAGGTCACACTGGAATCGGTGGAAATGACCAGGCAGATAAAGCAGCCAGGTCTACTCTAAATATGACCATAGAAAAAAAATTTCAAAATACCATATACAGACCTTAAAATGAAGATAAATAAATACATACTGCAACAAAGACAACAATGCTGGAACAGCAATAGTAATAATAAATTACTAAAAATTAAACCTAAATTGGGAGAATGGAAACAGAGCTATAGGAAAAATAGAAAAGAGGAAGTGATATTGTCCAGACTTGAATAGGCCATACAAGGACAACACATTCCTACTTACTTGAAGCAAAGCAACAACCAATGTGTTATGCATGCCAGACCGCATACACAGTGAAACACATTCTCATTGAATGTACTGACCTAGCCATATAAGAGAAACGCTTTATAGTGCAAGTAACATGAAGGAACTGTTCCAAAAAACTGACATGGATAACATAATATCGTTCCTGAAAGCAGTCAATTTGTACCAAAAAAATCTAAAAACATAAAAAGTTGGGAGTTTTCTGCAAACTTTTGCTGCAAGGAATGTTTTCAACAAAATCTGATTCTTTCTGCATACCATTTCTCAAAAAAAGGAAGAAACTTCCTACGATACAATTCTCTACAAAAAATTTTTTTTGACAGAACCAGATTTTTTTCTACAAACCATTTCATTTCTAAAACCTTTTTCAGCATGGCAAACCTCTCCGTTTGTGGAAATGGAAGGGTCTATTATATTGGAAAATAATATTCCAATAATAACCTGATTTGACATTAAATGACTGAGGAGGTCGATATGTCGTAAAACACAAACAAACAAACAAAATCTAGAACAGCCACTGTCCTAAATTTTTTTTTTTTTTTTTTTACATTAATGCAAGTATCCATGAGGACGCTATCCTTAGACCTATTTTGTTCCTAATTTTCATCAATAACCTTCCTAAGGCCATCATTTCTTAACTTGGTATCTATGCTAATGACACAAGTATTTACTCCAGTCTTAATAGTAATTCTGACAGATTTGGTAATATCAAATTGGCAGCTGATCTCAAAATGACTTTCAATCTGTTATTAACTAGGGTAAGAAACTATTAATCCTCAAAGAGAACATTTTGCCTTCCATCAGGCTAATGTTTTCCATTGACATTATGTAAAATGATTATATTGAATCAACTGCCAGGTTTTCTTTTAGGAACATTGCCATACGAGACAATGTTTCTGCCAGAAACTATCATACATTTATAAGTCTACCATGCATGCATTGAATATATCTGTCACATCTGGTCTGGTGCTTCTGCTATATTTAGAGATTCTTAAAATTAAAAGAATCTATAATGTCATCAATCATGACTGGTATGTCTGCTTCTGTAACTTCCCCACTATTGTAACATAAATTCCCTATGCTTTTCTATAAATATTTTCATAATTTTTCTGATTTGTTTTCCTCTTCGGTACCTTGACTTTAAAAATTTAAGCACAGTACTAGATTGGTAGTTAGCTCTCATCATTTTTACAGTTCAAAATTGCTAAAATATCGCTATAAGTTCTTCCAGTTTCATTCATCCGTCTCTTTAGAACCAGTTATTTTTTTATTTTTATTTTTTTAACACTCCCCCTCCCCAATCTTCCTTGGTGTGAAATTACTTAAAAATAAAAAAAATAAAAATAAGCACTCCCCTTTTCGAAACATGAGTGTCAAACAGAAAAAGTTCAATAAATAACTCTAGGAATATCATAATTATTGTAAAAGAATTTATGAAAAAATTGATCTTTAACATGATTTGCTGTTACTGAATTTACAGATTTAAAATATATATATATATATATATGTGTGTGTGTAAGAATTATTACCAAGATGTTTTGAAAATGTTTCTTTAGAAGCTTGTAAAACAAAATTACCCCTTATATGTTGTAAAATCCAGATTCAATTCTGGCATGGGCTTACAAATATTAATAGTTGTTTTTGGCGTAGCTGACTGTCCATTAAAAATATTTTAAATAGTTCCAGTTCTACTGTAGATAGTTTTCAAGCAAAATAATAAATCTCTTCCTTTTCTAATCAAGGATGTCTACTTGTGCAAGTATTCTTTCTATTCTGGGCAATCATGACCTTTGTATTTGGCTGTAAACTATTCTGAAACACAACTGAACTTGTATCTGATGAAAGATGAAGGCATACTTCATTCTTTGGAAAATTGGAAGGTTTCCATTTTGCTTGTACATCCAAAATGTTTTTGCATTTAAAAACCAGAGGTCTTTCAAATTGTGTAGGATCATCTGCTAATTTTTTGGCAATTATATCTGGTGGCAAATCGGGGAGCTGAAAATTAGGGAATTGATCATCAATGGGAAATAGAACTTTTGAATAATCAGTGGTACATTTGTGTTTTCCATCAAAGTACTTAGTTTTGTTTTTTAACTTTGGCATTAATGTATAAGGATCTCTTGGATATTCATCAGACAAATTTGGAATATAATTGGCTGGCCAGCCATGATAAAATGGCTTCCATATCTGTTTGGTCTTGGATAATGATTTGGAGTATTTCTTTTTCATGTCTTTGCTAGTCACCAATGTTTTGTCTGTTTGTATTGTTGATGTTTTAATTCTTGATTTAGGTTTTGTGGCATCTAAAGCAACATTGTTGGTAGAATTTTGTTTTTGTTGTTGCTGCTGCTTTTGCACTCTTTGTTTTGTTTTACATCTTTTTTTCTCTTTCTGATTGTCTCTTTCTTTCATAAGTTGGTACTTGATTTCAAGCAATTGTTTCATTTGCTTTGCAATATACTCTTTGTCATTGTGCCACATGACTGCTCTTAAAATCCTGGAAACAAAGAAAAATAAACTACAAATTTCATAATAATCACATCAAAAATCATGGATAAGTACATAAAATATGAAGTTTACAGGAATAAACATAAAAATTTACCTCCTCACATGTTTCAGCAAATATAACACGAGTAAATATAGAGCTATGTACATAGAAATTGACAATAAACCCAACCTTATTTTAAACTAGCTTAAAAGCCACACTCCATGCATACTTTTAAGCTAGCTCCTGTAGAGGGCTAATTAGGTCTCTGGCCCAAAACTAAGGAAACCTCTGGTTCAGCTTAGAAAACAGCAATGATAAGTTTGAAGAAATATTAGGTTGGTGCAAAAATAATGACGTAATAATGTTTTTTTGACGTATTTTTTAACGTCAAAAAACGACATTCTTACGTCATTATTTTTGCACCAACCTAATAACTTTGAATTCATCAATTTACTCCATGGAACTTCAAAACCTCACTTTAATTCTGATTCAGACTATAAGTTCAGTTCTGGCCAAAAGTCTGATTTGGACTGAAGATTCCAATTCAGACCAAAAAATTGAGTTCTTCAAATCACAAACTTCATGTCATTAATCATCTCACTTTAACTCTCATTCCTTGTCATTTTTGGAGATATTTTAAACTGAATTTAAAACAAAAACTTTTAAATTCACAAAGTTATTGTGTTACTTTAAACTCAATATAAATTAAGAACTTTTTAAGATCATTAAATTAATTTCCCCCCATCATTTTAAAATTTGATTTTTTTTTTTTTTTTTTTTTTAGTCCCTCCTCATCTGGACACAAATTCCAATGCTGGATGTTCAAGCACCAGATGAATGGCAAATTTTCAATCCCGGAATCATCCTGATTTCAAAAGGTTATGTCTATGCAAAGCAAGTGTGACCCAAGTTCGCGGGGTTTCAGATGCATGGACTGACAGAATTTCCTGTTTATTTATTTAGAAGATGATACTGGATTATATTAATCCTTTTTTCTTTTAAGGATAGACTATGCAGTATTATAACAACCCCTCTCCCCACAAAATTAATTTGTGTGATGTTATTTTTTTTTTCCTCACTGTCAATACAAAAGTCCTAATTAGCAAATTTTAATGCTTTATTGATTTTGGAGTAATATTTTATATGTATTTCTTTCACACCTAGTGCATATTGTAAGCAAAGCCTGTGCATCACAATTGTAAGAATTTTAATCCATATAATAACATGTTCACAATTATTGAAATCAATTAAACCAGGAATAGAAAACATTTCATTAGAGTATTAATAGCTGATCAGGAATTAAAAACAAAAAAATCTTTAATTTTTATCTTTCTATAAACATTAGAACTAGTGATATATAATATAGGTAATTTATTGAATATTTTTCTGGCAATGATAGCATTTAATTTCTAAAAAAAAAAAAAAAAAAAATAAAGCATAAAGTTTTTATAAAAATCACATGGTTAACAATGGTTTCAATTTTTGGAAGAATAATTTTCATAACTTACCTGCCACATCTTTCATGTCCCCACATCTGGGCTAAATCTAAAGGTATGTGACCATTATTGTCTCTACAATCCACTTTGGCCCCTGAATCAAGAAGTAGTTTTAATATGGTCAAATGACCCTGACTGGCTGCTTGATGAAGTGCTGTGGTACCTTCATTGCTATTTCTGATGCAATAATGAAAATACAAGTTTACAATTATAAATATTGATATTGAACATAATCTTTGCACCTAAATTTGAAATATATTAAAAGGAGAGTAAAAATATAGTGTGTGCATGTGTAATAAATATATATATATATATATATATATATATATATATATATATATTTATTACACATGCACACACTATATTTTTTTACTCTCCTTTTAACCTTTTATTTCCTTTAACTGATAAAATTATAAAATAGTAACTTTCTTTAAATATTTGCATGTACTCTAATTATAATTAAATGGTCACACTGAATTATTTATCTATTTAATAGGTTAGACATATTAATTAATCCAATTCTGAAGTTTTAGATATGATCAACTTTGATAAATTTAATAATTTTTTTTTGTTAAAACTGAATCCACTATAAATCACGAGGTAAATGACAAGTCCTATTAAATGCATATTACATTTCATTCAAATTATATAAGACATTTACATCAAATGATTTTTAGTTATTACACTGAACAACATTCTAAAACATGTAATTTTTCTTTTTTATAATTAAAACAATTCTTTGATATAATTTAACTTGTTCTAACAAGAACATTTTTTCACAACAAATTATGCAGCAATTATTTTGCTTAACTGCATTACTTAGAATGATTGCTACTTATGTAAATGTAAAAACATTCTTATTTTATTTATAATCAAATTCACCCTAAGCAAGGCAGTAAAGCCATTAAGACACAGAGTTATTGGGTATGACAGAATTAGAAAACAGAAAACATTATGAAGAAGTGTTAACAGAAGAGTAATTAGGAAGATAGTAGATAATGATTGACATTACAGTTAAATTTTTGGAAATCAGATTTGGCCAGAAAATATAGAGCAGGAAGAGAGTTCCACAAGTGAGAAGTGTGATAAAAGAAACTTAGCATAGAACTTTGTTACATCTAGCCAATTCAACTGTAAATTGATTGGCAATATAAGTGACAGACGGCTATAAAAAGGTACTGTTGAGTATTTATGGCTAATTTGTTTAAATAATACATTGATTATTTGCATTATTGGCAAAAATTGTGAGTAAAATGAGGCACTAAAATAAATAACCAGTAAGTAATTGTTTTAAGTTCTCTGAATATTTGTCTTTTTGTTTTTCATTAAAAATTAAGTTCCCACTAGTGTTTTAGCTATTCTTTCTACCTATAAAAGTATTAGATTTCTATTTACACATTTCATGAAAATGTACATAAGTTTTTTTCTCTTTTTCTATTATCTTGAGTTAAAAACCAAAATGTTATTTTCCAAGAAAAATTTTCAACAGTTAAAATAAAAGTTTATTTCAACTAACAATGAAGGGTTAGCTCCCTTATCCAGCAAATAATACACGCAATCCAATGCACAATTTTCATTTTCGTTGTTGGCAGCAGCTTGTAAAGGTGTGCAGCCATTCTCTGCTGTTAAATCAACATTAAAACCATATTTTTCAACTAAAAGTTTCATGCAGGCTAAATGCCCATGCATAGCTGCCAGGTGCAGTGCAGTCAGGCCCTACAAATAGATAATTGAATATAAATTAATTATAATTCTGCTTGTAAATCAATAATGTTCTTGCAAATAATAACATTTATTTATAAATATTTTATTTTTAATTCAATGACATGGGGATATGCTCAACTATCCAGGTGGTGAATAAAATTTCAAATGATTAGCTCAGTGTACTTTTCCATTTTTTTAAATTAATCATTTCAAGAATTAACATCAAGTTTAATTATACAGGCATCTGATTTGCAAATAAGGCCACGTGTCATAAGGAAAACAACTGAAACTTTGATGGAAACAAAATATATTAGTTAAATGTAGACTATTGCCCTCATTTTTGTTGTTGTTATAACATTTCAGCCATTGTGCCCTTCATACTTCATCAGGTGTCTGTCAATTTGGTAACCTACAAGGAATTTTGAACTGTGCTCTTTAATCTATATCTGTTCTCATACTACAAAATAGAACTATAAGTAATAATGCTACTGTATTACATAAGCACTAAACATTATGCTTATATAAGCTTACCAAAATTTCCAAGCCTCAAAATTAGACAGTTTTCAATTTTTATTATGTTTAGTTTTTTTTTTTTGTATGATAAAATGTCTTCGTGACCCAACTCCCCTTAATCTTCAGGGCTGACACAGCAAAAAGACTAGGCAAACTGGAATATATGGTAAGCCTATTCTTACATCAGTTAACTGAATTAAGATATTCAAGAGGTTATACATATTGTACTGAGATAGAGGCTGCAGATCAATTACAAAAATTAAATACTGGGCTTTGCTTTTTATTAAAAAGAAAAAATTGTAGAAACCCAAGGAGACTGGTAAAACTCTTAATTTGAAACGGAAAACTTGCCTCAAAAATAATTTTAATCCAAAAAATATGTGGTTATTTTCAAGTATCAAAAGTGAAAAGAGTGAAATATGTTTTAGTATGAAGTCAGAATTCTCTTTTTCTAAAGTTGCTGGTTTTGGCACAACCACAAAACTGAAGCTATTTGTTATGAATTTCTTTTCAACCTGTTTACCCTGCTCTGCTACAATGGACAGAATCATTGACTTGGTCTAGACTTGAATCAAGATAGACAGGCTATGGTTACTCTTTCATTCTATGCATCAATAAAATTTTTTGAATATTTGATGATAAAACTTCATGACATTTAAATTCAAATAAGAACAATTACTCAAAGGTTATTTTGTACAAAACCATATACTTACATGTAACTAAAAGACAATGTACAGCAAAAGTAATGATTTACAATATTTAAAGTTTGGAATTCTACCTTAAATAAAGAATAAATCAGTATAAGAAACATTCAAAATGAGAAAAAATTTAATTATTTATATATAATAGATATCTAAACTATAGTAATAAAAACTTAGAGACATCTGCCTAATAATGTGTAGCTCCTCTCTTCATGTGAATAATAGTGACCTTGTGACATGGCATTGTCTATGAGGAGCTGAAGTTATTGCATGGGCATATATCCACATTCTGAGTTCTGTTTTTTGGGTGTGGCTGTAGGGAATTTAATCTGCAACATGGTCAATGGAGCTTAAATCTGGCGAGCATTGTGAGATCCAATGGAGTTTCTGGAAATTAGTCAAGTGTCTCTGGAACCAGTTTCATGCCACCTATACATGATGGAGAATTACATCATGTTGCTACAATAAACCATCACCACCATAGCAAGGTAAAAGGAGTGCAAATGATCTGTACTCATGGTCTTTACAAAGGACAATAGAACACCCTCCACAGACTATTAAAGAGTCATGACCACCAACAGGCTGGATCCATAGTCTCAGACTGTTTCATGTGCCCCAAAAGAGCTAGAAACATAACTTGTTTGACCAAATGATACAGTAATGGTCTTCCATGATCCAATGGCAAATGTTCTCTGACACAGTAACCAATGCTGTGTTGTCAATAATTGTACTCGTATTGGTTGACTACTACAAAACTCCTGTGAATGCAGTGTATGTTGTATAGTGCATTGACTGATGGGCTGAGTGGCACCAGCATTGAATTGGGATGGGATCTGATGAAATGTTCCTTTTTGCTGGACGGTTATCATACTTGTCAGTAGTAGCAGTCTTGCAACTTTCTTGTGGACACCTGTAGTTCTCATATGCTACTGATCTGTATCCTGAATTCACTATTGCTATTTGAGAAAAACCTAAAAGAGTTGCCACTCTGGAAATGACGTTTCCTCAATTTCTACTCCCAACAATTGTTCCATACTTAAATGATGTTAAATCCTGTCCATGTCTCATGACTACTACTACTTTACCTATTTTGTTATACATAAGTCATCTTCCTGAGCTCATTTTCTACTAGTGGAGGAAAATGAAACCATCCAGTGTATTACTATCCTTAATTTTTGGGCTCTTCAGTTTTATATTGCAATATAAATAAATTATAAAATGGCCACAGAAGAAAAAGACTTCATTTTATAAAGTTTTCTCTTTTTCAGGTGAGTGTTCACTATAAAGAGGACTTTTAAAGTATTCTTTTAGCTTTATATATCAGAATTGATTTTGATACTACAGAAAACAATCTCACTGATCTCTCAATGAGTCAATAGCATTCTTTCCATTATATTTATATATATATATATATATATATATATATATATATATATAACATGCAAATTTAATTAAACACTAGCAAAAAGTTCATTTTTATTTTTTATTATTTATATTTTCAACACTTCTAATAATTTTTCCGATTTTTGGTTGGTATTGGAATATGAAATTTCCTATATCTGAGTTGTTTCAGATAAAACAAATACTAACCAGAAATCAGAAAAATTATGAGAAGTACTGAAGGGATAAATAAAAAAAAAAAAAAAATGAAATTATCAGATGGAACCAAGAAAGGTTTCTTACATTTAAACATATAGAAATGATAAAAATAATGTTTTGAAAGTCATGTTAACAAAAAGAAAAATATTTAGTACTGAAAAATAAATAGACTGAATTAGATAAAATATGTTATTCAAAATCATCAAAAGAAAGAAACTTGAACAAAAGAGAAATGAATTAAATAAATGCAAAGTTCGAAGAATTGCTGAAAAGAAAAAGTATGAAATGAATTCTATATTTAACCATTATGTCATGAAATGTAAAAATCCTAAGAATATAGCTAAATAATCTTGACATAAATTTAGAAAATAATTTTGGATAAATATTGAAGGAAATTACCTTAAAAATGTTGTTCCATTAAATTGTTATAAATGAAATTTTATTTACAGAAATATATTCATAAAAATAATGAAAGCAAGAGACACTATAGAATACTATTAAAATCATGTTTTTTAAATGATAGTCGTAGTCCATGATTAGTATGAATATTTTTTAAAATAGACATTTCAAAATACAAGTTTACTCATACCATCAAAAAAATGATAGTAATATTTAGGTAATGTTGCAATTATTATATTTTCTGCATGTATTATTTAGGATTTTCATCAATATAATTAACTTTTTCATCGCAAGCAAAAAAAAAAAAAAAAAAAATGATTCTGCTTTTCAAATCATTAAGAGTAAAAATATTAAGAGTAAATCATTAAGAGTAAAAACAACATGAAACAACAGAAATAAAAAGCAATGTATTATTAACAGCTTGTTCTCATTACTAAGATTAGATATTCATGTGTTATGGTATTTTATTTTTATTTATTTTTTTTTTTTACAGCAAGGTTCACCCTTTACAAGGTCAGGGGCCACTCAATATGGAGGGTTACATTTGGAGGCCATTTGTGTGTATAGTAGTAGAAGATAATGGTTAGCCCTAGCCTTGAACAGGTTAAGATTGTAGTGATTGGGGAAACACCCAGTTGGGAGTTGGTTCCAAAGGGCAGTGGTTCATGGGAAAAAGCTGCTCAAGTGGAACCTACTTCTCTCCAATGGAATATGGAGGGAATGTGTGTGGTTTGCTACTATGTAAGTGGCATGGTCATGTTCTTGCTGAGAAGGTTTGACTCGGCGGGACCAGTTAATGTAGTTCATTTGAGCACTTTCTGTGGAAGTAACGGTAAAGCAGTGAGAGGCTTGCTACGTACCACCTGTGGGAGAGAGGTTGAAGGGTGGAGAATAATTCATCATTCACAAGGGCTCGGAAATGCCTTTGAATTCAAGTCTGGAGTGTGAGGTCTGGGCAGCTCCCACCCAAATACGACAACAGTACACCATTTTTGGCCTGATCTGGCTCTTGTAACGGTAGAGGATAGCAGGAGGAGTCAGGTACTTACTGGATCTGTACAGAGAGCCAAACATTTTACCTGCATCCTTAGCAATGGATCATATGTACAAGTTCCACTTGAGGTCAGGTGTGAGTTTGAGGCCCAACAGTCTTTCAAAGCATGGTACTTCCCTGAGAGTACCTCTGTTCATCCTGATTGATGGTAGTTTGGGGTCAGATCTGTGATGGTGGTATGTAATTAGCTGGGGCTTTGAGGCATTGAATGTAACCAGACAGTTTTTACCCCTTTGGGTAGTTTGTGCAAGAGTGGAAAAGAGTTGCCAATCTCAGACAAAGAGTTTTAGAGGTATGCCTGTATATAGTCATATCATCAGCATAGATCTTTACAAATGATCTGAGTATATTCTTAGGCAGATCATTAAAGTAGATCAAAAAGAAGGTTGGTCTGAAGAGTGACCCCTTGGGGATGCCTGTGTTGACTTCTAGGTCTCCATCGAACAGGCCATTGATAACTACCTCCAAGTTCCTGTTAGGAAGGATTTTATGATTGAGAAGACCCTTCAATTGATTCCATAACTGGAGAGCTTGTGTAGTAAGCTTTCGAGATCTAGTGCTATTGTCCTTGAGGTGTGTTTATTGTCAAGAGCCTCACTGATTCTGTGAGTCATGGTAGTTAGGATGTTGGCAGTGGATTGGGCTGACCCAAACCCATACTGCTCATCACTGAAGAATTTATTCTTTTCTAGGTGCTTGATGACTTTCTTTTTGATTATGGCCTCAAAAAAGCTTACTGATGAGACTGATGGGTCTATACTGGGAGGGGGAAGATCATATGCCTGAGTTCTTGAAAACTAGGCATACGCTTGACACTTACCATAGGCTGGGGAAAGATTTCTCCTTCAAGCAGTGGTTGAATAATTTTGCTAGGATTGGAGATAATTCCAGGTTGATGTTCTTAAGGGCAGCCACTAGAATTTTGACTGAACCAGTGGCTTTCTTAGGGTCAAGGCCTTTGATAAATCTAGATGGTAATATTACTGAGATTGTGATCAGTGAGACGTGGGAATTTGAGGAGGTGATGTTCTTTGTCATCTAACGTTGAGATAGAGGCAAAGATGGAGGCGTAGAGGTTCACTTTATCTGTCAAGGAAGATATGACCTTGGGGACATTTATAATTGTGGGCACAGCTGCTTTACCTCTGTTTACGATTTGGTTGGTGATCTTCCAGAATTCACAGGATCCGATTTGTTTCTTTTCAACTGTAGTCTGGACTGCTCGTGCATAGCTGCACTTGGCATTTTCTAGAACATTTTTGCAGCAATTGCAGGCAGTTCTGAATGTAGTGGGGGCTGAAATACTTTGCTTCTTGCAACAGATATTGAAGTAGTGGTTTCAGTGAGTTATGGCTGAAGTGCATTCGGGGTTGAACCAGTGTTGACTTTGGTTTTTGCTGGAAGGTGGGGGGGGTGTTATAAAACTCTCCACTCCAGAAATGGTTCAATCAGTGACAAAGGCAGCAGTTTTTGAGGCAGCATGCTTGAAGAAGGTTGAGAGGAGAGCTTCCATCATATAGGATCGAAAGCTGTTCCAGAATGGTACATCAGGGAATGCCTTAGGTTTGGCATCAATCTGGACACTGATTAGGGAATGGTCTGATGTGCTTAGTATAGGTACTTTTATTGGTGTCAAGTAATGTTACCTTTACAATGGAATATCTCATTAGCAAGAAGGGAGCTTCAGCTGTCTGACTGATAAATATACACACATTGTGTTTTATATTACAAAATATATTTCGTCTATACCATTTATTATATTACTTTTTTGTGTATGTGTATATATGTTCATGTGTTTGAAGTGTGCTGACCGCCTTTAAACTTTGAGAAAACACAGAAAGTATCTTTTCAACAGCTTAATAGACAACACTTGTCTTATTCTTCTTGTTTTCAGATTAGTCAAACATCATCATTCCTAGTTTTAATACAGAAAGCTCCCTACAGAGGTAGCGATGACAGAAGAGTGATGTTTTTTTGTTTTTTTTTTACAGAGTGAAGACAATAAGGCTTGTAAGCAAAAACCACATGCAGTGTCACTGAGATGTTTGCCGTAAAAACATACAAGGCTTTGATAAACAATATAACATTATGATTGAATACTATGTCTTAATATTTTGAAAAAATTCTTAGTCCCAAACATTTTGGTAGAACTCTTTTAGCAAACATAGGCATAGAGTAAAACTGTACAAGTAACAATCAAAAGAATTACAGGTTTTAATTTTTTTTTACAGTGATATTCACTCTGTACAAGGCCCAAGTGCCACTCAAAGTAGAGGCTTACTGTGTAAGAGGCACAGTTTATGGAGATATGTGGGAAAGATAATGGTTGACCCTAGATTTGAACAGGTTAAGCATCTCCTCAGAGTCAGTTCCACAAAGCAGCCATTCGTAAGAAGAAGCTGCTTGAGTAGACCTTCATCTCATCAATGGAATACAAAGGAAATGTTGGTGATTTATTACAATGTGCATTGCATGGTTGGTCTTAACTATGAAAGTCAGAACTGGTGGAAATAAGCAATGTAGTTTGTATGAACATTTTCCATGGAAATAGCGATAGAGCAGCAAGAAGCTTGCAATGTTTTGTGCGTGAGAAAGTAGTTGCAGGGTGGAAAATAATTTTCTACCCACAAGGATGCAGAGACGCTTTTGGACTCTATCAAGACTGGAAAATGAATGATCTGAATAGCAAAAATATCTAACTACAATTTTTCTTAATATATTGACAGTGTTGTGGAAGGTTGAGGGAGTGAAAATTTAGCCTCGTAAAAATATTCAACTTCTTCACAAAGAAAAAAAAGAAAGCAGATAGAGCATAAATCAAAAATTTTATCTTTCAGAAATAGTTGCAGTGATTGACAAAAATAGTTTTTCTTTTTTTTTTTTTTACTTTGGTTTCTTCTCATGAAGGTAGTTTTCATATGACAGGAAATAGAGTAGACCAGGTGTTCTCAACCTTTTTCATCCTATTGCCCCCTTTTTTGCTATTTTTCAAGATAATCGTCCATCACCCATTTGTAAAAATATAAATTAAAATATTTTTGCTGCTAAAAATTTAATATTTGGTTTGAAATTAGTAAGTTTTAGTCTTATATTTCCTTGAGTACATATATCAATTTTATTTCTTTCTTTAGCAAAAGATTTATTGGTAGCACTGAATCTACATTCAACCAAATAAGAGGTTGGAAAGCATAACAGTATTTTAACCATTTCAGACATATTCAGATAGAGTTGATTTGCTGTATTTGACAGCCACAATTCTGTTATTCTGCTACTTTCTAATTTGTATTTTCATTCATCATTATGTTTTAATTCAATAAGTTCTTCCTGCATATTTTCACTGGCAGCTTCTATATAACAACCAAAGGGATCAATCATCCATGGATAGACCTCTAACGAAAATAAATGTGAAAATCGGCTAATTCATTCTTCTTTCAATTTCACTAAATATTCTGCATACTTTTTAATAGTTCGTTCTGAGAGGTGTTCACTTACTTCTGTTAACTGTGTCATGTTATTGAAATTCTTCTTCTGTATATTAACTTGAAATAAGTCTAATTTTTCAGAAAAGGGTTTCAGACCATGTCTGCCATCTAGTAATGTGCATAATTTACCTTGAATCTGGAGTGAAACATCATTGAACTTTCAAAAAATCCATGCTAAAAAGCAAATGTCACATTTGTGATGTCTGATTTCCTCTGCCAAATTTGTCTCACCTATATTTTCCAAGAAATTAACTATTGCATCAAATAGGTTTACAAATCTGGTTAGGCCTTTTTGAAAGCCAATGGAATTCCGTATGGATAATAAGTCTTATATGCTGTTCTTTGGTATCAATACAAAACTTTCAAAAAGTCTGTCACATTTGCTGTGAGATTTTATTTTATTGACCGTTTTAATAACTACTGTCAATGACTCATGAAGATCAAGGGTAATATTTTTGGCAACTAAATGATGATGATGTGCCATGCAATGCACAGCAAGAATAGAAGGACATAGATTTTCTAAATGTGTAATAAATCCCTTATTCATTGCACAAGATACCACATTTTCAAAGGATACATGATTTTCATCAAACCAATATTTTGCAGCTTCAAAAATGGATAATCCAGTGGTATCAGTTTCTAAAAGTTTCACAAACAACAACTCTTCACACAGTTTGTAGTAATCACCTATATATTATAATGTACATAGGTTATAAGAATAGCTCTATTATCACTTACTATAGATTCATCAATATGAATTGAGAATTTAGTGTTTTTTAATTTTTCAATTAGTTGGCTTTCCACATTTTCTGACATTTCATCAATTATTCTCCAGAATGAATCATTGCTCAGTGGCAATACTTTTAAAGACATTTACTAAATCTTGCTGCAGCACAGTTTTCATGAGAATTTCAAAGGAAGGATTAATAACATTTTCAGCAACTGCATGTGCACTTCCAGTTTTTGCAATTACATGTGCTATCTCATAAGGTGCAATCAAACCACTTTCATTTGTTTCTGTAGATTTTTTCAAATAAGATGAAAGTGTATTTCATTGGTTAAAGTTTTTCTTTAAATTTTCAAAATAAGCAATGGGTTTGTTCACTTTGTCAGGATGTTTTCTTTTTAAATGCTCTAAAAACCTTGACAGTTTCATCACTTCATTAGAAAATGAGCTGTTGCAAATAAGACACAGGTTGCCTTTGATCAAGTAGAATTTCTACAAAGCTATAAGCCAAATACACCTCTACATACTGTCTACATTTCTTTTTGGTACTCATGATTAATGAAAAAAGGACCAAAAATATAGGCACCAGGACAACCTACCACTGAGACGACTCACCATCAGGAAAACTCAACTTTTTTCAATGATTTTAATTTTAAAATAAATATAAATAAAATGATTATAATTATTTTTCTAATTTTTAAAATCAATATAAATATAATGATTATATTTTTTTTATTTTTAAAATTCATATAAATAAAATGATTAAATTTAATTTTTCTAATCTTTAAAATTAATATAAATAAAATGATTATAAATACTTTTTTTGTAATTTTTAAAATTTATATAAATAAAAAGAGTAAAAAAATTACTTTCATAATTTTGCTTGATTTTTTTTATAAAAATTAAGATAATTTATTAATTTAATCATGTTAAAACCAAAAAAATACAACCCTTTTGGCATGAATTATGTTCTATCATAAAATAAATTAATTTTATGTTGAAAAATGATAAGTTCTTCATTTACAAAATATTTCAACTGAAATCCTGTACAAGTAACTAAATAGAATAATTTAAACAATGCATACTTTTCAATTTCTTAAAATTACATAAGCTTACATTTTTGTCATACTTTACTGTTCCTTTATAAACACTTTGTTGAAGCCATTCAGTGTCCCCAATTGATGCAGCTATAAATTGATCATCACTTTGCATTTTTCGGCTAAAATATCAAACGTTTGAAACTTCCACTTGTATCATATGACCATTTTCTGTTGTAATATTTGGATGATGAAGTCTCTCTCTTTTTCTCTTGAGTGTATTCTAAAAACTAATAAGAAAAAATTTAAGAATAAAGAATTTTACAAACATTTTTTTTTAATTTAAGTAAACATAATAATTCTCTTCTAATATTGCAATCTTTTTTTAAATCATGGCAATTTACATATATGTGATATTTTACTTACAAAAAAGTGTTTTATTGGCTACCTGGAGAGTGATAAATAAGATATAAAAATATTGTTAATATTATTAAACAGTAAATGTCAAATTGTATTTATCATTCCCCATCTGACTAGTCAGAATCCACCCAGTATCATATAAATGATAATAAGCAGATATATAGTTGACATAAATAGACCTTATTAAGAAATTAGAAAAAAAATCTTTATTTAATTAAGGAGTTTATAAGTAGTTCATGGCCTGACCAAAAATGGATTCGAAAATAAATTCTTCTGTTTGGTCAGATTTTGGGAAGTGGGTTCGGCTGAGAACTTTTCAGCATCTTTTCAGATAAGTGAGGAATTATTAAACAACGAAAGAATAATAAAGAACATCATCATTATCCATCATTGAAGAAATTAATATTTGTTCTGATATATCTAGAATAATTGACAGAACAAAGTAAACACAGACTTGGAATGTAGTAAAAGATATAACAATACAATTTCTGCTGAAAAAACAATAGAAAGGATCTAAAATAGTGATGAGCAATTTTGACTGATAATCATGAATATTCATTTCTCTATGATCACAAAATCTAATTGTACACAATTAGGTAAGAGAGTAAACAAATCTTGCAGAGAAAGTGGGGTTGGATAGGATGCACTCTTAAGAGACGAGCATTCAGCATTACCTACCAAGCCGTGACTTGGAACCACAGGGGAAAAAGAGAGAGAGGACAGCCAAGAAATACCTAGAGACATGACTCTGAGAAGGAATTAAAGAGATAGAGAAGCAATTGGACAGAAGCAATGATGATAACCCAAAGCCGAGTTTGATGAAGGATTGACGTTGATGACCTATGCTCCTCTGAGAGTGAAACATAAGACAGCATTAAGATAACAAATATTCATAAAATACTGCATATATTGTTTAACAAATTGGATAAATGTACAGCACTGTTACAATTACTGAGGTTGTTATACAGATTTAATAAAAAATATGAGATAAGGAGAAAACACAAGCTGTAACTAAAACAAATTTTGTTTCATTATATTTCAGAAAAACTGAAGGAAAATTGTCTGGAGCTTGTCACATCAGTTTTATAAATGTACTTATAGAAAATATATTAAAAATTACTTAAACATACCTCTAAAAAGATTAATATGGTTGCAGTAAATAAAAATTAAATGTTTTACTAAAACAAGAGATAATACAAATTATCAAAAAAAACAAAAACAATCAAGATGGTCTCTGGAAAAACAATACTGTAACAATGATAACCTACTATCTATTGAGGCATAAAACCCCTACTAAAAAGTACTGAGGTAGCCAGTGAATTAAGTGATAAGTGAGGCAAAGTCTTATTTTAGAATGTGAGGCTGGGAGAAAACTAAAGGAAAAATGATTGGGGAGTGGAGTAATTATCAAAATATTAATTAAAAATGTTAATTAGATACAGTTTAATATTACATAAATCTTTTTTTCATCAGACAATGCAGACAATATTTAATATTTGATCTGTCTTAAGAATAAGTATTCATAAACTGAAATAAAAAGATTGAAATATTATTGAAGAGACTTCTGTTTAAAATAGTAAATATTTAATCAAAACACTCAAATACTTATGAATATTTTGGTTTTCTGTTTCTAAAGGTATACTGAAAAATTGACAGAAAGAAATATTAAAATCCAAAGCATTATTAATAAAGAAAGCGTGCTCATTAAACAAGCTACATTTTCCTATGATATTTTCTCAACTTTAAATGATGTATGGATTGAATAGTAGGATAGATTGGATTCTCTTGCCTTGGATGGCAACCAGTCTAGAAGGACTGTAAAGAAAGTAATAGAAAGCCACTCAACTATTTTTCCCAAGAAGTCATGGCAATTCACAATAAACAAAAAGGAATTTGTGGAGAGATATGATTGACTATATGTCTTGAAGGAACATGATATTTAAAAAATAATGACGTATAGAATAAGAAGTGAGTTAGTTCCTCTTCCTTTTGGAAATCTTGATCTTAAGTTAATATTTAATTTGCTATTTTTGACCAGATTTATTTAAATCAATGAAAATGTTCTTTACATCCACCACATTATATAAAGTAAAAAGGGCTCTCAAAATTCACCAGTTCAATGCAAACTGTCCACACATGTAAACTTGCATGTTAACTTATTGTTTTGTTTAATTTTTTTCTATCTCTTTCCTAAAAAATCTTTTATCTATCTCTATAGATTCACATCACATTAGTATAACAATAATATATTTCCTACTCCTAGCTGGCCTGTCTTTTATTCTGATTACATATACACACTTATACATATTTACCCTCATATGAGCAACTCAGCACAAAGAAAATTGTACCAGAATATTTTACTTATTGTCTATGAATCCTTTGTTTACTGTTAGTGTTAACAAACAGATGTCAAGACTGTTTATCAAACTGTGATTTTCATTGCAATTTCTAGTTATTCTTTAAACAATAATATTACCTAAAGTTCAAGATGAGGTTTAGAAGTATTATCAACAAAATATTATTTTACTATTATTTTCAATGTCTTTCTTTTTAAATTGTGAAAAGATCTTAATCACTGACTAGCTTTTTGGTTATCAGGCAAGAATTTTGCTTAAAGCACCAAATCTTTACAAATTATCACAGCAACACCTTTTTGTAAGTATTACTAAAAATAATTATCTAAAGCAAGATTAATTACTTATGTACTATAGTGGTGTGGGATTTTGTGGTTAAAATGAACAGTTGATTCACCCACGCCAAGAAGATTAATGAATGATGGTAATAACAAGGAAACATACAGGTTATTTTTAATGAAAAAAGATAAGGAATTTATTTATATAAGAATTTACACATTTGAAATTGTGTCAGTAACTCATTTCAGGAAAATAAGTCAGAAATTTTTAAAGTCTATAGTTTCAACAAATTGTCATAAAGAGAAAATATTCATACAACTAATTAAACCATCTGACACAAAATGTTTAAAAAGAAAAGTAAGAGATATATGGTATTGGACTCATCTCTTAGCCCAATCTTACCTTCTTCAAGTAATGCACTATTCCAACTTTCATTCATAAATCTAGCCCTCTGATTGGTTCATTTCTACCAATCAGGTCGCCTGCACGTGCACTTCAAAGTTTTGGTGCAAAATCGTTCTGGAGCCACCCACATGATCATGACCTCTTAAAAAGAACCCAAAGCACATGTGACGAGTTGATGCAGACCTGGGCAGATCAGCAGCAGACTATTTTTTCGACTGCTTACTCAAGCTTAAAAATGTGACGACTACAATTCCCGTCTCGAAAATCGAGGCGACAAATCTTCCCCGTTCAATATCTTCTACGAACTTCTTCGTCATTCAAGAATCTCAAACTATACATTCTCTTTGACCATCTATGATAAATCAGTCAGTCCAGCAAACACAGAGAAACGCTAATCTAATCCACGTCACTTGCAATTATAATTTTCCTGCACAAATGAAACCACAACTGACTCACTCACAAACTTGACTCGAAGATTACTCTGTGGATACAAAGAACTTCTACTCGCAAGACTTTACTTATCCAAAGTGAATTATTAACACTCACTACAATTTAAGTAAATACTTTTATCGAACATACTTAATATTTACAGTTAAGGGTAGACTACTTCTGAAGGACTCAATTCTAAAAACATAATAATGATATTCTAAACACTAATTACAATTTTCTTAAAGACTGAATACATATACACAAAACACAAAAAAGACATACAAAAAGTTCAGTTACAACGAACATACCAACACAATAGCATCTTGTAAAATATTTTGTATAGAATATTTTTATTTGTATATAAATGCATTTGTTTGTTTGAATTGCATGCATGTTTTGTCTTGTTTATATCAAGAATTATTTATTGTTGTGGATTCAAGAGAAGATCACACAACCTGACATAAAAAATTCCTTCTGATTTATTTTAATACCATAGCAAAATTCTTAGTTCATTCTGCGCATCACCAACAAATTGATGACCCCAATGTTTCAACAGGCTATAATCCCAACAATGGTTTGCATACATTCTAAAGTAGATGAAAAGAGATAGTTTGAAATACTTAAGCTTTTTGGGTTGTTGAAATAAAATTCTTTGAAGTGTCAAGTGCTTGGTTAAGGTTGACAATACAATTGGTGAATAATTTGACACAGGTGAAAATCTGAATGCTTGACATGTGAACAGAAATGAAACTTTTCCCATGACTTCAGGCACTCTTGTTAATTTTTCTTATTTTATATCAAAAAAAGGATTTTGTATAGGCTCGCTATTTTCTTTTCTTTCTTTTTTCTACACTCAATGGCTAATTTCTGTGAAGACAAAGTTTTCATTGGTCCGAAGAAAATTTTGAATTTATTTTTGTCTATTTCTCAGCTGGCCAGCCAATCTCTGTGAAATCTGTGGAGTTACCCCACTTACTATCCTAAAAAAAAAAAAAAAAAAAAAAGCACTGCCAGGGGATGCTCTTTGTACGAGGAAAATGCTTTTCCCACTGGGGAACACACACACATGCACACATACATATACGCACCTTTCATTTCATTTTTCCTGGGAGTTTCTCCTACACCAAACTTCACACACAAACAATTTACTAGTTTAAATGTTTTCTTCATTCATGTTCATTGTTTTGTAATATACAACACTATTCTATTGTCTATGTATACCTTTGTTTTGTTAATACATACTTTTATCCACTGTATCCTTCAGGACAACAGTGTATGAACTTTTGGAACTTATAAATTTAATGTCTCAGTAATCATTTTTTACCAGAGCTCAAATTGTAATTTTTGTTGGACACATAGCCCAGTGGATAAAAGCATTGGTTGGATCCAGTGACTTGATCTAAGGAGTTGTGAGTTCAATACCTGGTTACTACAGTGGTGAACAAAAACTTGGAGGGTTGAGTTAAAGGGAGTTAACTGAAACATCTGGAAGAGGTATGGCACATGGAACTAGAACAATGTAACCCAGTGGACTAAATAAAGGGTTCAGTTTGAAATTCCGATCATTTTAAGAAGGCCGTAGTGTACAATGGCCAAAACGTTGTGAATATGGCAATAAAAATAATGATAATGTATTTCTACAAGATTTTCTTTAAAATAACTGAAAAAAAAAAAAAAATTGATATGAACACCTTAAAAATATTGTCACATTCATCATTCTACAAATACATTGAGAACATCCTTAAAATATTAACACATTGTTATTCTTGGATTAAATTTGCTTGTTGCATCCAGCCTTTTTGTCTGTTTATTTGTTGATACTATTTTCCTGTCAGAAATTTCACCTTTTCTAGCTTATGACCTATGGCAAACATTAATTTGCTACTATGATGACTAATTCTCTATGATAGTGGGATCTTAACAAATTATGAATCCAACAATTACATTATGCCTTTGATAGTTTCACTACAAAATTATAAAAAACTCTCCTGAAATTTTGCAAATTTATATAAGTTATCACAAGTCAACAGAGAAACTTTGATTAAGCATACTGACAATTTTAAAGTGTTTCTCAAGAATATCAGTCACTGTAATAAATATCACCTATCTGCATTTACTCTTTAGCATCTGAACTATAACTACAAAAGTCACTTGTGTAATTTTGCTTTTAAATACCATGTAACTTCAGGATCCTGTTTCTCTACAGATTCCTTTTCTTTATTATCTTTGAATTGCCATGATTTCTTCCAAAAGGTAGTGTAGGGGTCTCCTGTTCCCTTCTCTATGTTTTGATTTCAGAGCAGTCTTTTTCCTAGACTAGTTGCTAGCCAAGGCTAGAGATCTTGGTCTACTCTACTATTTAACCCATAATTGGGGGGATCCATGCCTTTCTCAAGGG